TTCCATCAAATGTAGGCCAGTATTTCAAATCAGAGCATATTACCAATTTTGTACAGTCCACTTTCACGTTTTCAGATTTACTTTAAATCACTTCAGTGTGATCAAATGTCTTGATTTATTTTCTGACTGCTGATACATTCCTGAATAGGTGTTTTTGTTATGTCATCAAATGTATTACCTGATCTTTTTCCATTTGGTCTTTTAAACCTCTGCATTCAGGAATAGCTCATCATGAAAGGTTCAAATTGTTCTTTTGTTACCTGCATTTATCAGCACGTTCTCCCGGTTTTTCTTTTCCAGAGTTCACCAGTCTTATTCAGGTGGGTGTGTGGCAGGGAAGCATGTTTCCTGTGTAGTTCTGACCACCTTATGTTGTGTTTTGTCTATTCTGCTTCCCAATGTGTTAATTATATTTAATGGAGGTGCTCTTGCTGCAGAGCTGTGAACTTTCTGGATCAAAGAAATTGGATGTATGTTTAGTTCAGAGTAAGAGGATGCATTCTTGATGCTTTCCATGCTATTTTTTTACAGAAGTGGCATGGAAAAATCTTTTTCCAAATACACTTCTTTCGATGTTCAATAATGAATTATTTATATGAGAGGAGCTTATCTATAGCTTGGAAGAACAAGCCATATTGATAATTGGGTTTTCTGTTCTTTTAGACCTCCTGTCAGCCCGTAATGTTCTTTTGCACAAGTGGCACTAAGAAGAGATCATGTAGCATGAAACTTTGTTCTTTTTGCTGACACAGTTCAGGTTTTAATTGCAAAATATTCTTCTCATGGCCTTTGAGGTAAAAATAATGTAATATTTTTATTCATTGTGCAGCTGGGTCTAAAATCATTACATACATCATTCCATCTAGTATATAATGGCCAAAAAAATGGACTCATTCTTGAAGTGCATGTCCTGTTTATGTAATCTCTCTCATATATTTTTAAACCAGTATAAAATCCTGGCTTCTTTAAAGCAAACAAACAAGCAAAAACCCTGAATAAAATACAAACCAACAAAAAAACCCCCAAACCCCTCTGCATACTTGAAAAGTCATATCTTCTTAAATGTCATCAATTATTAATACCTAATTGGTAACACTTTTTTACTTTTTAATTCTCACTGTAATAGTTGATTGCACAGCAACTGCTGCTGGCTCAAATTATTTGGGTAATCATTCTGCAGTTGCAGATTGATCTTTGTTAGTGGTTTAAATGCAGACTGGTAAATAATAATGTATTCAGTCAGTATGTCTTTATTCTAAATGTAAGTAAAAATTGATCTCTGAGAGCAGTTGATTAAACCCTTTCTTATGTCTTTTCAAGTAGTCAAAAGTTCTTGGGCAGTTAGCTGACTTTTAAATGTCATTGTTTTGATAGTATATCTGGAATAAGTTTTATTTCAGACTTTCATGTTTTCAAAGACAAAATATATAGACAAATATGTAGAGAATGGTGAATTCACCTCCATGCACAGATTTAAAAGACGTGTAGATGTGATACTCAAGAACGTGGTTTATTGGTGGAGCCCCTTTAAGCCTTAACATTGAATGACTGCATTCCTAACTATAACTTTTCTATTCCATGCTTTATTGTGAATTCCAACTTGCATGTTTGCTGAGTATTTCAGAAATCTTAATCAGGCCATATGTAAAAAAATTTAGTATATTTAATTATTACTGTTATTAATAGCTATTATGGTTCCTACATATTATAAGAACCTTTGAACCATAGTAGAAAAAAAACTTTAGTCTTTTTAAAATAAACATGAGAAATCTCTTATTCCCTGTATTTTGTTTGCTTTGGGAGGGATGTGAGCACTCTGGAAATGAAATTCAATACTCTTAGTTCAGGCCCCTTCAGCTTTGGATAAGTATGCACAGGACTTAATGTAGTTGAACCAGTTTATTTGAGAGACACCCTCACACAGTGTTTGATATATTTACTCCCCCCCCAAAGGTGCAGCAAACCAGGGAGCAAATGTAAGCACGAGGTGTGCTTTACAGATGTGAAAATCCTGGAGTGCAGTCTGGGTGTCAGGCTGGGACGGTCCCACGAGCCGTTGTGCCTCCCAGATGTGTGGGAGTGCGGGTGGTGCAGCCCGGCCGGCGCGGTGCCGGATGGGGCAGCGCTCCCCACCCCGGTGCTGAGGTGCTCGCTGTGCTTTGGCACAGCGTTCGTGTAAGGAGTCAGTGCAGAGTTAGTGTACTGGGAGTTCATTAGCTGACTGCCTTGCCTGTCTGTACAAGTCTTTAAAAATGTTTTTAATATCCAGGCAGATAATTGGAAAGGGAGAGATGATTTGTCCTAAAACTGAACTAGCACAGTGACCGTGGCCAAAATAGATGTGGACTACTTCTGTATTCATATAGCAGTTGTGGTTCTGAAGCTGACTTAACACTGGAAGAAATTCCCAAACAGGGCTTGCTTGAAGATCAATGCAGGGCAAAAACACTGGGAGAGAAGTATGTGTGACACCGGAGGGGAAGGTTGACTTCTTTTCCTTGGTAGCTACCTACTAGATGGGTTTAACTGTAACTGCATCCAGCTTTTGACACCAGCACAGGTTCGGTTTTTGACTTTGCAGAAGCTGACTTGTTTGACAAACAGCTGACTTTCTCTAAGGCTCAACAGACTCCTATAAGAAGAGTTAATTTCTTAGGTAGGTTAGGTGTTATGCTATTATGATACTAACATTTTGACTCAACATAGTAGGCACAGTGGGATCTCTACAGTGTTTTCAGTAAAGCATTTGAGTTAGTCTTGCCACTCAGTGGTTTTGTAATTTCTTTAGATATGCTAGGCTAAGTCCTGACTCAGGAGAATTGCTGTCTTCAATAAATTTATTTCACTTATTTGTAGCATTCTTCTCTTATTCCAAGCTACTGTGTTGTTACTGGCATGATGCATGTGGTTTTTGATAGCCTTAGGCATTCCCTTGTTTCTGCTACAGTTAACTTAGTCCTTGCAGTCTTGCTCTGGATTTTAGTGCTATAGGGCAAAGAACATTTGTTGTTACTTAAAATACACAGTAGTATGTGGTGCTCAGTGTAGCTTTATCAGATACATGTTTTGTTTTCCTGTTGGAACTGTGCTATGGTTTCGTGCTTACACTCCAGTGAACTTACTGCTGTGAAGCATGATTTGTGCTTTGACAAGGGGTTTTGTTGTTGTTGCTATATTTGGGTTTTTCTTAGTTTGCTTTTAAGCATAATCTTAATTCCCCCTTGCAAGAGATCTCCAAGGAAATAGTCAACTACATACAGAGTCAGTGTAGTCTCTCAAGCTGATACAGTGCTGGAGGAGTGAAGCTATTTGCCTCCAGATTTTAACAGGATCTTCCAAGCTGAAGTAATCATTTGGGAGAGAGGGGAGCTTTTGGCCATGAGTTACAGCTGATGTTTGCCTCTGATTTAAGGAAAGTTATTTTACTGTTTTCTATGTGTAAGACAATTTAAATCTCTACACCCCATTGTGTTGTTATGTACAGAATTATTTTTTAATTATCTTCTACTTAAATTACTTCTAGAAAACCTGTAGGTTTGGTCTGTAAGCAAACTGACAAGTGGATGAAAAATTTTGAACTGTTGCAGCCTGAATCTCCAACCAGGTCTGTGCACATCTGCTTGTGCTCAGTCCTTTTTTGGGAGTGAAACCTGTAGAGAAATAGAAATGACCTTGTCTGATTTGCTGGTATATAACAGTAATTCTTGCTTTAGGGCTAAAATAACAAAAGTTCCTGTCCAGGAAAGAAACTATGTCTAACTTAATGCAGCTCTGGAAAGGCCTGTGTGGTGAACAGAATTTGTATGTGGTTTTGACAGTAGGGATAGAAGGGTAGGTACCAGTGGCACTGCTTGAGCAGGGAGGTTGGACCAGAAGCCCCCACTGTGGTCCCTTCCAACCTGACACTTTCTGCAATTCTGTGAAGTGAATTAGCAAGTGTAATAATTCAGAGCTAGTTGGGAGCCCATGACATTTCTAGAGAGCAGTGTGTATCAGATACTGTTTCTAGTGTGTTGTAAAACTTGGGAAGCTTCCAGAAGTCCGGAATCAACTCTTACAGACCTGATATTCTGCCTTGAAGATGTGTGCCTGATAATTACAATAACATATACTTATCTTTCAGGTCTCCTGTGCATGTTTAAAAATCTGTATGTAATCAGCTACAGTGTGCCTATAGGGTAGAAATTTGTTAGTTTTTTTCAACATTCACAGCCTAACCACAAAAGGATGGTACCTCCTGCTAGCCTGTTTCTAGATAGCGGTGGTGGGTGGTGGTGGAAGAGGACATTTTAGTAACTGAGTATTTTGGAAAGTAATTAATTGAATAAGCAGTATGGAATGGAATACACTCCTTGTTTGTATACTTCAGTTTCCTATTAGAGGTCTCCAGACACTGAAGTTCCCTGATTTACTAGAGTTGGCTCATGTGCATTGTTTACCTCACGCTCAGTATGAAGGGATCCTACAGTAAAAGGTGAACTTCAGTGTAATACGTCATTTTTACAATTACATTGAAATTTTAGTTCTGTAAGAAATATGTACTAAGGAAATTACAGTAGGGAAGACTTTTTAATATATTCTGTTTAGGTGGTATATGTTCTCCAAAATCATGGTATTGATTCAGTTCACATTTTATACAATTACTACTCTTTTATTTCATCTTACATTTTTCTTACACTGTTCTTTGTAAGAAATAGTGCTTCAGTTTTCCTTTCAAGTGTGCTTGTGGTACTCTGCACTAATACAGAAGGGTTTTCCACATAGGTGACAAAGCCTTCTTTTTGGATTAAGGCAATTCCTGCCTTCCTCCTGCTAAAACACTGAGCCTTTATTGTTTTTTTTAATGGCAAAGTGCTTTGTTACAGAAGGATTCATGTATACTTTAGAGGATTAGATAAACTTCCATTTGTAAGGTCCAAAAATACTTACATTACTGTTTGTCTCCCTTTACTATATTTTTCCTTATTTTGTAATCATTCTAGTTTCTTTTCTTCTTCCAGAAAACGGGGCAGTACTTGAAGGCTTGACAAATGCATCCCAAGTTGAAAAACTTCTGCATTCCTTCTCCTCTTCCTCCTTTAGAAAATTGACTTCATTAAAGAGGTAAAGTTGAATATTGCTTTTTTTTTTCTCTAGGCAAAGTGAACTAGAACTCAACTACGGTAGCATGCCCCACGATGTTTTACATTAACTTGTATCCGTCTCCTTCTGTTTCCCTGTATCAGAAGAGATGTCTTCGGAAACTTTGTTTGCAGAAATCTATTTAGTTGTGTTTGTTATTTTATAGAATTGTCAGTGCTTCTGCTGAAATAATTCACCCAAGTGTTACTTGATTTTAAATGAATGTGATTCCTGAATTTGTTGTATTTTGGGATATTTAAACATGCCTTAGAAATCTGAAGCACTTCCACAGGAGTTTGTATTAATGAATTGCTGCCAAGGGCCATTGAAAAATGCTACAGGAACTTAAAAATTGTGTTGGGAAGCTTTATATCTTATTTCGCTTCATTTTCCATTTAACAAATACCGATCTGTTCTTAAATACAAGTCTTTTTTCAGAAACCAAAACAAGTACATTGTGAGAACAGGTGATTCCAGTCATGTAGTCTGGCTGTTAAAAGGTCATTTCTCATAGGACTTCCATGATGTAACTTGTATGTCAACCTTGTCTTTCAGATGTGTTTTGAAAATTATTTAGGTTGAAACAAAAATTACTAGTGTAAAATGTACATAATTCACTTCATGTTTACCTGCCTTTTTCTTATAAATTCTACAACAAATTCTGCAAATAGTAACCTTTAATATATTCTTGACATTACTTGTATAGAGTTTAAAATGGAAAAAAAAAAAAAAAGAAAGGGCTTTGAAGCTGATGGGTATTTGTAGGTTTAGAAAAAATGTGGTAAATTTTTATGACTGTCTGACAGCTTTGTTGTTGTATAAAATTCTTGTATAGCAATTATCAATTTCTTTTTTGAAAAAAAAAAAGTGACCAAAGTATCTTTTAAAAATACAGTGTCCCTTCACAGATTTTCTGTTTCTTGTTTCTTTTCAGCCAGCTGTTAACCTGCATGTCCTGTCAAAAATAAACTTTCGATGAAACTTTAATTAAGAATCACCGTCTTCATATGTCTAATATGGCTTTCGTATTTTATTATCTCCTCAATTTATCTCTTTTCAGGTCACTATTCTTAGGTTTTAGTCTCTAATATTAGGTTACAGCTTCATTCACTTCTTCCAATTAAAATGTTTTGGGACCTTAATGACTTCCAGGTATTGACAACCTGTACTGAGATCACACACTGTTTAAACCTGTTTGAACATCAAGCAGAGGTGTCTAATAATGCTATGTGTTTTAGATAATTCCTGCTGTTGCTTTGAGAGTTAAATTTATGTGAATTCAGTAGTTGTTAGAATATGAGTGTTGTGTATAAAATGGAAAATAAATAACAGTTGTCCTTGCAAATTTTCTTTTTTGTTTGTCTCTGAGAATTCCAACATACTTTTACAAGAGCTAAATCTTGCCATTTGAATGAGAAGCCTCAAAATTCTTTAAGAACAAGGTTTAAGGAATAAAGTTCTGCTATAAGAATTTTTTATAACTGGTTTGTTTTATGAAACTGCTCAACTTCAAGCTGTATCTAAAACTGTCATTACCAGTCTCACATGATTTGTTCCATGATGCTCTTTATTTTTGTTTCACTTGTCTTTTCTTTGTACAATATTTGGTAAGGGAGCAAGAATGGGATGATATATGTCTTAAATAATGTACATTTTGGCCTGAAGCACCAAATCCTCCTTTTTTTCCTCCTTGCTGATTTATGCACAATACTTTTGACTAAAAGAAGAAAATAGTTTAATCATTGGTAGATAATGGGACTGGTTGTCCAAAATGCAACTTTTCCTATTGTCTCGTATTATATAATTCTACTGGAAAGATCTTAACAGCTTTTCATTGGGGTAGGACTTTACAAAACTAAATTTTCCTGCCAGAACTCTGATTTAGCTTCTTTTTTTCCCTTTTTCTTGTAAAGGTAAGAGAGAAGCAAAAGAAGTAAGAAAATGCTGGGAACAGAACGAGGTGTCGTGGAAGAATGGCTGTCAGAATTCAAGGTGAACTGAGAAGATGAATGATAGCTCAACCATTGGCTTAATGCCATAGAATGTAGTTGTGAGGGGTTTTTTAATATTCAGAATCAACATTTTAAATAACTATTACTTGTGAGGGGTTTTTTAATATTCAGAATCAACATTTTAAATAACTATTACTTGATCTTTCAACTTCTTATAATGCGTAAAGCACAAAAAGGTCTGTGTAATTGAGTCAGCTGGTACATAACCTACAATGCATATTTCTAATAGTAGTTAATTTTTGTTGCTGTTGTTTATTGTAGAGCAGAACACTGCTGTAGCAATAGGGTTTCTTAAAACATGTATTTTTGTGTAGGTTAAGCTGATAGAATTTAACTAACAGCTGGATAGCACTGCCCAAATTTGTAATTGAAGAACTTTCTTATTTGAAAAAAAAAAAATCAGTATAAATATTTGGACTTTAAAAAAAAAACAACAAAGAAAAATATTTTATTTTTTTGCCCCTGTGGTCTGTGTAAAATTAATTGTTTTGTCTTGAAGAATCTGAACTATTTTTAAGCTATTAAACTATTTTGCATGTTGATAATTATGCTGAGTGAAATATAGCATAATGCATAAACAAGAAAACAGGATTTCATGACTGATACGAAATTAATCTGTTAATTAAATTATGAATTAGTGATTCCTCACATCATTGATGATAGTAAGTCATTACATGCTGTTGCTGGAAATTTGTGTAAGATCCAAGGATGCAAAATCCAAAGACACGGTTGCTTGGGGAAGAGTTGAGGCTGTCCATACTCATTTTGTATTATCCACACCTCGTAAAAAATAAGTTGAGTTGATTCGATAAGGTCTTTGAAAAGTGCCTGTTAAATACAGAGTGTCAAGAAAGAGAGTCCAAATATCAAATGAGAGCAAATGATTTTATGGAAGATGAATCTGAAACTAACTTTGGGATTTAACCCTCAAAGTGGTTCTGTGCTCCCAAATGTTTTTTGTATGGAGAAGAACTTGTACTGAACAACTAGGTGGCAAGCCTGAAAATTTACTAAACTTCAGGATTTTTTTTTTTATGTTGGGATGAGACTTAATCCTTTTGTGGAGATCTTATATACTTGAAAAAATTTATTTGTCAGGGTAACCTTTTTTTTTTTTCTTTAGGCATTACCTGAATCACAAATCTCCAGCTATGCAGCTACATTGCACCGAAAAAAACCACTGGTACCAGCTCTTTATAAGGTCATTCAAGACCCAAATAATGAGGTAGGTGATTTTAAAAAAGATTTTTGTTCTTATTTTTATATCTTTCACCTCTTCAACTAAAATGAGAGTAATGGAGATGAAGCTTGTTTGATTCTTGTTTCTGCTGCAATATAGTGTGTGTCAGCCCTCTTTTTATTCTCTTGGTTTTTTGAGTTATTTTAATGCATTTCTAGTAAGATGCAATCTCATCTGCTTCCAAAAATACAGTTTTCACTGTCTGCTAGATCTTCCTTGCCACAGCTGACTATTGTACTTTATTTGGCATGAGTTGTTCTTTGTGAGTTGTTTTTTTTTGGGGGGGGAGATATGTTTGGGGTTTTAACTTTGTGTTTTTTGGGGGGTTTTGAGGGTTTTTTTACTCATTGTTTTAGTTCTTCCCAGAAGCTACCTTTCAGTCATAACTGAGACAAAGTAGGCCATGCAGTGAAACTCAGCAAGACTTATGTGCTTTTTACCTGTTGGCTTATTACAGTGGAAGATGGAATCAATTTTTTAAATATTACTAGGATAACAAGATCTTCTTTGCTTACACTAGTATCACTTTTGTGTTTACACTGCTGTAAACAAGAGCAGAGGCAGGGCCCCAAAATATAAATAGACACAATGAAAACTTACTTTACCCTTGTACATAATTCATCTTGGAAATGACATTAAACAGCTTTCCAACCCATTGGCTTCTGCTAGGAGCATTTCTGGGCAAGTGTGTGAAATACAACTTTTGAATAAATTGTGCAAGCATGCCATTCTCTGATGTGTAAACTACTTTAGATAAAATGCTTCAAAATATTTGATATATCATCCATGATCTTTTGTATAGTTATAAATAAAATGGGTAGTGTACACAGCAAGGAAGTTCTTTGTTTTCCTAAGCCCAGCTCAGCTGCTTTTGGAAGCTGAATGGTTGATTGAGCTTCAAGGAGGTTGCATAATGTTCATGCAATTCAAAAAAAAAAAAAAAAAAAGGCTTCATAGCTGTCAGCTCCATTTCAGTATTATAAATAACCTGCATAGTGACCTTTTTCTTTGTACTGAAGCTACTGTTATTCTCTCTCCAACCCCAAGCCACCATTGCTGCTATGTATTTGTGTGTGTGTGTACTCCTGAAAATGTAAAAGCTTTCCTTTGCTTTGAGAATAAGCATTTATATTTTTTAATATGCAAAGAACCAGACCTGCAAAAAGAGTATCTTCTTAGGGGTGTGACAGTAATTTTAAGTTATTGCTCACTGATGTTTGTCAAATATTACTCTTTGGAACAGCTGTTGCTGTTTGGGCCTGATTCTGATATCAGGTATAACATAAGCAATCCCAGACCCAAAGATGTCTAACTTCAGGTTCTACTTGTTAAGGCAGTATCTATTTCCTGGTTACACTTCTTCCAGACTTATTTGTGTGTAAGGAATGTAACTATAGTAAATTCATTACTTTGCATAATTCTATAGTAACATTGGCTCTAAGCAAGAGGTTTTTTAAATATGCTTTACAGGGCATTATTTGTTAGAAGGATAATTGATTGCTTATGGAGATTAAGCTTATGTAGTAGACTATTATAAAAATGTGTTTGCTGGATTCATGAACTTGATGGACAAGTAATTTTTTTAGTACAACTTAATCATGAAGTTGACCTATTTTTAAAACTTCCTGAAAGTGGTAAACTGTTTAGGGCAAACTTGAATTTTTCTAGAATCACATTTCTATCTTGATAAGACCAGGTTTATTAATGTAACATGGAACCAGCCTGTTTAGGAACCAAAAAACTGAGGTGTTTCTCTTTTTGGACAACTGTCTACCAATTTGAGAGCTATCAAATGAAGGCAAGCATATTGTCAAGTTAAATACAGTTTTTACTGTTTGCCTTTTACGAGATGCCCTGACTTTTTTAAATATGGGAAAGATAATGACTGGAACAGAAACTTATACAAAAATTATAGGGTGATCTCGCTCACAAACAGCTTATTTAACTGAATAATGTATTGGGTTTTGCATGATATTTGAACTTAAAAGTGAAGTAGTTTTGAAGTACTGTTTTTTAGATAGTTCAGTAATTTTTGGAGTTGGTCAATGGCTGTAGACATACTCTATGGATGTCAAGTTAATGCTCTACTGCAATTTAAACATCGAATATTCATGTGAGGCTAATTAGGTTTAACTTGAGAGGGCAGCCATGAAACAGAATAACATCACCTTTGCAATGCCAAGCACTCCCAGACCCAGTACTCTTCAAATAATAAATGTTTTCACTCGTTATATGATAGTTCAGCCTAAAATGAGCAGATTATTTTCTACCACAGTTGAATTTTTCAAAAGTGTAAGCATTTCTGGTATTTGTCATGCATTTTATAATACAGTGTATTTAACTTCAAGATATGACTTAAGATTTGGCCAACTTATGAAGAAGCCAAACTAAAAGTATTCATCAGTTTACTTAAAATATGACTGGTTTGCATCTCTGTGAGGTGTAAATTAGATCATTCTCTTCTGCTGCCTATTTAAGCCAGTAAAAGTTCATTTCTTTTGTTATGCTGATTGCTGTTTGTGCTAATAGGAAAGATCTTTTAATTAGAAGTCTTTAGTTTGTCAGGAAAGAGATAGGAGTATAAGAGATTTTGTACTCTGGATTTCTGTGCTGACTGCTGTGCTACTCAGTTTGCTTTGACTTTGGACTGAAAGATCTTTGGAATTAAATTGTGTGCCAGTTCACGTATACACCTGCTACTGGTGACAAAAGCTCAATTTCCTCTGTTTATCCCGTGCCTTCTCAGTATTTATATTCAGAGAATTAATTGGAAGAGGCTGGCTCTTTGAAAAGCCAGATAACTATGAGGCAAGGAAAACATCTGTTCTTTCTTGCTTGTGTCAAGTTTTACATTTCCAGGTGGGAGACTATCCTACTATACTTGAATGGGAAAATCTTGGGTATTCATGCTTTTGAAAATATTTGTGTTGTAGCATCTTTGTGATGGCAGACTAATTTTATAAAATTTTCATTTGAAAGTAGTTAGAATAAACTCAATAACTGCTCTGGTCGAGTCTCATCTGACTTAAGCTAAAATAAATTTTTCTTTTCTGTGTTTTTAATGGGACTTGGATTAGACTGGCTAATTTCAAATAGAAAAGAGCTTTGGGCTGCTGTCATCTCTAATCTAATAAAAGTACTATTTATAGCATTGCCTCTGTATATATCTGGTTTCAGATAATAGTTTTTAGCTTTTCTTGCACTTGTCATCTCCTTGCAGATGTGCTTGTATGTATTGTTTTCAGGGATTTCTTTTTCTTCTTTACACTAGCTTCCTGATCATATTGTTTTTTAAAGAAAATCTAGAAATTCATTCTAATAATGTCTGAATTATTTGTTAACCACTTCTTAAATTTGAACATCTGAAATGTGCTAGACCTTTCATAAAACACGGATACAGCTCTGTCTCTGAGGATTTGAACATTTACTGCAACAATTATTTTGTCACTTTTAGATAGGAGTTTCTACTAAGTAAATATTAGTTAAGAAAGGATATACTTCTGCCTCTTTTGAACATAAAGTCCTATGTATGTATGAATACTGGAATAAATATACTAGCTAAAATAATATATGCTCAACTTGATAGAGAGAGCTGTATCACTTTTTTCTTTAAAATGACTGCAACAGAAGCTTTACAGACATCTAATTTCATTTAGATCCCAAAACAAAAATTGTTGAGTTATTTTATATATATATGACTTGTAAAAATCTATGTGTTCCAGATGACTGGACTTCTCTCACTCTGTGTCAACATTGTCACTGACAGCTTTCTTCCCTCCCTCTCTTGTAGAGTCTCTTTTTGCTTCTGTTGTAAAAGCTTAGAGTAGCAAGTCTGTCAGTCAGAAGCCTTGTTACACAAGGTGCTTATACCAGAGTATTGTTTAAAAGATTTCTCTGACAGCTAAGTTTTATTTGACGTCAGTGTCCTGGGTGATGCTCTCTTAAGGCAGCTGTCTCCATAGACGGTTCTGTCAGATGTATGTTTTGTGTTTGTGATATACCAGTGTCCAATATCCAAGTCTAGATATGTGTATGTGAAATTGTACATTCATACAGATTTACGGCATTGCACATTTATCAAACGTTCAAACTACTCACTACTACAGAAATGTCTGTCCCTCTGCTGTTAGCCAGGGACTTCCAAGTTTTTTAAGACAATGGATGATTCACAACAAACCCCAGAAGTACATCTTTTTACAGCATAGCAAGAGAGTGACAGTCTCCTGACCCACAGGAAATTCTGGGTACTAAAATTATGATGAATAGACAAATTAATGAAAAAAGAATGCATCAAAGTCCATGAAATGTGCTGTTCTGAAAGTCCTAAGGTGCATATCCCTGGGAGTGAAAGAGAAGTCATTTGTGCCTTATCTGATTTACTCTGCACTGGGTATTTCCTGTTTATGCCTTTTTGTCTCACCAGTACATCTGCTACTGTGTTGGTCAAATGTAAGGTTTTTATTGCTCTAAAAGCATGTATAATTTGGTGTTTTATATCTTATGTGTGTATGTATAAGCAAGCTGCATAAAGCATGTACTGTTAGAAAGAAGGCTTGTTAGAGATTCTGGCCTCTGTTTTCTGACTCTGTAACTCTTCTATATATGAATATGGATGCTTTAGCTTACATGTATGCCTTCGTCTTTTTGGACACTGAATCCCATAAGTATTTTCCTTAGGTCATTCTTTTTAATAGAATGCAATGTTAGGTAATGGTCACAAACCTTACAGAAATTTCTCTTGGAAATTTTTAAATTTTGGGAGGGATTTCCCCCCCCCTCCCCAGTTTTTGGTTTTAGTATTAAAACTTGATTAGGTGTGGGAAAAGATGAGACCATTTGACGTTCATTAACAATGCTATGGATGCATCTTGACTATTGGTTTGGCATTGTAGACTCTTAAAGTGGCAGGTTTATCTTGTGCTTATATCACACTGACTTGATCGGGGCTTTTTTTGATTCTTGTACTAAACCTGAAGTGCAGCTCAAGATGGAAAGATCAGTTTTGCATTGTAATAAACATATGCACACTTGTTGGGTTTGAGACTAAAAAGCTGTAGGTAAGAAATCAATTTGTATTTCTGTCAATGGACTTATCATTAGCAGCTAATCTTTAACCTTTATACTTTTATAGACCTTACAGCTGCACTATTAAAGTTTTATGGTGCACATAGTTGAAGCCACGTGTCTGTCACACGCCATAGATTAGTACCTGTACAGAAAATAAATCTCATACTGACAGCCCTAGAGAATAATCTTCTCAAAGCACACATGGCAGTGGCTGCAGTAAAGCCACATTGCCCAGTACTGCATACCAGTTCCCCTGAGCCCTGTCCTTATGGATCTCCTTGAAAGGAATGCAGATACCATTTTGATTCACTCACATCAAGGAATGTAATTTTTACTAGCTGTGGTGGCTATATGGTGTAGCCCCTACATTTGCTATTTCACTCTCCCTTATTAGAGAAGCCTACCAGTAAGTCATTAGCTTTTTTGCCTTTCCACAGCTCCTGGAGCCTGTTTGCCACCAGCTCTTTGAACTTTATCGTAGCTCTGAAGTTCGGCTCAAGAGATTCACGCTGCAGTTTTTGCCAGAGCTGATCTGGGTATATCTGCGTCTCACTGCCAGCAGGGACAGACAGAGTAATGGTTGCATTGAAGCATTGCTGCTTGGCATTTACAACTTGGTAAGTGAGATGAGTGGGAATGGGTGAGAAAGGCTTTAAGTTTTGCATCACTGACCACTGGGAATAAAGTAAATGATTGTAACAACATCTTTAAAATTAAAATACACTTAAATGAAGGCATATTTAATATAGAGAAAAAGGTAATGTAATGAAGGTTTAGTAAGGATGTGTTTGCAAAAATATTTTTTATATTTTATAGTTATCTTTTATGGGAAAAACATTTTCGCTGAAAAGGATCACCTCGTAGGCTTTCTCGAACTGTTATACTCTTGTGTTTGTAAGGAAATAGGTGGCCCTCCTTAATGTTCTGAAATACAGCTTTCTATGATTGTCAGGCTGATATGTTTGATAGGTATTCATGTGTCACTTCCCACACTCTCCCACTTACTCTGAATGTGTCTTTAAGGGTAATTTGAAGGTGAAACCACTCTGCATGCACTTAGATACATACATGTGTACGTTTGAGTCAGAGTCTTGAGGGGAACTGTGGTTTTAAGAATAAGTAAAAATAACAATAAATTATTAAATTTGGCTGTTGGATGTAAAAATAGGGGTTTATATTCTTATCTTAACCTGGAAATGTTTACTTTTGTAGTGTTATAAGGCTGTTTGATAAATTCAGCAATACTGCCACAACAGGCATTCTCTAATGGGAATTTCTGTGTTACAGCACCTTAAAACATACTCTACTGAAAAATAGTCCTTCCCTGTGCTATCATTGTAAACTCCTCCTTTAAATTGTGTATTATATTTCTACACATGATAAGACAGAGAACAGCCAAACTGTGATTCTTAAAAATAAAATATATTATAGTTATGCATTTGTAGATCAGCTCTAACAACTGGAAGATCTAAATATTTTAGATTTATTCTGACAGAAAAAAGCACTGGAAACTACTTGCTGATTTTTAGTACTGTTTACTGGATTGAAGTAGCATGTTTATCTTTTTGCCCGTTTTCTCATGAAGGTTCCTCTGCAGTTCCTTTGCAAGTCATGCCAGTGATTCATATTTTTTAAGGACAGTAATTTCTCCATTCTCTCCAGTTTCAGGAAGAGACCTCAAAATGGACAATGGCTCCCACCACTTTTTATCTTTAATGAAGTTGATATTTTTCTGCATATATACTGAGACCAAGGGAGTGAAGTTATTTTCTCAATACTTGGAAAATGAAAGATAGGGATAGATCTTTTGCATTCTGCTAAATTCTGTCAGCTGCCCTTCTGATGTAATCCTTAAAGCCTGCTACAAGTACAGAGTTACCTCGGGCTAAATTTTTGCATAAACCGGAATGACTGGAGCTTATTGTTTGAAAATTTGCTGTACAGAGTGCACAGGCACGATTTTAGACTCCTTTTTGGGGTAGTCTTATGTAATTGCTCTTAGTATATTTTCTTTAAAAACTGCTGGGTTTGCTTATGTAGTAGCCTAGCAACTATAAAATATGGCCAGTCTGAAAGCCTTTTGAGAGAACACTCTGTGTATTTCCTACTGATGGGATGCCTGAGGAAACTTTGCCAGTCCCCTTGATTTCACCTTTTCTCTGTGGTGCATTTATTATGAAATGCTGTCAGCAAGTGACTCATCAGCCCTCGTGTGTCAGTATCTTTTGGGCTTGAAGTTTAGCCTTGCTCCTCTATGCAATTCTGTTATAAATAAATGTTATAATGTAAAGGTGGGCTAGAAAAGCTTTTTTGTTCCTATTTGTGTGTTTGAAGTCACACCAATCAAGGAGCCAGGGCTGGTTTTCTAAAATGTTGCAGGCTGATTCCACAGAGCAGTTTGTGATAGAGGTCTTTCCCACTTCTTAAATGTGTATGTAAATTTGCTGATATTCTGCAAATGCACAGAGTCCTTGAGGTGCTAATAGATCAGGACATGTTTTTGAAATACCTTCTAAGAGTTGAAAGTTACTCCAAGTCCTATATCCTTAGTTCTGTTTGGGTTTTGGTCTTGTTTTTAATGCAGGAAATTGCTGACAAAGATGGAAACAACAAAGTTTTGTCTTTCACCATCCCTTCGTTATCTAAACCCTCAATATATCATGAGGTAAGGAGAGCTGCTGTGGTAAATTAGAATTGGATCTATTAGAGGAATGAAAACTGGATCCATTTGATGCCGCAGGCTATTTTAGATGCATCTTGTTGCAGTAAGTTTTCAGTGTCAGTATTTTACAATTAGTGTAATCAAATTCAATAGCATTAGTAGAAGAAAAGGAATGTAAATGTTGAAAAATCTTTGCTGACAGTGCCCATTTTAAACAAAGATTAGTGGTGTTGTAGTTGCAGCTGTAGTTAGTATATATGCTAGTATAAAAGTAGTGTTCCTTCTAGCTCCTTAATACAGTTAGAACTTGGAATTGTGTTTTTCTTTCTCTACTGTTTTTGGACAAAAGTCTATGTGATTAGGACAACATTACTATAAATGGATATGTAAGAAGTAAAGTGGAAAGTTGCTCTCACCTCTCTAAGTGTGGATGCTGTTTATAATAACAAAATTAGATAATGTTTTTAGATTTGCTGTATTCTGGAATAATCTTCGTTTTTACAGATAACAATATAAATGTGTCTTTTGCCTTGAGTGGTCAGGAGTTTTTTGGGGACCTTTTACTTATGCTTTGCTTTCCCCCCTCCTCCTACTACCTACTTCTAGCCCTCTACTATTGGATCCATGGCTTTAACTGAAGGAGCACTAAGTCAGCATGATCTAATCAGAGTAGTTTACAGTGATCTTCATCCTCAAAGAGAAACCTTCACAGCGCAGAACCGGTAGGTGATGTACTCTAACATTCAATGTGCTTCACTGGGGAGGCACGTCCTTAAACATTAAGACCAAATATATGTGATCAGTCCTTTCTCAGCATTAAGTACTTGGAAACAAATCTAGAGAATAGTCTTGGTAATCTTGAGGTATAATGGGGTTTTTTTCCTTTGTTTCGCATTTTTATGTTCTTCTACTAGTTAATTTAGAAAAGTAACTTCTCTGTCACTTCTGTGTAGGTAAGGAATATCTTTGGGTTTATGGCTGGCTATTCAGTTTTTCCTTGAGGTATAACAAAATTCAGCTTTGTATCTGAGGCTGTAACTTTTTTTTCCATAGGAAGAGGGGGAATGGAGCTAAGTGGATAGACGGAACCAGGGGTGAAAGAAATTGCCCTGATGTTTAGTGACTGCCAGCTTTACCTGTGTCTAAAGACAGCTCTGGGAAAACTGATAAAATAATTTTGAATGTATTGCAGACATTTCCAGTTCTATAATTTTGTCCAAATATTATACCATATCCCATTTCCTTAGTAGTTTTCCTGTGTATGCTAATGGCTTTCAGTAATAATAATTTTAACTGTTTATAGTGACCTTTTGATAGCCTGTTTCAAGTTAATGAACAATGAAAGAGGGTTTAAGGATTTGTGTATTTACTTCTGATGCTTTTTCCTGTGGGGTATTTTTTGAGACTGAATTGTAGACTTTTTGGGTTAAATTTTGATGAAATATTAAGAATTTAAACTATGCAAGGTTTTGCTCTTATCTCTTTCTAGGTTTGAGGTGCTGAGCTTTCTTATGCTATGCTACAATTCTGCTATTGTCTATATGCCTGCTTCTTCTTACCAATCACTTTGTACGATGGGTTCCAGGTGAGACACTTGCCTTTGAAATAGTCTTTCAGGGTGCACCTAGGCTTCTAAATATTCATCCAGTAAAAAAAAGATGCTTTTTGATGGGAATGGATTAGTTCTTGGTATGCTTCCATCATTTTCACTTGAGTTATAGCTATGCTAAATGTGCCAAACACGTTGAATTTTCCTGCATCTGAAAATTAGATCTGTTCGTTAAGTAGAGAGGAGAGAGAACATTTTGTATGCAAGGGATTTCTGTTTTGGAAACAGTGCAGCAGTTACTATGTATTAGTGGCCATGCATTGCTTCCATGATGAAGATTCAAATAGTAAACTGAAAGAATAAATTATTCTGTTTTTTATGGAGGTGGTATATGGGAAGGCAGGCCCCGTTTTCAAGGGGTGGAAGTACTTTTTAGAAGGCAGCTGAGAGCAATTCTCAAGAATATAGTATCAGTGTTATCTAACTTTAGGTAAAGGGTGATTGCATGCTGTCATCATACATTAGATGGGAGATGACATATTTCTCTTCTGTACCACTCAAATGTTTCCTTTAAAGAAAATTGGTTTCAGTTACTGAATTTTGGGGAGGGTCTTCTACCTGGTGGCTGGCAGTAGAAAGCATCTTGCCACCCTCATTCCTTAGAAGCTGGTTGAAGAAAATGTTTTGAAGAAAACAAGTGGGGTCGATGGCTACGTGGAAAATAGCACTGGATTATCAGCAAACCACATCTCAGGGCACTGTTACAAAACTGCTGTAATGGTTAGGAAGGGAACATAAGAACCTTCTACGTTGTGTATTTATATTTTGAAAAATAAATCTGAAAATTAACTAAAATCTCTGTTATATAAAGACATTTTAGTCTTTGTGGAGTTAACACTTTCTTGTAATGTTGGGTTTTTTCAGGCTGTGTGTGAGTGGATTTCCACGGCAGCATGAGAAGCGCTGGAAAGAACCCTGTGGTAGAGTGGTATTAGACCCTGACTTCATGGTACAGCTGCTCACAGGTGTCTATTATGCCATGTAAGTGGATGGGGCTTTTTTCCCTAAAGAGAAAGGTCTGATTTTACATGAATCAAAATAGAAGTGCCAGTTGTTTTATAATTGAAAAAAATAGTTAAACTCATAACACAAGTTTATAACTTGATGAGTGTATTTCCTATCACTTGCTTATTCAGTGAACCGATGATTTCAAACTCAATTAGGTGACGAAGGGTGAGCAGTAGCTGCTAAAGAGAGTTAGGCTTCTGGTTTCATCTTTTCCCAAGTTCCCACTACCACTGGGTACCTTCTGTTCACAAGCATAATGAGCTCGGATGCCAAGATAAACTGATGAAATGCAGACCTCTAGGATGTCAGTAGGATCTGAGGCAGCAAAAATCCATTTCTGGTGGAAATTCAGTTCTGCTAAGTAGCATTAACCTTTACATACTGACCCCATTTTTTTAATTTTATTTTGAAGTTTGTCCTGAATATGGCATCAATTTTGTCATGCTTGGAGGTGACAGGGAACAGCTTTCTTGTTATACCAACAAGATTAATAAAAAAATGTTTTGTCTGCACTTTTAAAAGAAGTGACAGGGTTGGGGTGTACAAACAGTTGATGAATTTTCTATGTAAGCAAAGAAGTTAAGGTCAGGATTTGGGCAGAAGAAAGACAAGTTTGTCTTCATAAGATGTGAAAGATATTTATCTTTACTTTTAGATATAATGGTCAGTGGGAACTTGGCCAAGAGGTATTGGAGGACATAATTTACAGAGCACAGCTTGAACTCTACTCACAGCCTCTGCTGGTAAGAAATAATCCATTGCAATTTATGGGCTTGGTTCAGAGGAGTGTGGATGTGTTTCTGAAGTGGACTGGTAATGAGAGCTTTTGTGGCCTTTCACTGCAGTATCAAATGTGAGTGGTTGTTCAGCATAGCTGTTTATACCGTACTTCTTCTGCTTGAGTGGTGTTGGGATCTCCTGTTGGGATCTCTAGCTGAAAGCTGGAATTTTCTAATGTGTTACAGTTGGCTCAAAATGTTTATGTTGTTTTGGCATAAGCTACTGATGAGTGGTTCAAAGAAGCTTAACTGAATAATTATATGTCATAGGACAGTGGTTGCAAAAAAGGTGTTTTGTTTACTTCTAGACCTTCCTCACGGCTGAGAATAAGCTGTGTGGTTTAACTAATAACTCAGTAAAAAAACCCAACAACAGGATAGAACTGCACCTGAAAAGGAGCTTGATCTTCAGAGTCAATACCAGATTTTGTTTGATCAAAGTCACACAGATCTTAAACTTTACCTTCTTTAGAGGAGCAGCAATAAAATGGAGTAGTTCTTATTGCTTGGATTTGGGGTGGGTTTTTTTTTTCAGTTTTCACTATACTTGCTGTTCTAATCATAAAAAGAGGGAAAATAAATGAGGAAAGTGGTGAAACTGCTGGGTGCAGGTGGATGGGATTGGGAAGGATGAGAAGGTTGACAGAAAGGAGGAATTTGTGTCACGTAGGAATGAAAAGTAAAAGAACAGGGAAAATTAAGGGAATAAAGTAAAATAGACTGCTGTTTCAGTTTCTGCATCAGAATTGTGGCTAGAAGCCTTTAGTTCTCCTCTGAACTAACAGTCATAAAATTTCATTGCTTTTTACATAACTGAAAAAGTGAATTGGTAAAAATCTATTTATGTGGCAATCTGAGATCACTCTTTTCTGAAATAAATTACAGAAAATTATTCTCTTGCTAAATTAATATTGACTGTAAAATTTATCTGCGGGCTTTCTGACACTGCTGCACTTAAAATGCCTGGTATCCATTGAATTATTGTAATAATTGGTTCCTTTTGGAAATGACGCATCACTCCATCAGATTGAAAGTTTTAAATTAAATATTGAACCTGCTGAATCGGGCTAACCTATCAAGGATTTAAAAGATGCGTAGGAGGATCTGGAACTGGACGATATGACAATTTTCAGTCTTCATTGTTCATTTTTAATCAATTTGTCCTTAGAGACAATTGTAAGAATCTTCTAATTGTAAGAATCTTCTAGAATGTCTTTGGTTTTTTTCCAAAGCTCTTATTGCTTTTCAATCCAATTGTCTGGTGTTAATGACATCACAACAGCATCAATTTTTACCCCTTCCCAGTTGTCAGGTTTTTCCTGCATATGCATGCAGGTCTATCTGAGGAATTTTTCTTCTTAGTACTCTGCTCATTGCCTCCTTCCTCTTTTATTTTACTAAAATTTCTAAAAAGCAGCTTTACAAAATTGTCACTTCTACAAAATAATTGCTTGGATGTCCCTGCCCTCATGCTATATATTCAAGCAATTTGACTTTTTCAAAGATTGGAGCTCTTTCATCTCCTTTGGTTGTTTAGGAGAGGTGTATAATTTAGCAGCATTATAAAATTCTATATTTTAAACTTAAAACTACTAGCACTAAATAAAATATCGTCTGGGATGCTGCACAGGCAAAAGTTTCAAGTTCAACTTCTGCCTAGGATTTCCTAATAGCAGCAAATTCTTTGAAATCCATTTAATATTTGCCCACAATTCGGTTATTTTTAGATATCTCTACTGAATGTATTTGTGTAATTATGGGAATACCACTGGTAATCATTACAATGAGAAAAATCATGGTCCCTGTGTTTGAGTATGTCTCTTGGAGAAATATTTTTGACAGTTTAGTAGATCCATGCTCTTACTTACATAGGCTTTTATTGTCTGGAGGAAAAAAAAATAAAACCCAACCAACCAGCGAATAACAACAAAGAATGCCACCTGGAACAGCTGCATCAGAAAGTTTGAAATACCTGTAATGTAGAAGTGGTCTTCTGCCACTGTTACCCAGAGACTGTACTGGAAAGGGCAGGAAGTAACACAGGGGAAAGACCTTTTCTGGGTAAACAAAAGTACCTCTGTTAACAAAACCCTGAGTATTGGTTTCATAGTCAGGAAACCTGGGAGTTTCTGCAGAGGCAATCTAATCACAAAGAGTCAGAATTACTACCAGCCTGTACCTGAGGAGTAGGCCAGTGCCAGTCAGTCTTTTCCTCTGAACCGAGGGTTCTGCACTCTTTTCAGACAGAAATCCCTGTCTTCAGAGCAGAGACACAAGAGGTTTCCTAGTTCAGTACACAAGAATCATGGATCAGCAAATCCCTATTGTGACAGCACCTTTATCTGGTGTGTTTTGTCGATGCACTTAACTGCTCTTGTTGAATGTTCTTTTGTTAGAGCTCCTTTCTGGTAGACAAGAGTGGATGTCTGGCCTGGAACCAACCCTCCTTTGTCATTGATGCAGACTTGGCTTGCCAAATCTGAATTGTGCTGTGTGTTTATTTTCCTGCCTTTCAGTGCTGGATTAGGCATCGTGAGCAAGTGTTTTTGCATCCTGCAAGATCATAGTTTTGACGGTTTTTTTGGTCTGATAAGGACTGTGACTCATTCAGACTGGTTGTTTAGATTGTTTCAAAGATTTACTGTTGCACTGATTTTTATCTCCATATGGTTTTCTCAGACCCCAGAAGTACAATTTGTGCTGTTAGAAAAGGCCAGCTGTTAAGAGGTTTAACAAGCAGAAATGCTCTGTCACTTTTCTGGTTCTGTTACAGAAGCCTTTTGCTACCAGTTTTTAGATTGATCATCCCCCTGCCCCCCCATACTGATAAGGGTACCTATTCCAAACAGGTAGCAACTCCAGTGAGTAGAAGATGAGAAGGCAAACAGTTGTATAATGTTGAACTTGATCTGTTTTGGTTCAGTCAGCAGAAATGAGTTTCTGAAGCCTGTAGTGTGATCAAGGATAGGGTGACTGCTGTCTGTACCATTTCAGGAAATGGCATGGAAAAGGGCCTAGGTGTGAATAGGAGAGCACTTCACAAACAAGTGTTGAGGCTGAGAACTGGTTAGCAAAGGGAAAACCAGTGTTGGCCAAGTGGAAGGCAGAATGACAAGGAGTGTTTCTGTGGTGGTGCTAATAATCTTTCATGCTGGTTAGAAGTCAGACAGGCAGGCAGTGGAAATGATGTTTAATATAGAGTTACAGGATCACAATGGTAGCAGGAGATCAGGATCAGCTATATGGCTACCATTCCAGTCCCCTAGGACTGGTATTTTTATTAGTGGTTAGTTGTATAATGTCAGTAAGATTTTAGAAAAATCAAAGTGTGTCCATTTTGTGGATTGCACTTTTGGTTTGGTTTTTTTTTTTAAACTTTAAGTAATATTTCATGTGCATCAACTTTGTTATTGTAGAATATTGTACATGCCATAGAGACCCAGAGCTTTCCAAGTGCTGTTACACAAGTTGACTTCTTTTAAACAATTTACTTGTAAACTAGGAAACATTTCTGAAAGTTGCTTTTTTCTTTTTTAAAGTAAACCTCTAATCCCACAAAGGCATTTTATGGGAAATGTAAAGAAGCAATTAAAACATCAAAGCCAAAAGAGGTCACTTGTTCTTCTCAAAGCTGCAAAACAAAACTTCTGACTTTGTACTAGGCTATTACAATAAAAAAATAGGTCTAACAAAGATGAATAGTAATTTGATGCTTACTGCTTAGATTGCAATTTTTAAAAAAATAAATGTTGCAAGTACCTGAATTCTAATCCCCTTGGTTTGGTTTTGTTGGGGTTTTTTGTTTGGGTTTTTTTTTTTGGGAGTGGGCAGTATGGGGTAGGGTGTGGTGGAAACTGGCCCTATCCCTCTGTGCACCAGGCTACAGGCTGTTTGCATTGGCTTGGCCTGTGACTTAGTTTTATGACACTCTTATCATAAAGCATAAATGGTATTTTCCTTGTCATTTTGCAGTCTCTTTTGGATGGAGACCTTCCTGTATAGGTTATCTCTGTCACTACAGGTGGCAAACATGGAACAAAATAAATTACCTCAAAAAATTTGAGAAAATTCAACTCCGGTTTTGGGAGTGGGTTTGTGATGAGCTTTTCAATGTAGTTATCAGCTGTGAATCCTGGGGATGGCACCATCCATCTTGAGGAGATCTGGCATGATTAACAATTCTTGGTTGTTCTCCTTTCTGTATCCAGCAAGAGATCTAATATTGCCATTAGTGCAATCAAGGATAGTAGTAGTACAGCATTTTACTTTTATCTTAGGTTGCAAATGCCATGAAGAACTCGCTGCCCTTTGACGCTCCTGATGCATCGCAAGAAGGCCAGAAGGTACTGAAAGTAGAAGTTACTCCAACAGTGCCGAGGATTTCTCGGAGTGCGATTACAACGGCTTCTATCCGTCGTCATCGCTGGAGGAGAGAAGGTGAGCTTCCTCTGTCAGGGGCAAGTATTATAGTGTACTGTAGTCATCATCATCACTGTAATCTGGCTTCTGTTTGAATGTTTGCAGAACAGTTGGGGGAGTTTTTTGTTTGTTTGTTTTTGAAAAGTGGTACTCCATAATAATGTATAATATTTTACATCTTCAGAGCACTGCATGAACATGAACATTTGGGGTGTTTGTTTTCTTTTTGATTTGGAAATAAACCACGAGGTAGGTGAGAAAATGGAGAAGGTGGGAAATGTTTAATAAGACTTCTTTTTTTCTCCATGTAACACAGCACGAAATTGTAGGGGTAAAGTGTGGCTTAGAATTTGAGTTCTTTGTTTAATCCACACTGAAACTCATCTGCCTCCCATCGTAAATAGCTCAGAGAATGAATGGTAATATACAGACCTCGATAGGATTCCAGCTGCCTAAAGCTAACGATGGCAGCGGGAGAGGGAAAAACTGAACACCATGCTCCCATCACATGGCCCAGTTTATTGGGGGGCCATAAAATAGGTTTGGATAGTTTAGAATTAGTCTTTATTTTTCCTCAATGAGTACTTACGTCGTATGGAAGTCTGCTTGACTGTATGAAGAAAAAAAAAAAATCGTAGTGATCTTTACCTTGGTGTGATGACATCTTCAGTGTAGGTGTAGCAAAAAGCTTGCTTTGAAATCACTTTGTCATACTTGCAAAGCTTTGTTGCTCCGTGTATTAAACCGTGGTTTAAAAAAGCTGCATAAAATGCCGAAGCTAAAAAGCAGAATAACCTAAAAATAAACTGAGGATAAAAGAATCTGAAAACAGGGATTGCATATTTTCCTGTAGTACTTTTCCCCCTCACCCTTTTATTTTCTTTTATTCTTCTCTGTCATGTGCAAAAAGATTTGATGCCCTAGTCTTCAGCTGAATCAGAATGTCCAGGACAACAAGTCTTCTGTTTCCAGGACTCTGGGTCGTGTTTTCTTCACTGTACTTGCCATTATATTCATTTCTGGTCTACAGTACAGCCCACCTGTCCCTTTCTGTGGATGTTCTGACAACGTTTAACTAAGCATGGGTAGTGTTTTGTGTTTGTTCCGTGTCCGCATAAATCTTCTATTTTCCCTGCCTGGGTTGGAATGCCAAGAAAGAAACAGAAAAGCACTAAAATGTTATATGTTGAATCCCAGATGGCTTTGACTTCTCAAACGAGGCTGACTCAAGCATTCCTGGCTCACCGATCCAACACGGCTCCACAGACCTAGGGATCAAACGTGAGCAAGAGGGGGAGGTGCTGATGCGCAGGACCCCTGAGCATGGCTTCCCGGAGCCCACCTTGGCAGCAGCCACCACAGAGGGTAGGACAGAGATGAGGAGGCAGAAGTCAGTGAGGCAGTTGCTGGAGGAGGATCCTGGCTCCCTATCCCCAAGCAGAACTTCTTTCCATTCTAGTGTGTGTTTCCGCTATCCCAGGGTGTATTAGCTTCTCTTTGCAATACACGCATCCCCTATATACCTAACACCAGGTCAGGTACTACCTTTTGTTATCACGTGGGCTGGCCTGGGGCTTGCATCTGTGTGGTGAAAGACTGCTTGGCATGGCAAAAAAAAAGAAAGACAGGGGTAATAGCCAAGAGCTTTGGGATTGCTTGGAAACCTTCCATTACTGAGCATGTTTAATCTAATATTAAGAAGGAACAAAATGCACCAGATGAGCATGATTCTAATCCTGAAAAGTAGACCATATAGACTATAAATGGATTTGCCTACAACTTAGTTGCAATGGTGTCTTGTTAGTCTGCAGTTTTTAAATTTTCAAGAATGAAAAAAGTCAAGCCTATCTAAGATGAATACAACTGCTGATCTTTTATTTGTCAGTCATCCTTTAACTGAAAACTCATACATGACAACTCGTTTAGAACTGGCTTCTCTAAAGACAAGTAGCAAAAAAGCGCTTGTGTTTTCAAGAAGAAAACAGATTGTCATGTTTCTAAAACTTTAGAAACAACTACTGCTTTTTTTCTCAGTCCTGCTGTCCACAAAAATGCTGTAGGGATTCATATGTCTGCTTTGCAGCCAAGAATAGAGTAGGTGGTAGAAATTTATTTTGCTTAAGTTCATCTATTAATTTTTGAGTAAAGATGATTTACTCAATGAAAGGTGTTTTTGAGTACTGAACTTGATTCATTTCTTCTCAGAGATGAGAATTAATTTCTTGTAGATTTAGCTAAATATATTTTCAGGTGTTCTATCTTAAGTCTTCTTCTCTATCTGAACATTCCTTTGGTGTTTCCAGCCTCTATAAGGACTTCAGTTGATCATACATGAGATTTATTTACACATTCAGATATGAGCTACATAGGTTTCAGATTTGTTCTTCAGGAAACAATAATCTGGATAATCTGAAGATTTAATGTAGTGTTATCACTTACCCTTAATCAGAGTTACTATCAATAATTAAGATGTCATGCTTCTGTAGAAGATAGTGGCATAAACATATTTAGTGCAGTTTATAATCTGCTTGGTGCATTGTGAATTTGAGCATGCTCAGTAAATGATCCTGTCTTCTCTTAAATTCACTTTTCAGTTGGTCTTACTCCATTTTACTAATCTTTGCATGTGCATGACCTGAAGGATATAGAGAAGTCCTGAGCTGCAGAGAACTTTCTGTAAGAGACAGGAAGTGGGGAAAAAAGTTGATAGAGATACTGCATTTTAGTCTTAACTTGTTCTAAGACATTGTTTTAACTTGGCATATTGGATAAGGCATCATTCCACATGCTTTACTTCAGTAGAAATGGTTTGAATACCATTTACTTCTGTAACATTAGCAATGTATAATTACATGCTTGAGCAAACTGAATTCTCCAGTTGACAGCATCTGGGAGAAGGCCAAGGAATGGAGTTTGACTTGATTATTAGTATATAATTGTGTGTGCATTTATAGGAGTCTGTTATTTTACTGATGCTGATTTCACAGAAAATTTCAACTAGAAAATTCCCTCTCCTTAATATCGTTTTGATGTCAAACAATACAATAAAAGACTGATCACTTCTAGTGAGTTTTCAACCTCCAGGTATAGGAAGGATAAACAGACTAAAAGTAATTTTAAAAAGGTGTATAAAACCCCTTCTTCAGATCAGTGTTTTGACCCAATAAGTAGAAAAAGAGAAGATTTCAAGAATGACTCAGTAATGCCATACAAGGTATTCTGCTTGCAGGTGGTTGCAGCTGTGGTTACGTGCACTATTTTGGGTCAGTGGAGGACATCGTGTCTAAAGCTACAGCATTAATTGTGCACAAATAGCAAATTATTTGAGGACAGATTTATTCTGATAAGGAACAGCGAGAGTCTAGAGTACACACTGTGGTGCAATTGATATGATTTCTGTTGGGTTGCACTGTGTCTTTCTCTTTTGGCCTTACAGTAGAAGAGTACTTGGAAGGGAGCAGATCTTTAATTTTTGTTTCTTTTTAAAATTTTCTTATTGGTCTGTTGGAACAAAAAAAAAAAAGAAAACTTCATTACATCATCCTGTTTTTCCTCCCAGAGTATGTAAGGACTCAAAATATTTTTTTTATTGTTTCTGAGGGCAGTTTGTAGAGGAAAAATACCATGTATTAGGGAAAGAATGTGTTTGCTGAATTACTTTAATCCCATTGAGAACTTCTGTAGGCATGTGGATCTGACTAGACAGAAATTCTCTTGCATGTTGTCTTCTCTATCTTCTTCATTTTTTAGCACTGCTGAGCAGCCTGGGCACCTGTATGGTTGCAGCATCCAAAAGCTTGCAACAACCCCTCTCAGTCTTGTCTTTAAATTCTGTGGGTAAAATGCCACTTTTTCAGTGTGACTGTTCTGCTTCACTGTCCCTGAATAGGAATGTCCCATTACGCAGCAACGTTTTAACGTAAACTTTGAAAACTACTAATGTTCTTGTAATAATAAAAACCTTAGCTGTGTTATCTGGAGATACCTTCTTGCAAGTTACATATCTTTCTTCTGAATAAGAAGGGCTTGAGAGGGGAATTCAGCTGCTACCCTTGCTGCTTGTAACCAAACACACTTTCATCCAGCTTTGCATGATGATATAAAGAAATGTAAATGTTGGTTAATTGAAAAAGTGGTCTTGCTTTTGGTATGTTCCAGTTGTGTCTTATTTTTTTAGCATCTTTGATGATGTGTGGGAAGGTTGGAGGAGGGAATGGAAATGTTGTGGATTGTGAATTAAATATATCAGTGTTTAGTGTAAGAAAACACACTTATGTCTCAAGAAGAACATGAAGGCTAGTTCAACTAGGCAGGGTGGGCAGGAGAGGGGGAAAGTATATGTATTTTAAATATGGATACAGAAGTTGAAGCAAGTAATGCACCCTAGACTTTAATAATAACCCTTGAAACCGAAGCTTATTTTTCTAAGGCTAAAGGCTTTACCAAGGAAGGAAGACTGCAGTAACATGAACCATATTAGCTTTCTGTTTCTGGGAGGCTAATGAATCAAATAGAACTACATAAAACTATAGAATAATATCTCATTGCATTGTTCTGAGAATAGTCTATTTGTGTATCTTTTGTAAGCTGATACACAGTAATGTTAATTCCAAGGCAAAATTTCCTGAAAAGAAGTACTAAATTTAAAGCAGAGTAATAAAACCTCCCTGTAAAGTTTTACATTACACTTCAGAAATGTGAAATTGGATCAGGCTATATTCCTGCTACACAGAGGCAGCAACCACACTGAGAGCTCTCGGTCTGTTCTGCTTGCTATAATGTAAAATGTTCCTTATCTAACAGTGAGCATGAAAGGATGAGCTTCCACTCAAATGTTAGAATCTCCTAAATACTTGCCACCACATTTTTCCCATTCCACAAAAAAGATTTAAACGTGTTTGCTTGGCAGCAAGCTGGGTTGGACAGTAGGAGCAGTACAGTGGCTTTAGCTGGGATGGATCCATAGGTTTTGCAGATTTCTTGCACATAATCAGGCTCTACAGCTTTTATAAAGAAAAGCAAAATTCTTATAACCTGAATACCTCCTTTTTTGCTAACACAGTTAAAATTTATGCCTTTTTCTCACTGAAACAAGATATATGGAACAAAAACTCTAGCTCCATTTTCAGTTTTGAAATTTGAATGCTGCTCAGTTTCCTACTGAAACAATAACTTCCTTTGAGTACTTGGAGCTTAGAAAAAGTACTTGAATGAGATTTATTAAAAAAAAAGTGTGTGCAGCTCTAATCATATAATAGACCTGAAAACAAGGATTTAAGAGGTTTTTATTTTCTCTTTGATACTTCAGTCAAAAGCACAGTGCCTGTTCTACAACAGGAAGTGTTTCAGAGATTAAATTTCTCTTAATACAAGGGTTGTTTGGTTTCAGGTTTTTTTCTCTGAAAAATCTAGATGCTGAGATAAAAGTAATATGGTGGAAACACCCAGATGGGATTGCTGGAAATGCAGGGAGGATTGAGTTTTGGATGAGAGAGAACTAGGAATTGGGTTAAGCTTCAATAGAAAGTGTAGTCACGTTGTTTGAAGTGCCAGCTACCTCTGTTGGAACATTGTGAACGTTGCTGGCCTAGGAAGTAGCCTAATTCTGAAGCTTACTGAGCACTCACCAGAACTTACTCTGCCTGGAAGAGATCCTGAACACGCTTAGATCTTGCCACAAAACAGGATAGAAATCTGAAAGGGTGGTAGCTTTGTTTTGTCTCCTTTTTTAACCACATGTAGGAGGAGAATGGGTAACAGTATGTGCAGACAGAACTAAAACAAATCAGCCAAATGGGACCTAATTCTACTTGTTTTATAGGCAAAGTTTGGGACCGATACACTGACTGATAAAAGTGATGTAGATGAAAGGCAAATCAGGCTCAGGGAGCACTTATTGTTAGACTGTTATTCTGCTAAACACGGCAGGAAAATTATTGGCTGAGAATCAAAAAAAATGTAAGCAAGTGGAATCCAGGTGGATTAGCAAATGAGGTTTGTTTTGGCATTCTGTGCACACCTTTGTCTTCCTGTAACTTAAATGCATACTGTGTGTTCTGATTGGTTTGGGGGTTTTTTGGTTCCTTCTTTTTTTCCTGATAGATGCTGAAGGTGTAAATGGAAGAGAGGAGTCTGTGAACCTTAATGATGCTGATGAAGGATTTTCATCAGGAGCTTCCCTCAGCAGCCAGCCCGCTGGGACCAAACCTGTATCCTCTGTATCGCAGAAGGGCAGCTTAAGGAAAACAGCAAGTGGGCGTTCTTCTAAGGATAAAGAAACCTCTTCTGCAGCAAAATCCAATGAGAGCCCCCGAGATTCAGTAGCTCGAAAGCAGTACACGCACCAATCCACTGACCTGGCTGGAGACACAATCGAGATGACACCTACTAAGAAACACCTCAGCCTGCCTGCTGGGCAGGTGGTGCCAAAAGCCAACAGCTTGAGCCTGATCAGGACCGCCAGTGCTTCCTCCAGTAAATCATTTGACTATGTGAATGGCAGTCAGGCAGGCTCCAGTGTTGGAGCTGGTACAGAGGGTTTTTCCAGTCTGGCAGCTGGCAACACCAATCGGTTTTCAACTATCAGCCTACAGGAGGACCGACTAGGCCAAGCTGGGGAAGGTAAAGATCTCCTTTCCCCAGGAGCTCCCCTAACCAAGCAGTCTCGATCTCCAAGTTTCAATATGCAGCTGATATCCCAGGTGTAACTTTGACTCCCTTCCTTAGCACTCCTTCTTTCCCATTAATCCCCTGCAAGTTCATCCTTAGGCAAAACATGAACCATCATCCCACAGTGTTAAAATACTGACTGTTGTGATCTTGTTTGATTTGGTTTAGCTATCATACTGTATTACTGAAACAGCAATAATTCTTCCCTCACCTTCATCCTCCTTCCCCCTTGTAAACATGGTTGTGAAGCAGTATATAATGTACTGTATATGCCTTTTTCCATGCCTTCCTTTCTCCTTGGGTGATGTGCAATCCATCGTAGGCTGATCAGTCCCATTTCAACACTGTGAGACTGGAGACACCGGCGGAAATGGTGAATGTGATCCCTATGAGATGATGCTTTGGCTTTGTTAAGAAATAGAAACGGGTTTGTTTTCTCGGTCTACAGTACTGCAAAGACTACTGGATCATGACTTTTCTTTCTCAGAACCAGGAGTGCCTCAGAGATTCTAGTGTGACTTTGGACCTCTCTGAGTCTGTGCAATCAATTCTGGGGAGGGGATTGTCATTGCTGCTCCTGGCTGCCTACAGCACTTTTTTCATTAAAATTAGGGTAGTTTTTTCCTGACTGCCCCCAGTCTGTCATCCCAGAAGCTTTTGATGTTCAGCAACTGAGACATGCGTATTAACAAGCTGTTTTCCCTCGGAGAGAGGATTCTAAGCTGATAATGTAGGTTACAATGCACTTCTAATGGCGTTGTAGCCATTTGTAATGTTACATGTCTTCCCCTCCAGGACACAGGGTCATTCTGCATTTAGACTAAAATTTACACAACACCATGCTGTTAAAGCAATTTGGTTTGGAAGTGGGAGGAAAACACTACTTTCCCACAAAATAATGGCTATCTCTGCTCCATTTTTGTTGTTTTTGTTGTGAGGTGCTGATCACTGAATTGAAAGGTGTATTCGGGTAAAGAGTATTTCTCAGGCTGCTTTCTTTGGTATCATGGCTGTTGGGACACCCCCACCTCTTTCAGCTGCTTTCTCAATGTCCCTGAATTCAATCATGGTGTCATTTGAGGAATCCTGCAGTCCAGACAGACCATACTCTCAAGGTGCTGTCTCAGGGATAGAGATAATAGTTTGCTAGAAACACTGAAGCTTCAATGTGAAATGCTTTTCTAGCAATGCTGTTTGTGCAAAGGGGTACTGACAGTCCTTTTCTCCCCAGAAGGATCACACTTCATTGCCTTGGTATATATAATCTGTTGAGGTTTTTTAACTCTTATTTTAGTGGATTGGCCCTACTCTAGAAAATTCAGAACTCGTGCCATTGAGCCAAGCCTTGAATGTATATGACTGGTGTATGGGCACTGGCTGGTACTTATGTTAGAGAACACTGCTTAGAAGCACATTTCTGGTTACATGGGAGAATATTTGTCATTCTCTCTCCATCTCTCTGTATCTCTCTTTGGATTGATAGAGAGAAAAGGGGAAAGCTCATTCTCTATGCTTGAGTCATGTATGATATCCTGGAAGTTTACAAACTGTAAACCTGCAGGAAAGTTTATGTTTTTTATGTGGGCACTTTGGTTTCACTGTCACTGTGAAGGATAAACATAAGCAGTTAAAAACAGCAGGCTGTCTTTGAATGTCTTTTGGGGTTTGGGGGTTTTTTGGAGTTTTTGTTTGTTTTGGGGTTTTTGTGGGGGTTTTTTGTGTTTTTTTTTTTTCTTTTGAATCTTTGTTTCAAATAGAACTTTTTTTTCAAATTTGCATTTTCATTTAAATATTTGAAGATTTTTTTATGGTTTGATGAGTCACTTTGGTAGCCTAGTCTTCATATAATACATTTATAAAGTGAATTAAATGGCATCTGGACTGATGCAGAAATTCAGTTAAAGAGTAAATAGACTCATCAGAAAGAAAGAAAATCTTACAGCTTCTAAATGGAAGTTAATCTTTAAGGACACTAGTCACACACAGATGGAACTAAGGCAAAGTGAGATTAAACTGCAAGGCTTATGTTTCTGTAAAAATGTCAAAAGCTGTATATGGTTAAACTCTTCTTTATAAAATAAAGTTTTGATAGTGGGGACAATTTGTAAGTCGTGGCTGAAAGTACAAAGTTTATACTTCGTGGAGACCACCAAAAAGGAAATTTGCTTAAATCTTTTGGAAAGAAAAGGTCAATAGCATCAGCTAATTTTCTAAGAGTTACTTAATTTGAGTATTTTGAAAAGTAGAGCTGTTCATTAGGAAGGTTCTCTGCTGTCTACTGTTTGCATTGTAAGCATTCCTCCAGAAGTTTTAGGATGCTTAAATTGGCATCAGATCAAATTTTACAATCTTTTTTTAAAAAATATTCTTTTGTGTGGGGTCCCACACTATAAAACTATTTCAGGAAAGTGAGACAGCTTTCGTGACTTTAGATTGGGAAGTCAGTTTGAATTGGCTAAAACTGACGTCAGACAATCTTTCAGGATATTTTTACAGTTCTCGTTTTGATGTGCCTTTTGTTACGGTTTCATTCATTGTATTTTGGTTTGTTCTTGTGTATATATACCTATTCCATATCAATCTTTTTAAAATGAGTTCAAGTTTATCCCTGGAAAAAAAATAATTTTTGCTATGGGCTGATGTGGTCCATCTATAACTTCTCAGAATTACCCTTTTAGTGCAGTTGTTGGAGCTTGTTTTGTTGTTTTTCAGCCAAGTACTGTTTAATATTTATCTTACAAATTGAGTCATCACTAATATCCACAAACCAGCTGTAGTAACAGGCTTTGCTGTGCTGTGTATCACATTTATCATTAATGCTTCTAAATGTGGCTCAAACTATGCTAAGGTGTGTCAAGAGTGTAGAAAAAATTCATTCACTTAAGTTCAGTACACTTCAAAGTACTGTTGCAGAAATAAAATTAGAAGTGTCTGGTATATGGGTGGAGGGAATAATCTGCTGGCTTTCTGATTACATATGTTAAATACTAAACAACGTACAAAACATACTTAAATTTTCTGACACCCGTGACAAATGTTTAGACTTAAATCAAACTTCATCCTAAATTCACTCTGCTGTGTCTTCTTTTAGAACATTTGGTACTTGACATGAGGCACTAGGTTTAGATTTTTGCAGTATTTCAGTGCAACTGCAGCATTATAAAAGAAGGACAAGAAGCAGAACACTGATTTTTTTAAAATTTTTCCCCCCTCTATATGTGTGCATGCATGCACATACATATAATTCTTATGTGAGGAAGTGTGGATACTGTTTTCTGATGTGTATATATACACTTAAGTAGGAAAAAATTAAATATTCTTTGATACACATCACAATATGCTGCCATTTTGCAACTCATTTTTGTTGGCTTTTGTAATTTTAAGAAATATTGGTATTGTGAACTCCAGCTTGATTATCCTTTTCAGGTGTTATTGTGAGCAGCTTTTTGTTTGAAAGATGAACCGTTCTTTTATCCTGCAGACAACAAAGTGATGAAGTAAAAATACCTTGCAAGATGACAGTTTAAATTGCTTTCAATTGCTAAATAGTTTTCAATTGGAAACTTCAATATCACTCTCCATTTTAAATGCAGATTTCTTTGAACACTCTTTCTGATGTGAATTTGGAGAAGCTTTTTAACAGCATACTTCATTCTGAAATGCTGAACATCATGTTGCATCCACTAGGCATTAGATCTAATATTTGTAGTTCACAATACAACTATTTGTGTTAGTCTTAAATACAGCATTTCCAGCGTACTCCTGCTAGCTTTAACATATCTACAGTCATCAAAATAGTGAGAAAAAAATGTTTTCTGACGAAGTATTTATTTGCACTATTTATGAATACTGGAGTTTACTGGGACAGGGTTTTTTCTCACCATGTGAGGTTTACTTGTGTGTGAGTAGGTACATACATTTGTCACGTGTTGACAATCAATTGCCTCAACTGTGTGTATACTGTATGTAAATAGGAACATATTTTTCAAGATTAAGGGGGAAACCTGCATCTTAGTGGTGGTAAAGCTACTCTGTAGTAGGGTGACCCCAACTCTAACCGCTTTTTGTCTTCAGATACTATGTGGTTTGTTTTACTTCTTGAATGAAGATTATTAGTGTTCTGGGAAAATTTTAGCTCCAGGGAAATTTTCCTCAATATTTAATGTACAACATGTTCAGAGAATTATATTTTGAAAAATTAATTTTGGAATAGATAATCCTATGCTATGGCTGTATTTTAACCTAAGAGTTTGAACTTGTCCTATTTTATCATGAACCAATGACTATCTTTCTTAAGTGTTGAGCATTTTAACTTCAGTCACAAACCAGAAATTGTTGTTTATCTTGGCTTACAAATTTAAATTAATTTGAAGACTAAGAGAGAATCAAGAATAACTTGTTGAAGAAAATCATAAAACCCAAGCTGTACAGTGTAGGTGCTGTGCTCATAATCCTGGAGGAGGTATGGAAAATATAATGGAATATGTTTGAATTAAATGTATGTACTACACACAAAAACAATACTTCTAATATTAGTAGATCTAATAATCTCATCCTTAAATTCTAAAATTCTCTCATTGCCAAAGATAATGCTACCTTGGCATGTTTAATTTAGCATTAAAGCCACTAGCTAGGTCTCATTTATGACAACCACTTATGATGTCCATCAGAAGAGTACACATGACCCTTTTATTTCAATTTCTTGTTTAGGATAATTGCAGGGCTAAAATTGCAAAGTACCACTCCTTTTCAAGCATGGTAAGCAAAGAAGCCAGATCCTCTATACTTGCATTGCATTCTTGATTTATATAAATTTTTCAATATTTTATATTCTTTTCAGTATTTTGAATGCGTTTTGTTTCTAGCATATGGGCCTTAATCTCTCTTGATTATTTTTTAGAGTTTTTTCCCCCCTGGCACTTGGATAAACTGGCTGTGGAAAGCTTTTCTGTAGGTGATTCAGGGTAACAGAGCATGACATGGGTGTTGTGTTAGCGAATAAATGTATCAGTCTGTCAAAATTCGCACGTCTTTAACAATTGAAGAGCCAAAATACTTGCTCCTTCCACAGTGATAGAAGATGATGGTGAGCTGTGAGCAACATGGCTTGTTCCTGAAAACAGGAGTAAGTGGATTTTGCAAGACTGATACGTATGAGGCTTTCCACATAGTCATTATGAAATTTTATGTAAAATAAATCTCAGAACCAGATTTTTTAAAATGTAACAGCCATTTCAGATAAACCTGCCTAGTAAGTTTGTCAGGTGTCAAGGCCTGTGACATTAGAAGTTTAGAAGCAAGCTGAAGAAGTCTGAGTACCTTACAACTTCAAGAAAAGGATTTACTAAAAATCTGTCCCATGTTTTTTGTCTGTATTCAAGATTTAATGAAAAAAACAATTGTTTCCATTCTTTTATTTATTTTTCTCTAGGCTACACCTCTCCCTGATTTTTTTTAACTGTGTTCATCAGATTTTACCAAAGGTAGTATCTGAGGAACCAAATGAATTTAAAATGGGTCCATAAATTATCCCTTCTATCATAAAGGATTAGTAAGCTATTCCTGCGAGGAGCTATTGATGGGAACAGATGTATATTAAAACTTTGTACAGTAAAACGTTGCCCTACATTTTAGCTTGTGCATGATGAGCAAAGTGGTGAGATCAGGTTTTATTGACCAGTTACTTGGTTGTGAGCTCCTAGTGTTTTACAGTTGGTAAGATGTAAGCAGTTTTAGAGAAAACTGTCTTTGCATTGATACAACTTTTTTAAGCATTTTAAGTTTTGACTCTTGAACAGATGATTGTTAAAATGTGGTTTAGAATTCACACAGGTTTTGATTTTAGTGGGTAAAATGGTCAGGGAAGATTTCTGTTTATGAGTATCTCCTGGTAAAGTGTCTCTATGGTGCTTTGTCATGGAAACTTCCTTACAAATCAGTAGTGAATCCTGTGTGTTTGAGTCCTCATCCTCCCCGGAACTGATCACAAACAGAAAAAACCAGTGTGTGTGAAGCAACCTTTTACCTTTTGTTCTGAAACAAGTACTTGGGAGTGACAGAAATACTGGCTATTGACACTGTTCTTTCTGTTCAGGCAGTTATTGTTGTTGTGCTAGATTTTCATGTTATTAGTTTATGAAAAATGCAAGTAGTAAAAACTTTGTGGCTTCAAGTATACAGTAGATGTGAGTTAACAATCACTCAGGATAAACCAACATGTCAAAGTATTAATAGATTCCTAGTACTGGGGTGTGTCTGTGTGTATCAGTGTGTCAGTGTTCAATGATTACTTTGAAAAAAGACAGTTTGATTGCGTTAATAATAATAACAATGATTACTTTGTTACTGTTTTTCTTGCAGATAGAGCATACTTTAGGGATGGATATTACTAGCTGGTTATTTATGGACAAATACCATATAATTAAATAAAACTGAGTCATTTAACATTTTTTTTCATATCGAAGATTCCAGGAAAAAGCTAATAAAGATTTTTAATAATTAAATTAGCTACTCTTAATACATTTTAGATTTACTATGGTAGCTTTTATTTGCTATTAAAAAACCCCAACAACTTAATTGAGGTACCCCATGCTGCATTTTTTAAATTTGTAATTCCTGTACTTGACAATGAATCTTTTGATCTGTTTTTGCCCTTGTAAGAATACAGAATTTGCTGTCAGTTTTACTAGCAAAAAGAAACATTCTGCAAGGGTTAAAAGATTATTTTCATACTTTTTTCTGTCATACTAGGTTTGTTTCTCTGAACTAGGGTTTCTGAGGATTTTTACTACTTTAGCGTTCTGTAATCTCATAGAAGGAGCATAAGCAGCACGTAACCCACTTCTTGTGGACAGACAGGCAAGGCAAAGGACACGGATTGGTAGTGTGAGCCCCTCTTCACCAGGATATCCCTGCGTGCTGGTATGAACCCCAGACATTCAAGATTCGGTACTGGTGAAAGACTAAACCAAACAGGTTTTTAATAACCATGACCTCTGCTGTATGATGTCCTTTAACCTGGGACCAAGGAAAATCTTCATTCTTAGTCCTGAAGAAGGCACGTATTGAAGATCATGTTATTGGTGCATGTAAGCCATTATCTTAACTGTCTTACTGAGCTGGTTCATGCTGTTGACTTGTTGAAATGTGAAATGTAGTTACTATTGACTTTGTAAATACCTGCCAGAGAAGAAATATAATTATTTTAAATCATTGTAAATAGAGATGTATAAAAATTGACACACTCTGCAATGCAGAAAAAAATTATATATATATATATAAAAATATATAAAGATGTTAAATAAATATTGTGCTGTTTCTGAACAGAAATGTTTACGCTGCGAATTGCTGTTTTTTTTAAAAAATGTGGTTTGCAGTAGTGGGGGTGGTACGGGCCGTGAGCGGAGCTGTCCCAGGAGACGCGGAGCTTGGAAGGGAACTGTGCCCGGTGCCGTGGGCAGCGCTGTGCCCGGGGCTTTCCCTCGCCCCGGCACCCCGGGCATGCGCCCCGGGGCCGCCCCTCCCTGGCGGCGGAAGTCCCGCCCTGGGCCGGGAGCGGGCCGCGGGTTGGCCTCGGGACGGGTCCCGCCGGCCGCCGCTCTCGGCGCCTCGGGGCGGGCGGGGCGGAGCGCTGGCTCCACGTTCCGCCTCCTGCTGCCGCTGCCGGCGGCGCGGGGAGCGGCCGGGACCCCGGTTCTGGCCACGGTCCCGCCGGAGCGGAGCCGTGAGGGGTGGGGTGAGGTGAGGCGAGGCGGGGCCGCCATGAGCCGCAGCGAGGGGTCGGGCGGCGGCCGCCGCCGCGTCCTGCAGGTGAAGTTCGTGCCCGACGAGGAGGTCCTGAAGCACATCGCCGACGACACAGGTACAGCCGGCCCCGGGCAGCGCCCAGCCCGGCACCGCCCGCCACTCCCAGGGCGCGGGGAGGGGGCTCTGAGCAGCCGCCGCGGCCCCCGGGAAAGGGGCTCTGCAGCACCCAGGTCGGGCCGCAGCAGGACGAGGCCTCCGGGGTCGAACGACCGCCCCCTCCGCGGTTGGTCCCTGTCCAGCCCGGCACAGGACGGGCTGCGGGCGGGGCCGAGCGAGGCTCCGCGTGGTGGGTGCTGTAGGAGAGTTTTGCTGCAGTTTTGACTACTTTTAAGGTTTGGAACCTTTGTGGAGATGCTTCAAACTTGCCAGTGCAAGGCACAGAGCATCCAAATCAGACACTGCTGGTCCTACTTTGAGCAGAAGGTCATACACACGGTCTCCAGAGGGGTCGCAGCCTAAATTCTCCCACGAGTGTTCTGACAGCCTACAGGCAAGGTATTGTCCGCTTGCTGCCTTTCACCATGAAGGATAGGGCATGGCGAGTACCGTCTCCTTTGCGTGCAGTGCTGTAATGTGCGAGTCACTGTCATTTTGCCCAAACGATGGAAGCTGGTGTGTGCTGAAATGGGTGTCTTGTCCTTACGAACTGCAGGGGCCAGCATTTGTGGAGAAAGAGGGACTAATGGTTGTAGGGTCAGCTGCTGACCAGGTCTTCTTTTAGCAGGACATCTTAGCGTTGTATTTGTTATAACAGCAAGTTGGTCTCTGAGTTGGATGGCTGCGTACTACTGCAGTAGAAATCATGAAGTAGCAGGAGGTTAAAGCTTTTATTGCAATCCTAGGTATCAAAGTACGGAAGGACAAGCCTCAGCCGAGTATCAGTTTGAAGAGATTTGTGAAGAAACTTGAGAATATTTCAGATGATGAACCTCAGGAGATCCTAGAAGAGAAGAACTATGTTGCTACTCTTGGAATATGTACCCAAGGTATTAGCAGGAGAAAACGTAACACATCTGTGACTTAAGAAGATTCTTGCAGTGTCAGGGTTGTACAATGCCAGTGAAATTGCTTTTGAGGGCTGAACCAGCTCTGGCTGTGGTTGTGGTAACAGGCAGAGGAGAGGATTATTATTCTAGGATTTTATTATGATATTTATTTTATAACACCTGCAGTTTAAAGAGAGCCAAATAGTGAAATATTGCATTCCATATTTCTTGGGTTGGGAATATATCAGTGCTTTTAAAATAGCTGCAAGTAACGTTTCTTTTCACAGATCCAATGGGAAATGGCACAAGTGTAAGTGGTGGTGAAGTTTACTCATTTCAGGCTCCCAAACGCTCTAGTAAAATGGCAGAGCTGGGTATGTTTTGCTTTTTTTCTTTCATTCTTGCTAGTCTATGGTCTTTCTTTGAATATTCTTGCTTAAGTGATTTGTCACTTCTTTTTATGCAAAAGATATAATTGCAGTATTTCAGCACCTTTTATCAGTCTTTGAATCAGTCTTCATCAGAAACAAAAGCACAGGGCTAGGACAAAGCAACGACACGATGGGGGTAAGAAATACAGATGATAAACACATAAGAAAATGTAGAAGTTTCTTAATGCTGGGAAAAAGTCTGCATGTAAGTGCCAAAGGATGGTAGGGTTTTTATTTGTGTAACTTAGAAGGATGTAAGAATATCCTCACTATGTAGCAGAGAATCAAACAAAGGCTACATTAGCTTTGTGTGTCAGAGGATTTCTACTCAAAGTGTCTGAGTGTGCTTGCTGGGCTAACTGTGGACTCTTAAGTTCACAGTCCTGTAGAAAGTTGCAGTTCTGGAGAGGGTGGACTCTTTTGGTTCAAATAAGATGCTTGAGGCCTGTTGTCACCATTTCTTCTCACTTGAAGAGTATGTCCAACACCGTCTGAATTTCATTAGCATTTAGCTGTCACAGCTACTGATACATCCTACAAAGGATAATCCGAGAGAGAGGGTTTTGGTGCCTCTTAGCTTCTACTGTGTCTTGGGAAGTTGTGTGTTTCTTATCTTACACCTCCTTCTGCAGCAGAGTAGGTTTCACTGGTGCTCTCTTCTGGAGCCAAGTCAGTTTGAAAACGGAAGTTATACAATGCTGGGCTGTTAGTCACAGTGTTGTTCCATACAATAGGCTGTTGGTCCTGCAATGGTAGGGACTGTTTGCAGGTTACGGGGACCTTTCGTATTCATATCAGTCCTTTGACTTCAGCTTGTGCTGATAAGTAGTACAAAGAGGTAAATAGTTCCTCCTGGGCAACTGATGTGTTTACTATACCTGATGCTTTACTATGTCCAGCTGAACAGTTTTAAAGGGCTAAGTGAGCCTGGCCAAACATCCCTCTGATTCAAAGATGTGGTCTGCCAGGCAGCAAAATGTGCTTTGCCATTGCCTCAGCCATACTTGTAAAATTAATTACCTGACGAGTTCAGTCTTTGAAAATCTTTGCTGAAGATTACATTCACCATTAGGGTTAGAAAAAAAATGGAAGTATCTGGTACACTTCCTGCAATAGCTAAGGAATTAATACTTAGAGATCATTTCAGGTATATGGCTCCATGTCTGACTACCCAGATCTGGAAGTTTTGTACCTGATGTGTGAAACTTCTTCCCTTTCCCCTCTTTCCTACAGCCTCTGAATTAGCCCACACACCAGAACAGAGTGTGGCACCTGATCACTCCAAGGGCCCTGGGAAGACAGCAAAGACGCCTCAAAGTAGCAGTAAGTCCTATGATGGCTTCAGCAACTGAAGCTGAGTGAATGGCAGTTATGTTTCTATTGCGTTGGTGGAGTGAATGCTTGAGTGCCAGTTTCTGTCATGCCTGAGTGTTCTAGTCAGCTTAACACCATAGGCTGAACTGTTTGGTATGCATGGCCTCTGCTTCACCTGAGTGTCAGATTTCTTCTACCCTGCTGCTCTAGAGGAAACAGGAGTTTCTTTCTCATCTACTGCTGTGACATTTAACGACTTCCTCTGCATTCAACAGAAATACTTGCACTTGAGAGAGTTATGAGTTGGGTTTATGCGTTAAGCAGCAACTAGGTAGGAGTGTGGGGGTGTTCATGTGTAAATTCACACTTTATTATATAATATTTAAGCACCCAGTGCTGCAGGGAGAAATACAGGTGGGAGAAATCAGTGCAGGTCAGCACTGGCAAGAGCATGTGCCTTTGTGCTCAGAAGTGGAGTCTGATGTGCTCAGGGAGAAAACATTACCTCATTTTTCTGCCTCTTCCCTCCTCCCAATGGCCTCCCAAAGCTGTGACCAGAATTAAAAGCTGCCTTCTGTGGTAATAACATTGACTGTTGTGTGAGTCGACACAGGCAGGCAGCTGGAACAACCACAGACTCACGGCTGGAATGCAAAGAGTAAATTTACTTCCATTACCTCACTAACCGAGGTGTTGCCCCGAGGCAACACCTGGGCAGAGGCGCACAAGTGGAGGTGGTGTAGGCACCAAGTGGAGATTCAGGCACCATTAAGTTTAATCCAGTGCTAGAGAATCACCAGAAAACCTGCTGTTCAAACTGGTTTATCAGTGGCTTCTCACATGTGTATAGTTTACTACCATGCTGTGATTTTCACTGTGTTTTGATCCTCTCTGTACCAAGACAGGGAGCTTGAGCCTCCTCATTCACTCTCCCATTAGGGTGTCTCCAGGTCTAGCAAGCACCTGTGTTATCTAGACACAGATGCTCTACTTCTCAAAGCATACAGAGAGCCAACAGCACTATACATGGTATATGTTTTTTTCTACATTGCTACTTGAGTCTTTGCTATCCCCAGCTGCAGGGTCACTTGAGCATATTTGTAAATCTCTTTGTCAGTTTTCTTCTTTTAACCCATTCCTCACAACAACTGTCTTTGTTCTCTCCTTGCCTACCTGTGAGGAGCTAGGGTCAGGGAGCTGATATTCTGGTGCAGCATACCTTTGAATAGTGAACGCCTGGTTTTCTACTGGATCACCTTGCGCCACTGTTGAAAATATGCAGTACTCTGTACAATGCTGTTTCTTGTTTTTCAGAACATTCAAGTTCAAACAAAGAGCAGCTGAGGGTGAGTGATGACTTCAGCTTGGGTTTTGGTTGGGTTTTGGTTGGTTTTTTTTTCCCCCTACTTTTAAAACTTGAGGTGGCCAGTCGTACAGTTCTGGAAAGGAAAGACCTTGAAAAGCCTAATCCAACCACATGGGAGTAACTGAAATAAGAACCAGAGCTACCATTAATGAGGACTGTGGGGTTTGGAGTCAGTGGGCAAATACTGGGTTTGACAGCTTAATTACCATGGGTGGAAACTATTTCCTTGCATCACACAAGTGAGGATGCTCGACTGTCCCTTAATACACAGTTAAACTCATAGCTTTCCAGTTTCTCACTAAAGGAAGAAAAAGCCTTAATTGTAAGGAGTGCTGTTAGAACAGGAGTTCAAGAACTGTGGTGCTGTTCAGTTTCTTACTTTAGCATTGGTTTATAAATTGGGATAACGGGGGGATGTAAGTTGATGTTGTGTTTTGTGATGTTACAGAGAGATACTGTCCAGAACTGCCAGTTGTGGTTATAGAGTGGAACAGTTGGCTTTCTAAAATGCTATAGCATCATACACAACTTTTCCGGAATAAGGTTCCAGGATGAGATATGCCTGAAAAAGAGATGCTGTTTTGGGATGCCGTATTCACTCCCTGATGATTTCACATTCACTTTGTCAGGATCAACAAAAGTGTTTCCTAAATGTTGCAGACTTGATCCAGTGTCCAAGTCAGGCATGCGCTTTACACATATGTAAGGAAAATGTGCCACTACGTCCTGATGAGCGCAGGCAGCTTGGGTTCCTCGTGCTGTACTTCTGGGCTTAGTATGCTGAGTGGTCTTCTGTCATTATGGTAGTTGTTTCCATAGAGGGACTTCCAAAGGACTTTCAGTAGACAGCATGGTGTGGAAGATGACTGCTGTGGGGACCAAAGCATTTTCAGTTTGTCATTGCTTCAATTTGGCTCTTCCTGAGGGACCAAGATTGGCATCTTGGTTGGAGATTTCACAATTTTCTACCCTCCATCTCAAGACATGAGTTGAAAGAACTAAGCCCCTTTTGGAACCTGATCCTGCCTCCCTCGGAATGGCAAAACAAGAACTCTCCATACTTACTGCCTCTGCTTTCCTAGTTTCATGTGGGCTGAAATACTTTGGAAATGTAACCTGATTCTACTCTTTGCTTGGCAGAGGGCTGTTTAGAGGAGAGCTATGCTTCTTCTTCTAATGTATGTTTTTTCTTTGCTGTTGCAGAGTAAAAAGAAAGAATTTGTGTCAACCACACCTTACAGGCTCAGAAAGAGGCTAGCAGGTAAGGATCAGCCTTTGCAGTTAGCTCCCACAGCCAGTGAGGGTGTGCTCAGGAGAGAGTGTTTTTCCTGGTGAGCTTCTGCCTGTAGTAGCAGTGTGACTGAAGCAATCTGCTTCATCCTGCAGAGAGTGTAGAAATGTCCTTATGTTGACCTTTTCCCTACAACTGATAGTTACTAAGGTAAGGGATGGAAAGGTTAGAAGCACCAAGTTGCCAAACTTCAGTAACATGATCAAAAGAGACAAAACTTCCAGTAATCTAACCTGTGCTGACACTTAAATGTGGCATAATTGCTTGAACCAGGTCATAAAACTTTTTGATGATGGCTGGGACATCCATGGTAAAGTATTCCAATAGTTATTCCAACAACTGGTTGGCTATACGTGCTCAGAATGAGTGCAGAGGAGAGTTTAGCACATGGTGTTTCATCTTCTGTTTCTTTTGTGTTGAGAGACCAAGACTGAGCCAGATTTGTCTGTGCTCTTCAACAGAGATATTTTACAAAACCTTTTTGCAGTGTGACTTAGAAGATACTCAGCTTGCATGATTGGCATTTGGGAAAACTTATGCAGAGATTCTAAGAGAAATAGGGAATTCCACTGTCCATTTTTATGGTAGGATTATGTTTCTTAGTTGGTGTCAAGGAGCAAGCTTTACTTAACAATACTTTGTGATGCTAGAACTGGGAAAGAAATGACCATGTGTGTTTGCAGTTCTGTTAAGCATTGATTTTACCTTTCTGTAAAAAATATTGAGGATTCATATGCTTGAAAAACTTCTCGAGAATGTGTGTGAGAGTGTGAGATGGTGCAAAATGGATTACATGTAAGAAGTCATTCCTAGCTTTTAATCGTAAATTTATGCTCTAGCTCCAGATTCCTGTTTAGAAAGTGAGAGTGAATATTCTGCTTCCTGCTCAGAGGAGGAGGATGAAGAAGATCAGCAAGAAGTCAGCACTGTTTTATCAGGTCAAAAGACCCCAGCAAAAACTAAGGCTGCACCTACACCTCCTCCCAGAAACAGCCTAGCCAAAAAAAATAAGGAGGAAAAGATGGTGAGTGTGCAAAAATTCTGAGCTAGCAAACGCGAAGGGATGTGTAGTGACAGTAAGCTGTCAGTGACCACACCTGACTGTGGAGAAGGACTGCTGGACTCATTTCAAATCAAACCAGCTGGGTTGGCTTTTGCGGTACTTTTGAGCAATCCCTGTTGGACAGGCATCACGGGAGCCTGTGGGCTAATCCAGTCTGTATCCTTAGCAGCTTCAGAAGGAGAGGTTCTAAGATGTCCATGAAGCAGGAGACCTTGTATTGATAAAGGATGAAGGAATTGATTCCTGTAGCACCAAAAGAAGCACACATTACTGTTCTGGCTTGGTGTTCAGCCTAATTGTCTTATTTCCTTCCAGCATCAGGGATCCTCATACTGCCTTAGAATTAAGTGTTATGTTCTCTCTCTCAGAATCTCTTTTCAGTCTCTATCTTCAGGAAGGAATCATCTGACTAGGTTGGCTTTGGCAGAATGCTACTATAAAAGCCATTTTTGCTAATATTTTCTGTCTTTCTCTTCATCCTTGTGCTATGTCTCATATCGGCCATCTTAGGGAGAGGCAGGAGGAGTGTGGCTGATCTTGCTGTCCTTTTACAGAGCAACCTGATGGAGGAATACTTTGAAGCTCACAGTAGTTCCAAAGTGCTCACTTCAGACCGAACGCTGCAGAAGTTGCGGAAAAGAAGGTTGAATCAGGTACATTCACAGTGAATAACACAACTCTTGGAGCTTTTGATTTCTTTGATAAAGATTTCCCTCTTCAAAATTTCCTGATGTTGCTATTTTCACTGTATTTCTACTCGTTACATGCTCAGTGGTAACACTGGTTTAGGTAGCGTTTTAAGCAGTATGTTCCCTTCTGCTGCTCTGAGCAGGGACAGTGCCCACTTGTTTGAATATGAGACAGTAGGGAAAATGCAGGGGGGAGAGGTTACCAGAAGAGGTTAAAATTTGCTTTTGAGGGAGGAGAAGAGGGAGAAGCACAATTGTAGAGACATGTTTTAAAAATTATCACCGAAAGAGTGCTTCGTCAATGAAATAATATGGGGAATTACAAGCTGTCTTGACTATTTATGTGTAGAGGAAATAGAGAGCTCTTTTAATCTGAATACTACTGGGTCAAGCCACTTGCAGGACTGGGACAGCTCAAAATGTTGTCACCTAGTTTGTTAGATTTAGTTTGTTCCTTTCCAGTTTCTAGCAGACAGGAATCATCTAATTGTGATGACTGAATTACTTTATTTTTCTCACTTCCATGAGACAGTTCAAAGCAAGGAGTGGTACCCTACATAGACAGGTACCCAAGGACAGGTGCCAGGGAAGTGTGTAGAATATTTGGAGTTCTTGTGTCCATGACTGTTTTTTGTGCCCATTTATGTTGTAAAAGATGGCATATATGCAGACTGCCTGATGCCTGCTGTTGTCTGGAATTGCTGCCCAGAGGAACACCTGTATTCTTAACAAGTTCTTTTGTAACAGCTCTGGAAGGAAATCAAGGCTTTCAGTGTTAAATCTACTGCTTGCTTCAAAGTAATCGAAGGCTTAGAAGTTCTGTCTCTCAGTGCTTTGTTTGTCTGATACATTGCAGCTGCCTTTCCAGCCTAAACTGTCTTCTGTTGCAAGGGAGTGGAAAGCAAAGCTCTTAAAATGGAAGAGAAAGGGAGGTCAGTGTAGATTTGATGCTACTTATGCTGCCATGCTGATTAAACATGAGCATCACAGCATACCTTTAAAGCTGAATTATTCCTTTGGTTCTTGGTGCTTTTGAAATAATACTTTTTCTACATTTAGCTATCAGCTGCAAATTATTTTCTTCCTACTGTATTTCTTTTTTAAGATGATGGGGTTTTTTGAGCATTCTCTTGTAGTGACAAACATCTGAACCTTTGCTAAGCATGTTGCTAAGCCTTTGCTCCCGTGAGCAGGGATGTGATATTGGCACCTTCCTGGTGCAGTGCTTGGGGCTGTGTAAGCTCTGAGTGTGCCTGTTATTCCTGTAGTGGTTTTCCTGTACTTGGCAGAAAGACAAAAAACACAGTGTGATATCTGCTCTAGTCCTACTCTGGCTGTCATTTCACATAATAAGTTTACTTAATCTCTGTTTTGTGTCTCCAGTAGCAAAACTGTGCTTAGGGGGTCTTCATGGAAAAAGGAAACAACCACAAATTGAGTGCACTGACAATGAAAACTATTCTCCCTTGCTAGAAAGCATACTAGAGGGTGTTTTTAAGGACTCCAGATATGCCTTGTTTCTTCTCTGCTTTGAATGACTGTCATCTCTTTCTCAACATAGGAAACACTGCGTGATCTTCTGACAAAAGCTCCCCTTGCCTATGCTGCTGAAATTAAAGAACTTAACCAGCAACATGAATCCTTGTTTTCCAAGTGGATGCTGCAATTACAGTAAGTATCCAATGAGAATCACTAAATAAACCTAGTAAAAAGGCACTACCAGTAAACTTACCCTTAGTCAACAATATCCTGTGGGTGAATTAAGGAACGACTTCTTTTCTTATGATTGATTGCTTAAATTTAAAAGTAGGTGACATTAATGTAGTTCAGTGCTTCCTGCAGACCAAATCATATCTGACTGACTCCTTAAATTGAATGCCTGAAGTGCAATGACATTGCATTCTACCTGGCTAGTTTGCCTGTGCCTCTCTAAACCGATCTAGATGGCATTTACAAACGGGGAACGTGAATAATGAGAAAACAGGGAAAGTGAATGATGAAAAAAATGTCCTTTGTAAGGAATTGGTTTTGCTTACAGCAGCGAGCTGGTAGTGAGTAGCCCACCACCAATTTCTTCAGTCTGTGGCTATCTCCAGTGGTGTAGCAGTTAACTTTGAATGCCTGTAGTACCTAATTATCTGGGCAGAAAGAAACCTTAATGCTTTTGGAAACATGGGAACTATAAATTTTATTTGGGTTTGTGTGTATCTCCTCATGGTGAGGAGAAAAGAGTGAACATTCAGGAAAACAAATGGAACTATAGAGAGCTGTGAGATTCTGAAGTGCCTTAGAGAAGGCAGACCACCAGCTCTGAAGTTAAGTGCTGAAGCTGGAGCCAGTACTGGTGAGCAGAAAGTCCCTTGGAAGCTTTGCAAGGGAGTGGAGTATAATGAAATCTGTGATCCATGGGGAGTGACAAAGTGTATGAAAAAGACATAAGCTGTGAAAATTGGAGAGTTGCAAGAGGAGGAGTTCTCCGTGACTCGGCGATCTGGGCAGATGGTTAGAGATGAATGTGGCAGGGCAGAAGGAACAAATCCTTAGATGGCACTGCAGGCAGTGACAGCTGTTGAACACCTTACCTTTGCCCAGTGCTTTTTGAGTAACCTGATAAACTTCTTTCTGGTCAAGATGATGCTTTTCGTGCTTCTCAAAACTAAACAAAGCTTTGTGATTCCTGTGATGACCTACCCTTAAGAGTAAGGAAGCTCTTAAGATTCAAAAATACTCATTGGTCAAAAGGAACAACAAAAATCAAAGCATCCACAAACAATCAGAGAGTTTTATTAGTACATTATTCACATGGCATGAAAATTGGTATGTTAGTCCCTGACTTACTATACAGACATATGACACTGAGTTCTGGATAAAGGAGTAGGGTAGAAGGGAAAAGAGAAATTAAAGAGGTTGATTAAAAAGGGAGATTAAAGAATTAAAGAAAAAAAGAGAGGAAAAGAAAAAGGAAAAGAGAGAGAAAAAGGGATCATCAACCTTTGCTCCAGCATCCATGCGGCTATTGGGATGCCGATCCTGGTCTTAGTCCTGACCTAGCTGAGGGGATGCCGATCCTGGTTTCAGCACTGATCCACCTGATAAGCAACGCTGCGTCGGTCTGGCTGATGACATGTCCGGGGTTTGAGGGCACTGCCTGGGCTTGGGGGGACCTTTTCATGGGCAGGTTTGTCACTTTCTATGCTAATTAGTTATGCACAGTCCGTTCTTTTAGGCCTTTCTGGAAGTGGGTCAAAGGGCTTCAAGGGTCTTTTGTAGTTCCAATCCCACGTTATAGTCCACATCCACTTCCTGCCAGCCATTCCTGCACTTGCACTGTACTGTGTTGTGGTTCAGAAAAGTGCTAGCCCCTTTTTTCCAGCCAAAACTTGTTCTTCCTCACAGTGTGTTAATACCAATAATCCTTGGTTATTATCAACAATTCTTGTCTGTTATTATTAACAGTCCTTGGTTGGCTTCACAGCCATCTGGTTATCAATGTTTGAGACATACACATTAGCCAGTTACCTTCTGGGAACTGAGACCTCAAAATGATTTCATTTCAGACCACTGCTTATAGGGTGGCAAGAGAGTGGGCTTCAGTCATAGTAATTTTTTCATCCTGACCGCAATTTGAGTCAGTAACTTTCTTTGAAGGTTCAGCAACCGAAATATTATTCCACTGGGGTTGTTATTCAGGCAAGAAAAATAAGTTTCCAAGGCTGCTTGTTAAAAAACATGTGCTCATTAGACATCACTAGTTCCTGGGAACAGACAGTGTTTCTGATAAGTTGGAGAGGGGCTTAGTCCAGGTGCAATTCGCAAAGACCAAGGCCTAATGAGCATTTCTCAGATCATGGTGAAGCCTGAGAGAGGAGTGGATGTGACTAAAGCCAGTTTCTCTGGGATTCTGCAATTCCCTACCATATTCTCTTTGTGCTTTCCTGCCTCTTTTTCTGTGGAACAATTAGGATAAGAAATATATATGAGAATAGAGTAATTTTGCTTTGAAATTGCACCTGTGGATCAGAGTGGAAAATCAGCATGAAGGCTTGCTTTTTTCCTTGTAATTGCTGTGACCCCTGGTAAGCATTTAATATAACCACTGGTGAGGAGATACATGTGAGTGCTGGTTACATTTGTAACCTGAAGTTTTAGATGTACTTTCTTATGTAGATGTTTTGCTGAATTTGTGAGCCTCTAGGCTGTTAAAAGGCTTCTTTTAGTAGAATGGCACATACCACCATTCAGATTCCTTGCAGCTCATCTTATTTATCAGCTGTCAGCTGAAGGTAAGCCTGGAGTTGACAAAATGTGAAAGTTTTTAGAGGCAAGATTGCAGTGGATCATTTTGCTTAATAAATGTATGAACCTAAAACCAGACTTGTACTTTTTTGATTCAGTGTGTTTTGCTCACTTTTCTGCAGCTTGGGTTTCAATATCGTGCTGTATGGACTGGGCTCAAAGCGTGATTTGTTGGAGAAGTTTCGTACGTCTCTGCTCCAGGATTCTGTTCACCTTGTGGTTAATGGATACTTCCCCAGCATCACTGTGAGATCTGTAAGTGTGGGAAAAGCTTATGGCTTATGTAATCATCCTGTTTTACAGATACCTCTTAAGTCTCTCAGTGTAAAATATTAAGGAAGCCTGCTGCATCCTATAGCAGCAGGCTCTTGAATGAAGAGCAGTTCCTCTCTCTCTTAAAGAAATTATCCTGTGCATTTTCCAAGGAATTGCAGTAATTACTAGATACTTATCACTCTGAAGCCTTATTTTATGTCACTATTTTGAAAAGGGGTAGAATTTTTTTGTTAATGTTGACTGTTTTGGGGATTTGATGGCAAAAATTGGATTACCTCCCACATGAGAGTCAAGGGCAGTTTCAGATTTTCTACACTTCAGTGCCAGATCCCTTCATAAGGGACACCTGTTTTCTTTTTCAGATTCTCAACTCCATCACAGAGGAGGTATTGGATCATATAGGAACCTTCCGCAGCCCCCTTGACCAACTTGAATTCATTACTAAAAGGTTTAAAGAAGGTAAAATGACTAATTTATACATTAAAATATTAGAGTTTACTTGCTGTTAGGAGAGCATTTCTTTCCTCATAGTTTTCATATGTGCAATCACAGTTTCTTAGTGTATTGTAACTGGTATACTTCCTTGCTTGTAATTTATGCAACATGTATGAAAACATATGCACCAGAAATATATGTGTGCATGATCCCAAGCTGTTACCTCAGTCAGTGTTTTAAAACAAGACAGCAGTGTCAAACAAGCAGGTGAGAATTGGTTTCAAAAGGAAAATTAAACAGGTATTCCCACATGGAATGCTTGCTTGAAATACTTTTGAACATCTCTTTTACTGCTTTTATATACATATTATATACATTGCCATGGAATCTTATTTGTGCATGGCATTGGTGTTTCAGTGTTTATATTTTGTTTTGCATCATTACCCATCATGTCTGGTGGGACTAAGTGAAAAGACTGGTGAACAGCAGTATGCACCTTGATGTACATAAATCAAGTACACTACAGCTGATCTGACTGGAAATCTGAGGAACCTTTGGTTCTCATGGGCAGACAAGTATGTATTCATTTGCACAAAAACTGGTTGTAGTTCCAGAATTGTTTCTGGACAGAGGAAACAGCTGTTCCTAGGGATAAATACAGCAGCAAGAAACTATCTGGAAATTTTAGCATCTGCCATTTGCATTATCCAAGCTAGGTCTTTGTAACTTTCTTTCAGGACTCAGTGGGAAAAATTTCCAATGAAGTTAATATGTTTCTGATCCAACCCTTAATAGGAAATGTATTTTCATTATGTGAGGAGGAGCTTAAAGATCTTAGTCATGTAACTCAAAAGCAGCTGAACAAACTGTGCTTAGGCTTCCATTCTAAAATATATTTTAATGATCTTGAGTTGCAAAGAAATGCATAGCTAAAAGGGCAATTCACGGTAAACCTGTGACCAAGTGGAAAGTAGATTATAACAGAAAAGCTTAAACTGAAAAAAAGAACTGTAGCTGTGATGACAACTGTGATACAGTGAATTGAGAAAAATCCTTTTAGGTGCTCAGAAAAACCAAGTATGGGATCAAAGTAAGTCATAAAAGGAAAGTGATTTGATATTGGAGTGATATATATGGAGCCTGATGGAGTAGACTTGTCCTGAGCTGCACTGGGAATGGGAAGACAGCTTGTGTGCAGTTTCTTTGATTGGTTCTCTGCTGTTTTTTCTGACCTTGCAGATCCATCTTTAGAGCTCTATGTCCTCATTCATAACCTGGACAGCCAGATGTTGAGAGGAGAAAGAAGTCAGCAGATCCTTGCACAGCTGTCATCTCTGCCCAGCATTTACCTCATTGCCTCTATTGATCACATCAATGCTCCTCTCAGTGAGTTCCCTGATCTAGCAAAGAGAAGAATCTGCATTCTGCTTTGGGGCTGCTGTTTCATAACCTTGTGTATTACTGTTGATTTGTAGAACAGTTCTGTTGATGTGTGTATAATCCCCATGGGGACTATGGTGGTACTGAACCAAAACTGTATAAAGATACTGAGAAATAATACTGATCATAATATACGAATAGATTCCTAGCTTCTGGCACCCTTTGATTTTAGGGACTTACTGAACTAGAAATTGGATGTTATGTCTGTCATTGCAACTTAACAATTTTGTTTATCAGCCAATGTGGGGGGCAGAAGAGAAGCTTCAGACAAAGTTGATTAGAGAAGCCCTCCCACTGAGCCATGAGGTGCAGAAAGGACCCCCCCCTGCTTTCTAAACTCGTCCTCAGAGAGGAGTCTAGGTGTGGCTGGACCCAATCTTAAGTGCCAGACTTAGTAGATAGTTTATGTCTAAAGGATTATATTAGGTGTAATTGAACTTTGTCTCACAGGATTAAGGATGGCAAACCAAATACATAAATAAATGTGGGGTTTTTTAATTAAGATGATGACTAGACTAAAAGATCTTAATCAGAATTATTTAGTACAGAGTATAGGTGGCTATAACTACTAGTACAGTGCACTATTTTTGAAGGAATATTGAAGCACTTATATTAAAGCTAGCAAAAACAATTATTAAGTAGAGATTGATGTTACTTACCCATACCAACAACTGTGGGCAAATCTCTTTAGTTCAGCCTTGAGAAGTAACTTCGAGGAGCATCCCCACTCAAGGAAGGAATCTCCCCACACTCTGAGAAGGGTATTGTTCAAGCTGGTTTACCCGCACGCTGGGCAGAGCATCCAGCTGCAGCTGGTTGCACACTGTTGACTCTGGAAGGATTTACAGTCTATCTATGAAACTGGTATGGAAAAGGGATGCATGCAAATGTTTTGTTGAAGAGAAATTGTCTTGCTGGAACAGCAAATATTTGGGTCTACGTACTGTGAATTTCACAAGCATGCATAGTTTCCTCAGTCCTACAGTAGAACTATGTACATTTTAATATTGCTTATTTAACACCTTAGAAAAGATAAGTCTCCCAATTTTGTCTGCTTGCTCTTTTCTCTCTGTCTAGTGTGGGATCAGGCAAAGCTGAGTCTCTATAACTGGCTTTGGTATGAAACAACCACATTTAGTCCTTACGTGGAAGAAACATCTTATGAGAATTCGCTTTTAGTACAACAGTCTGGATCTTTGGCTTTGAGCTCCCTCACGCATGTCCTGCGCAGTCTCACTCCCAATGCCAGGTAAGACACTCTTACACCTCGTAGTAGCGCTTGCTGAGGACACAGTCCTTACAATCCATTTCTCTGACAACAGTGTTGAAGATGAAGATAGCAGGACCTGGGTTCCAGTTGAGTGGTTACTTTAAATAAAGAGCATTTGGATAGCAAACCTTGTCCAGTGATGAGATTCACAACTAGGTCTTTGTGCAAAAGGGCAAATCAGGTCGTATTTTCTAAAGGTGGGGGTTTTGGGTTGTTTCTCAATTACTATTTTTATTTTGATTTTCTCCTTTCCTCCTTTCACTTAGGGGGATATTCAGACTGCTTGCTCAGTACCAGCTGGAGAAAAAGGACAACCCATCTTATCCAGGTAAGTACCCACTTTTGCTCATCTCTTTGGGGTGTTGCCTTTCACAGCAGCCCTGGCTTTTGGTATGCAGGTTACGTCTCCAGCAACAGAAGTGCTACAACAGTCGGCTCAGTGTCTAAGTGGCACTGTGTCTGACTCTGACAGGAAATCAATAGACTGGCTGGTTCTGAAGGATCTGCTCTCACTGTTGTCTGCTTTGATTCTTAGACATGACTGAGACCATTCGTGGGGGGCTGTGGAGTTAAAAAAAATTAAAATGAAGTCTATGAATTTGCCTAACTTGCACTTAAAGAACCAGGGAAAGATAGATTTTTTTCCTATGCTGCTCCTGTCTAGGTGGCTTCTAATGTATCCCTGCTATACATGTGAAATATTCTGTCACCATCTGTAATAGGTGCTGCAGTGGATATGAATAATTTGTTAATGGTAAAGAAAGTAAGATAGAGTTGGAAATTAGAGAGATTAACCATGTTGGAAAGTGCATTTAAAGTGCTCTTAAAATTCCATTAGGCAACAGTGTGACTGGAATGTTAATTCAGTGGTTTTCCATTAATTACTAAAATATTAGCTTGGATGTATACTTGAAAGAGGTGATGTTACTGTAGGCACTGTGGTCTGAGCCAAAGCAAGGCTTTCAGGCAGAGAAAGTATGTGGCATTAGACCTGGAATATTCTGACAATCTTACCACTTTCCATTTCTTGTTCTTGACTTTTTCTGTCTCCAGGGCTGTCTTTCCAAGACTTTTACCAGCAGTGTCGGGAGGCTTTCCTTGTGAACAGTGACCTGACACTCAGGGCACAGCTGACAGAATTCAGGGACCACAAGCTCATCCGGACCAAGCGGGTGAGTTGAGGGAAGAATATAATTCTGGATTTTACTTTAAATCACTTTAATATAATAATAATAAAAAAATAATAAAACCACTTTAAATAAAAAAGATGCTTAATTGCTACTAAGTGAGGCTGTATTATTTTAAACACCTAGGAACTAGCAGGGGCTGAAATTCTGTAATTTCAGCTCTTTCCATGCCTCCAATTTGTCAACACCCTTGACATGCTGTAAAAATGCAGCGTGCTTTGGTTACTCAGCAACCTACATGTCTCTTCTTCCTGAAGACTGTGAGAAATAATGGACTGTGGAGCCTGCCAGGCTGCTGCCAATAGTTATCTCTATTTTTACAAGAAAAGAATGCAGACTCATCCTAATAATGAGGCAATATAGCAGTACTAGATATGGTGAGCTGTGTAGTGTCAGACTAGCACAACACACAAGAAGATTTATCATATACTGACTTTTCTCAGTATCTGTGCATTTCCAGCATTGCTCTAGTGAAATATTTCTGGTTTTTAGTAAAGTAGTCCTTCAGAATGCTGGCCAGCTCTCATCCAGACTGCAGATAAATTGCAGTGCTGTCTGGTGGCTTGCCTTGTCCTTTACACTGCTGTTAACAAAACGTGTATGTCTGTCTGTTCTCAGGGAGCTGATGGTGTGGAATACTTATTAATTCCTGTGGATGACAGTACCTTGACCGACTTCTTAGAGAATCAGGATGAAGATGCGTAATGTCTCTGTGTTCTCAAAAGCATCTATGGCAAATGCTCTCAAGGGCTGCTGGAGAGGGGCCTGTACTCAGATCTCTCTTCTTCCAACCCCACGGCTGCTGGACTGAAAAGTGTTAATTCTAATGAGCCATGCTCATTGTTCAGGTGGTTTGGAATGATGACTTCTGTAAGCACAGCATCTCTTGTGCTGTAGTTGGATTTGTCTGCTTTGTCTCTTAGCTCAGATAATGCCACCTTCATATCTGTGCAGCCACTCTTACAGCCAGAAAAGCAAACTCAGTAAGACTGTGCCTTCTGCTCTCTACCTCACCAGACATGAGGGTTTGATTGGAGCAATGTACTTGGGAAGCGCAAGTCACAAGATGGTCACGGCTTTAGTTTGTACTTGTGGTGCAACTTTTCTCAACTGAGTGCTTTCCAGTACTCCTTTACCATTTAGACAAAGCTAGCTTCCAGTGTATGAAGAAGCCAAGATTTAAAATGCTAGGAGACCTACCTTGATTGCATGAAGAAAGGAGAATACTAGTGGGTTTGGGATGCTGTGGGTAACTTACTAAATTCTGGCAATAGAACTGAAGGACTTGCCCCAGACCTACATCCTTTTATAAGAAGATTTAGATGATCTAAATTGTGATAGACTCAAGTCATTACCTGCTATTTTCCAAGGTGCAATCCAGAAATATGAAAAGGCTGTGAAGCTTTTTTGTTTATTTTTTTAAAGCTTGATTGTATATTTGTATTTTTTACATCAGGAGTGTCCGTTGATCCTGAAGGAGGCCTTAAATGCCACTTATAAGCTCTCCCTTTTTTTAAGCCCTTAGGAGGTTGGGAGACCACTGAAGTTGGACATCTTCACTTTTTTTTTCTCAGTTATGTGAGAGGAAGCTCTATACTTCCATCAACTGTATTCTGCCAGCCAGACACTTCAGGGATTCTGTATGTTTAACATTTGGTAGTCCTGTTACAGCTCAGTGTTGTAATAGTTTAGACTATCAAATAAAGTACCTTATTAATTTTCATTAGCTTGTCTTGTCTTCCACAATCTTTCTATGATATAGGAAGATAGAGATCCTTGTGGCAATTGTGCAAAAGCCTCATTTTCATTACTATGTCAAATATCTGAGCAAATCCTCATACAGCGGGCAGAAGATTTCAAACTAGTTAGTAAAAATACTTTACATTGTTTCTTATAAGGTATCAAAATTAAGAATGGTTTCCCTGCCTTTTAATACCACTATATAGCTTTTGAAGAGAACCAAAACATCCCATGGAGTAATAGTTACCTCATCTGCCCCTCACTTACAGGAGCAACAGAGAGGTACAGCCAGACTTTTGTTTGTATTAGAAAAATCAGGGCATCTGCTTATCCCACTATCAACTTGATTCTTCAAACCAGTCCTAGAGTATCATGGTTATCAAATATATCTAATAAGAGCAAGAAGTAACAGTAGATTTATTCAAGTGCAGCCCAGTAAGTGAGTAAGCAAAACAAGTATTTATTTTTCTGACATGACAAAATATACTCCAAACTTTGAGGGACTGTACAATACAATCATTCTGTACTGAACCAATTGAAAACACCTCCATTAAGCTTGCAGCTGGACAGGTCTGTGCAAGATACCATGATTGAATGAATTCTCTCTCTCTCCTATGTTTTTTCCCCTATGCCACCTGGAGAGGATCTCTGTCTTTCTCAGACACAATGATGCTGATTTTGTTCTGTAGGTGGGTCGCTAGCACGTCACGCAGCTCTGACAAGAAGCCTCGCTCAGTGTTACTGTGCTCACACAGAATAACACTTATCCCATTGGCAACTGCATCCAGAACGTCATGGTGGGACATCTCTCCTGCCATTTTGAGAAAGAAATGTTATGTAGATCACTAATAACACAGTTGAGGTAACCAGGTCTTTGCAGATTTTGCAGACTACATTATATTCCATTTTCTATAAGGGAATTCTGTAGGAAATAGAGGGAGTATCTTGTGTCTTGCCAAAGGAGAAACACACTGAAAGTTGCAGCACATTGTCATCAACACTGATTCTGTGTTGAAATAATGCATGTATAACAATGTTTTAATTCAAATAACTTCCACTGTGCCACACAGCCTCTGATCCACGTTATCTCTACTTAAATGGTATTCTTCTATCATTCCAATAACTAACCGATTGTTTCTCAATTATAAATAATAGGTAACTCTTTCTGGCCAAATCTTTTAACAATCAGTCAACTCTTTTATTTTTTTCCTGGCTTGTTGTTTGTTTGTTTGTTTGTTTCTAGTGACTGTTTTTGTAAAGATAATGAAACAGCAACATAATCTTTTACCTGTGAGGTAGATGTCAGCTTCTGTTCCCTTCAGGACACTGCTCCCAGAACCAGCACACAGAGCAGCTTTCTTCACTGGCGATTCTGCAGGACACAAGGTGCCACAGTTAAACTTTGTTCAGCCCTCATGTCTGTACTGATTAATTGTTTCACTATAAGTACCTTGATTTTAGAGTCAATGTAAGTTTGTTGGAGTTGGAGACACATCTGTCAGTTTGAAGTGTCATGGGCCTGTAACATCTCTTATAATACAGCACAATCCTCTGTGATAGGTAGATTTTTTTTTCTTCAAGGGGTAGGAAAGTTTTCAGAACACTCAGCACAGAGGCTGGCTGATGGCTGGTTTTCTCCTAGTGAGGTGTTATTTAGTTAGGTTTCTGAACTGTTTAACAGGCTGCTACTCCTTCCAGGACTTCATGTTCCACCATCGTTAGATTCCCAACTAATGATGCCATTAAGGTAGCATTTTCCCTCTGAGATATACTAGTTGCTAACTTTTAGCTCTCAGAAGGCCAGTCTTAATGCAAGCTGAAAACTGCTCCATGTCATTAAAAATTTGCCCATTTGCTGTGATCGCTGATTAAAGGCTATTACATGTGTGACAGTGACAGGAAATTTAGTTCCTCATATACGTTACATTGAGTAAGGAGAGGGGACACACAACACAGAGTTTTCAAATTCTGTTAAGGTTTTACAGTATGTTGCCTTGCAATTACTGTTAATTTAAGTGAAGTCATATCACTTCATTCCCACACCATAATGAGAGGCTTCAAAATATTTCTGGGGATTTTTTAGTGCAATTGACAGCAAAGAGGCTTCTAATAAGACTTCTGTCTCCTAAGTTACAAAAAGTTTTCAACAAATTTGCTCTCACAAATTCTAGCAGCTGTGCTCCTTGGAGATTAGGATAGGTAGCTGGGATAAGAGGATGCTTGCTCCACATTTTTCTAATGACTCCACTGTTTGAGCTGGTTCACCTTTTTTCCTTATCTTTCATCAAAACATGGGTACATGTTCATAAGGATACCATAAAGTGTCTTACTATTTTGAGATGGTTTGAATTTAACACTCAGCCACAAGAGGGAATGTACAATGAAACAGCACACCTCTGTGTCTGATATCCCGGGCAGCAAATACGATCTTAGTAATTATATAAATTATGAAACAGAATGTCTTGTATTTGATTTGGGCTGTCCCTTCTTCACTGTGTCAACCAGCGTAAAACAGAACTTCCCACTAAAAGTACAGATGAGATTCTTTCTTGTGATTGTACTGTGTAAATTCTAAGATGCTGTTTCCTAGCATTGCTTCATAGTACTTGGAAGTAAACCTGTTTAAGACAGAGCAGTATTTCCCACTCTCACACACACACTCATGCTATCTTCCTGGAATACCAGTTCCAAGGGACAGCCTTACTTGCAGGCCTGTTTACCTAGTGTCCTGCCCATTCCCACGGCTATGCGGATGTGAGGCAATTTTAGGTGGCTTTTGATGCGCTCGATTATGTCTGACAAGGAAACTGGCTCACTCAGTGTGCACAGACGTCCCATTCCAGTGTGGGGAAGAAGAGGCTGAAAAGAAATTAAAATTCCTGTGAGAAAGCTGACTCCAGAAGCTTGCATTGCTTTCCATCCTGTACAAAGGTGAGTATATTGGGCATTCAGGAATGTCTCTGAACTTTACAAAAATGTGTGATGACCTCAAATGTAACATTCCAATCACAACAGCTATTGGAACTGATTTAAGAATTAGCATAGGCCACAAATATTTTCATTGCTTTGGAAACCATGTGTGGCTTCAAATCCCCATAAGCCAGTATTTTGCTGCACTGATGGGGTAGCACTGGCAACCTGTGATGCTACTGACTGCTGCATTATAGTGTTTAGGGCACTCAGCTCACACAAGTAATACATTCACAGGAAGTAATTCATGATTTTGTTACCTTTTGTAGCAAGAGAATCTCCGTCTTGTGATAAAGAAGGCTGTTCTGGGACAATAACACCACCACCTCCAACAGTGCTTTCTGAGAGCAGTTCAAAGTGACTCGTGTTTGCTCCTCACCTTCAACCCTGAGGAAAGATATGCTTGGTGCTTGCTAAGAACTAGATCAAATTTCAGCACTGTAATTATAAAACAAAGCTATTCTGCCTCAGTGGCTGTTTTACCACTGAGAAAGGAAAAAAGAAGGTATTGGAATAGCCTAGTCTAGTTCACTCTCATGGAAAAAACAGATATGGGAATTTAACTCATCTGACCTCATCAAATTTCCTGTTAATACTCCTCTTTACCACCTCTAATCTATGTGATGCCAGATTTGAGTAGCAGTTACCATTTAGCATGATATAGATTGATCAGAAAGGGACAGTTATTCCTTAAGTTTCTAGGTCTCTGCTGAAAAATACAGCAGCAATGCACAGAGGAACAAAGTGGTTATAATAGTAAAGTACAATTACAGCAACTTATTGTTTCAAACAGAAAGAGTACAACACTAGAGAGCAGAGGAGATACCTGGCTGGGAAAGTAGTGAGACAAGAGATCTCTTGGATGTCTTTGATTTTGGACAGCACTACATCCAGATGCTCAGTGTCTGTGCAGAATTCTACCCGGTGAGTGCCCTCAGTTGGACAGCTTGGTGCAGTTGATGGATGCAGTGGGACTGAAGTACAGGCACCTGAGAAAACAGTACAAGACTGCTGTTTTATAAAGCTGGATAAGTATCCTAATATTGATTTAGCACATATCTTAAAGAGATACAACAAAAAGATGCAAATTTTGCACTCCAATCCATTTTCCCTGACCAGAAGTGAGGACTTTTTGTCCTGTTGTTTCCATTAGGCGGAGTCTACTTTAAATCCAAAGAAGTTGATAGATATGTATTATTTGTCATTCTTAGTGCCATCAATTTTATCCTAAGCGTTGTACAAAACTAAAAATAGTTTCTGGTTTGTATGACAGACTGGAAAAGACCCAGCTGTTGTAACCTTTGAGTCATAACATAGGATAAAAATCTAAAATAACTTCAGGTAGCTTAAGTCCTTTGCAAACAATGAGATCTTGTACTTTATAAATTAAAGGTGGTGATTGAAAGTCGGTGGTCTAAGCTTTGCAACCACAACGGACAATAAATACGCTCCACCAGTTCCGGCTACATCCAATAGCAGTCATCCAACACAGTCATGCATCTGAAAATGTCCTCTAGTGTTTGTATCTGGTATACATCACCAAGATAAATTTCCTAAAATATGTTTAAGGTTCTTAGTGCTAGAAAAATATCGTGGGGTTAAAAAAGAAAGAACAATAAAGTCCTGTAAAAGCTGGAAGAAAGGAAAATGAGGAAAGGTCACCACATAAAACAGCATATACCAATGAATAATTTTAACCTTTCTTTGTTTGTTTTTAACAGAATCTCACCGAGTCCCTTTGTCAGCCAGTTATTAACTCCGTGAGGTATGGCATCGTACGCTGTATGTGGAGAGTAAATCCCGATTCTGTGCTCCAGGGCTCGGACCACCAGCCGTTCCTTCCAGGTCTTCCACGTTACTCGCTTGAGCGGCGTGAATATAGGAGGGTGGTAAGAAAGAATGAGGTCTGCCTTCTTTTGCACCGCCTCTTCCATCACCTCCTCAGTGAGATCGTTAGTAAGGAAAAGGGTGTTCACAGTGTGGGGAGGACTTGGTTCCACCAGCAACCCCACATTGTCCCAGCTTTCCGCCAGAGAGAGGGGTGCGAAGTCATTCAGGGCAGAAACGAGCTCCCTGAGGTCCATGAGGGCGCGGGCGGGCAGGCGGCCCAAAGCACGGATGCGGTGGAGAGGCCGGCGAAGCAGCGCCGTGCCAGGCAGCAGCATGCGACGACCTGAACAGGAGGAAAACAGGCCGGAACGAGCCTGGGTAACCCACTGGCCGGAACAGCAGCGGAGCGCTCGGGCTGCGGATGCCGCCCCGCGGCCGGGTCAGCGCGGCCCTGCACCCAACGCGCGGAGCTGGAGGGTCATCCCCCTCCCCGCGGACACCGACCCGCAGAGCCCGGCCGCGGAGCCGTCCCTGCCTCGGCGGAGGGCAGCGGGTGACACCACAACCACCTCACGCAGGGAAGGGCCGGCGCTGCGGGGCGGGACCTGCGCTGGCCCCGCCGCTTCCGCCGCGCTCCGGGCGCTGGGGCGGCCCCTCCGGGTGAGAGCCGGCCCGAGGCGGGAGACGAGCCGCTGCTTCCAGACGATCCGTCTGGATCCAGCCCCGGCAGGTTCAAGCATGCTCGCCCGTGGGCGGGGAGGGCCGGTGGAGGAGCTGGGTGGCGGCACCTCGGGTGGGCAGGGAAGGAGCCACAGCTCCGGGCTGTCGTGGGTGAGGGGGAGCCGAGGGCCGGTGGGTTGCGGTGGGGACGCCGGAGCCGGCTGGTGGCGGCTTCCCCGGGCTCCGCGGGGGTTCGGCGGGGAGGGCGGGTGTAGAGGAGAAATCAGCGCGTAAATCTCTTGTTTACTACACAGATGCGATTCTATTACCGCCATTCTAAACGCTTTATTTTAAAATATTGCTAAGCTTAAAAAAGTCTGGTCCTGTGCTTGGATGCAGGTACCTGGCCGTTGCAGGTGCTTACAGCTGTCAGGAGCTGGCTCCAAATCACATTTCCACTAGGTACTGGCATGGGGCTTTTATCTGGTAATTTCTGCCATTTACTATTCTGCCAACTGTCATAATATTCATAATATCTGGAAAAACTGATTGCTTAGTATAAACTTTCATCCTAGGAAAGGGTGTTTTGCACCTTCACCCTTTTTCTCTAAGCTATCTTTTTGTACTAATTTCTGCTTCTTTATATGGTGTGTAGTTGCTTAATGCAAGTAAAACTTATCCACAGTCACTTGAATGGCACTGTAGAACCGTGTGATGTAAAAGCATATAACCACACAAATATTTACAAATCAAAAAGAAATGGGGGTTGGTGGGAAAAAAACCAACTGATTTCCTATGTTTTCTTTGCAGGAAATTGCTGTATAGAAAGCTGCCTCAGCTTTTTGATAAGCAGACATGGTGAGAACAAATGCACTTTTTATATATTTTCATTCTTTCTGAAATGGTCAGCTCTTGGAAAGTGAATAGCTGCTCTGCATCTCAAAGGATTATACATATTACTCTGATGCTGTGAAGAATTTGTAATGAAAAGTTTAGGTTTTCATTTCAGACATAAGAATATATTGTGAAAAGGAAAACAGGTCCATTTACATCAGTCTAAAATATAATTAAACTTTTACTTCAAAGATCCTAAAATTTAATCCTACTTTGGTATATATTTGATAATCTAGTTTGGTTTCTTTTACCACAGAAGCATTATTCGAGTTGCAAGCCCTGCTTCGGTGTATGTAAACTTATATACTTGCAGACTTTTAAAAGTTTAGCAAATCAGGAAATAGAGATAAGAGTGTACATATCTTAAACTGTACATACACCTTTTATAGCACCTTCACGGACACTGTGGCAGCTGTCTCCTCTCCTTTACCTGTATCCTTTTGGAGTAGTATGCCAGTATCAACATGATGCTGATTTTGGTTATTTTTCCTTGCACTTATCCCCAGTGTAATTGTATTAGCATAGTTTAGCACTTTTCATAGGAGCACTATGATATATTGGCCTACAGAGATATATGTGCTTAGGTGACTGGGTAACTGCAGTTTTAAATTTTATAAAGCTAATTTATAAATTCTAAGGAAAAGTATGTTATTTTGTACATTTGCTTGTTTGAGAAGGTAGATTATATACGCTGCCATTTTGAACTAGCTTTATCACCCAGAAGGCTGCAGGCAAGTAACACACATCAGTTGCTCCTCTGGTTAAAAACGAGTGAGGAATGTGCACCACGCTCTCACCCAGATAGATATAACCTTGGTTCTTCACCTTTACAGTCGCAAATGAATAATGTATTTCTGCAGTGTAACACCATAAAACAGCTTCTGCGTTACCATGGCAAACTTGATTTGTCCTGAACCTGAATGAAACTGAGTGCTTTCTGGTGATTTTACTGGAAATGTGGAAGGTTTGTGGCAGTAGCCTTGCTTATGGCCAAATATTGAAACAGTGGTTATATGCAGTGGGAACTTGCTTATGTTCTTTGTGGGACTGAGAAATAAAACTGAGTCTGTTAGTAGTTCATTACTGATTTAATTATTTTCTGCTTTTTGCTCAGGCTGTCACGCTGCATACTGATGTAGGAGATATTAAAATTGAACTATTCTGTGAGCGTACTCCAAAGACTTGTGAAGTAAGTCAAATAACAGGAGCAGGATTGCCTAATGTTGAAACAAAGCAGTAGAAATAGTGAAGATTGTAGACGGGGTAGAGTGGCTTTTGCAATTCATCTTTTCACATAATGGAATACTAACATTTTAAGCTGGTACAGTGTCTGTTCCACTCATGGAACTTGTGCACTGTGTCATGCTCCCTAGAGTTTTGATGCCTGTTTCTTACTTAGTAAGGGTTAGCTAAGGAACTCTTCCCTTGAAGTTCCAGCATCTTCCAAAGTGTCCTCTGCCCCCAAGGGGAAATGTGGCACATAGCATGGGATTCCCAAATTTCCATGGGTTTGCTCACACTCTCATAGGCTTGATTTTAGTTTAAAAGAGTGAGACTCCCAGTTTGTCAGAGGCCCCAGGTTCTCCTTTCTGCAGTAAACTTAAATTGAATTAATTTATTTTTTAATGAAAAAGCTGAGGCATAAAGTTATTGATTACAGAATTACATGTACAAAATAAAAATGTTGAATGGCAGTGATACTTTAGAGCATATCTCAGGCTTTTTGTTTGTTCCTCAAGTCAGACAACCTTACACTGTAACCTTTAAAATGCTATGTATGTGTGACAGTGTCAAAGGAGTTTATTAACTATGATTTGTTTGTAACTGTTCTGTGGCAATGCTCTGTGGAATTCACATGGTCACAATGCAAAGCAGGGGTAAAAGCATTGGTCTTGCCAATTCTGTCATTTTAGTAAGACGATACTATTTTTCAGTTGTTTGTTAATATGGTTTGTTTGATTTCCATAGAATTTCCTGGCTCTTTGTGCTAGTAACTACTACAATGGATGCGTATTTCACCGAAATATAAAGGGCTTCATGGTTCAGACAGGGGATCCATTAGGTAAATTCTTCTGTCTGGGTCTCTCTATAGAAAAATGTACATAAAAATAAAATGTCAAGATATAAAATTCTAAGTATTAATATTAAACCCCAAATGTAAATAAATAAAAATTTGCCTTGGTGATGGAGGTTTTAATGCTGAGATTAGTTTTATTTGGTGGGCTTACAGAAGTGCAGTCATTACCCTGGTTTTAAATAATGATGCATTCTACAAACTCGAGTTTTTCCAGCTGTTTCCACTAAATATGATGGATCTATTGACTTACCAGCTGTTGAACGGGGAGCAGTTGCTACTGTGCTTTATCTGGTTTCTGCTTGAAAGGCTACACTGCCTCTAAAGCATTTGGGGAAAATGTCCCAGACAGTGGTAGCTGCTGGGGAGAAAATCTGGTTCAGCTCTACGCCTGTTTGTACTCACACTGAATTTAATTTGAGGATATGTGAGTGGATAGGTGTTCTTTATATAATGTTAAATCTCCGTGCAGTGTCAAGAAACAAGAACTTGATCCCTGCCTCAAACTAATTACAGCCTATCTAGGGTCTTTGTATTAAAATGTCATAACAGAGCATAATTTCTGGATTTTTCAGTCTGAAAATCTGGTAATCTCTACTGTGCTGCTTCTTTGTCAGGCACTGGGAAAGGAGGTAACAGCATCTGGGGCAAGAAGTTTGAAGATGAATTCAGCGAATACCTAAAGGTATTTCTGTGCTCTCAATATGCAGTTACGTTTTCATATGAATTTTCTTTACAAGTTGGAGAACAATCAGCATCGTGTTGTAATGTATGAAACACCTCTTTTGTAATTGTAAAACAAATAAAGGATGGAAAGCTTAGTATTATTAAAACAGGAACAGGCATTTCTGTTCTTGGCAAGTTAGGTTTGAGGGTTTTCATCACTGAAAACAAAATTACAAAGAATTTGTAACAGTGTTTTTCATGCACTAAAGGGAAAGTAATTTTTCATTCTAAGAGCAGTTTTAAAGAGCTAATTATGAATTGGGATAGAATATATTAGCAACCAGGATTTGTTCTTAATAATGGTATTGAGGCAGAGTTCTAGGTCACAGAGCACTTTGTAGAGGTTAGTCCTGCTCTCAGAGCTGTGTATTCACGTTGAGGTTTCTCCCCTTGTTCAGCACAGTGTCCGTGGGGTAGTGTCAATGGCAAACAATGGCCCGAACACCAATGGATCGCAGTTCTTCATCACTTACGGCAAACAGCCGCACCTGGACATGAAGTACACTGTGTTTGGAAAGTAAGGATCCAACTGCTCGCCTCTTTATCAGTGTGTGGGAAGGATCTGAGCATTTCAGGGCACATGCAATGCAAATTCAGAAGCTTCTGGTTATAAGGATGTGTGTATGTAAATGTATGCTCTTGCACTGTCACCAGAATTAGTTGCTCCAAAATGCTGTTACCTTTTTCTTAGTATTAGGGAATTCAGTGGAAATAGGCATATTAAAAATTACCTCAAGAATGTAGATTTTCTTTCTTTCTTTTCCTCTCCCACTAGTTATTCCAGCTTGGCTTTTCATCCATTCCCAAATGGACGCAACCTGATTTTAAACCAACTCCAGAACATCTGGATATACAGTTGTAGGGTTTACTGAGAACCAAGAATCTGATTTGGGACTGGATCTGGGTATGAGTGTGGTAGTGACTTGGTCATGCTTCTGTTGGTCAGATAAAACTCATGGAACTGACAGTTAATAAAATCAACTGAGGTTGTTGCATCATTATTTTAAAATATACTTATGTTAATAAACATTACTGATAAATTGTCATATTCTAAGCAAATATCTAAAATATTTGAGTCTTTTTCTCTTTCAGAATGGTGGTAATGTCTTTTGTTTGTTGTTAAAGTCTCTAGCGTGCAAGTGAATCTGCTGAGAAAATGCAGCCTTATTAAGTGCAGTTAAATATTCAAAAGAAACTGTGGAGTGTGAAAATACTTATTTTCTACCATTTGTATTGTTTGTAGGCATCTAACTATAGGTGCTCCTTTCATTTCTGAGTTTGTTTAGAAGTGTGATTGACAGTAGGGTTTTTTAGATGTTTTTTTTAGAAAAAAAGTAGAGACTGTACTCGTGCCTCAGCTGCAGAACCATCAGCATATACAGTCAGTCCCTGCAGGCCCACAATCCACTGCAACGTGGATTCAAAGAGCTCATGAAAGTGACTGAGTGGAACAGCACAATGTGTTTTCTTCTGTTTCTGTGGAATAAACTGCCAAGATTTACCAGAACTAGTTGCTTAAACAAAAAACGTATGAGGTTTTAGCAGAAAAATCTCTCTTGCCAGTTCTTCAGCCTGAGCAGGAAATCCATGCCATTAGATTTACAACAGTTGTTAATGATTCTGTCCAATCTTGTCTTTGAGTCAAGGTTAGAAATTATACTCTCAGATTTGAATATTGATTTTCCAGACGTAAGATTTCAATAATTCTGACTGAAGTTTGCTAGGGCCAGTATCTTGCTGCTACCTAAGCCTGTACTGTGTTGGTCAGTCCTGCCTGTCAGGAAGTGCAGCTAGGAACTTCATACAGCTGTAGTTGGTATAAAATATGATACTGTCAGGTCAGCAGGAATTATTAGTACTTTTTTTCAGAATCTATCAGGTATGCTTCATATTTCCTTTCAAAGTACATTATTTGCCACATACAATGTTTTGGCTGTCTTGTATCATTTGCTTGCAAAGTCCTTGCCCTATGATACTTAACTGTAAAGTGTTTTGAGATATCTCAATTGTGAAATTTAAATTATTATTAGGAGGAGATTTCTAGCACTTCTGTTTTTCTTGCAGAGTTATTGATGGCTTGGAGACCCTGGATGAGCTGGAGAAGCTGCCTGTTAATGAGAAAACCTACCGACCTCTTAATGATGTTCGTATTAAAGATATTACAATCCATGCCAACCCTTTTGCTCTGTAGCCACAGAGGCCTCAACACATTCTTTAGAGACTGGTCAGATCAGCTCCCAGATCATGGGGTTTAAGGAGCCATTAAAAAGGGTTACTTGCGCTGGATCAAGTAAGTTTGCTCACTGAATGCATAATTTTCAGGAGCTGTGACATTGTTTTGGAGTTGTCACAGAGAAATCTTGTGCTTCAGAAGCAGGGTTTTCCAGAGTATCAGCCAGGATTTTGATTTTTAAACGTTGCTTTTTATACTTGTAAAATAAAAAAAAAACCTTTTCAAGTATTTTTGCAAATCTTTGAGTTTTGCCTTATCTTTCTTAGTGATTCTATATTAAAACAATGTTCTTTGCTATAATTTCATGCTACCAGTTTTCTGAAACTTTCTCACATAAATTCTAACCTTCATTACTCGGTTTTCTCAAAAGAGAAAAGTAAGATATGCAATTTTCTAGGTGAGAGCAATGTCATAAATTGATGAAACCTTTCTCTCCCAGAGGATTAAAGAACATGCTTAGAGGAGTGCTTGCTCTTGTACTGCTGTGTTGAAATGGCAACCTCTTCAACCTCCCAAAAAGGTAGATGGAAGACAATTTCTTCTGCTTCTGGCACAGTGCTATAGGTATGAAAGGTATTTCTGTTAATATGTATGAAAGAGTAAGTATTTTCTTTACATAGCCATTAATTGAAACAAGGCAAGATGGATTTAGTGTAACTTTTTCATTACTTTTTGTACTGCACAAGCAGTCAGGGTGTGGTGGGTTGACTGTGGCTGGATGCCAGGTGCCCACCCAGCTGCTCTGTCACTCCCCTTCCCAGCCGGACAGAGCAGAGAGTAAAATGGAAAACAACTCATGGGTTGGGATAAGGCAGTTTATTAAGGCAAAAGCAAAGCAGAAGCTTGCGTGCACAAAAGTGAAGGAAAAAATAACAAGGTTTATTCTCTCCTTCCCATGAGCAGCGATGTCCAGCTGCTTCCAAGAAGCAGGGCAGGCAGCCACTGGAGACAATTAATACCCCCCCTCCCTTTTCCCTCCCAGGAAAAGGAAACAAACCCACTACATCCTTGCCTTAGCTTTTATATCTGAACTGATGTCATATGGTATGGAATATCCCTTTGGTCAGTTTGGGTCAGCTGGCCTACTTATGTTCTCTCCCAGAATCTTGCCCTCAACTGGTGAAGGAATGTTACAGTGCTGATGCTGTGCTCACCAGTAGCCAAAACACCAGTGTGTTAGCAACACCCTTCTAGCTCCTAATGCAAAGCACAGCACTGTGAGGGCTGCTATGGGGAAATGAACTCCAGCTCAGGCAGACCCAATACAAGGGGGTAAACAACGAAGAGCAGTGTCAAAAAGGCTGTGGTCAGATGAGGTTGAACAAGGAAGAGATAGCGTTGTTTGGTCTTAGCTGAGAGCAATTGTTATTGGACTCAAATAAGAAAATCTGCAAGAAGGTACAGACATTTCTAAATATTGACTGGTCAAGAGGAAAACTATAGTACATGCATGTGTATGAGTGTGTATTTATGTATATTGCTGATCCTATGCTCAAAACAAAATAACTTGACTTAAGCAGGAAAAGAGCAATCTGTATACATCAAAAAAGAGTTCACCTTGGGCATACTGGGAAAAGCAAAATGTTCTGCTCTTCTTTGTTGTAGTTATAAAATTAAATTTTAGCATCAATTTAATTTCATAAAGCTGGAAAAAATCAACTTTGCACAGAGGTGCACTTTCAGATTCTGTAGAGGTGAGAGGGTTTATTTCTAGTTCTAACTGTGAATAAGAGACCTGGATAGGAAAGAGTACTCGCAGTTCCTGCATCCTACTCCTACCATTTTGGACTTCTTCCCCCAGTTCTCTTTAGGCTCAGTTAACATCACTTAGCAAAGCTCAGTCTCATATATATGCTTTGTAATCCTTGAGAGGCCCAGGCCAGCTCACTTGCAGTCTGCTTCAGACCACAATTTCTCATTTTGAGACTTTGCCTCTTAAAATAATGAGGAAAACTTACTTGCAAGAGAAAGGCAAAGGTGCAGGTTACTGAGGCGTTAATGAGCAGAGTTAATTAGTGCCCTCTCTCTGGGACAAAGTTTCTGTATTCTTTATGGAGTGTTGCTTAAGCTCCCAGCCCTTGCTCCAGACTGTATATACTCTGTGTGTGTGTGTGTATATATATATATATATATGTGTATATATATATATATGTATATGTATATATATATGTACTGCATATATACTGTAATACTTCAGTCAGTCAGGTTTAGCTCCATGCTCTATCTCTTCCCTATAACCTGTGGCAACCAAGTAGACAGAACCATGCAAGTGCATGTTTGACTGACACTTACTGCCATGCAGAAGGAAGGACATGCTGAGAAATTTCCTACGTTGCAAAGGAACCAATAATATAAAATGCTGACATCTAGCACCAAACTGGAAAAAAAAATTTTCTTAGAGTTTTTAGATTTTTTTTTTTTATCTAATGCTGTGTATTGAAAGAAGAGTGATCCTTTGGGGACAGAATTACATCCAAACTTTTCAGAATTGTATTATGTCTGTTTTCCTGTTTGTGGCTCTGAACCTCTCCCAGGTTTCCCAGGTTCTCCCTGAGAACTTGGAATTCAACATGAAAAATAAGGGTGGGGTTGGTCTCAACCAGCTGTTGAAGAAAAGGCAAGACAGAGTAGGAAATAGCCCAGTGGTGGCAGTGTGTGGTTCTGTGGGTTGCTGGGTACAGCATACGTGCAGTTCAGTTCTTGCACACAGTCCGCTGATGTGTCCCCAGCTGTTTGAATTTTGTGACAGGTATAATCCTTTAGATAGCAGAAATGTTGCAGACAGTACTATTCTTACTTGTAGGCTACTTGTGCTTTATAAACTCTGTTTGCTTCCTTCAGTCTGGTCCTTATCACAAACACTACAGCCACAAGATGAGTTCTGCTGAAATGTCTACTCATTTAAAAAAAATATAACTGTGATGGAGGGTCTCATCATGTATATTCTAGATTATCTCTGACCTTTGGTGCCATTAGAAAAGCAATAGGTAAAGTTGGTGTTAGTAGTGGGTCATGCTGGGAGCAGGACTCAGTCTAAGCTGGAGAGCAGTGATCAAGAAAAAAATAATGGTGCATTATTTTCGAACAGTGACAAACTTACATGTGTAATGTATGTATTGTAAGTTGATCACAGGGGCAATTGGAGAAGTAAATGACCCTCCTTGCTCTTTGTATTTATTTTTTTTTTAATTTACCAGGTGTGGAAGTATTTCAGAAGGTTTAGTCCTTCTCAGAATAAATAAAAAAAATAAATTGGGTTTTAGGGAATTGATGTGTATAGGCTGTTGTAGTGTTTCAGGACCGTTTTATCCGTAGGTGCTCTGTTTCCCCATAAATTAGATTACACTTGAGGTGTTTGGCTGCTTATTACGGGTTTTTCAACGCCAAATTTCAGGCACAGTGCTTGGTTCGCTCCGCTGAGGTGCCCGATCGATGGCTGAGGGGCTGAGAGCGCTGGGACTGCGCTGCCCTGTGTGCAGTGACAGCAGCAGGGAAGGCCAGGGCTAGTCTGATGTTCCCCTCCAGACTGGAAAACATGATTCAGAGCTAGTAAAAGATACCACATGGCATAAGAAGAAAAAAAAAAAAAAAAAAAAAAGGGGGATTCAACTCTTCGGGAAAGTTTTTTTTCTTATGCCAGTGATTTGCAAAGACATCTTTGTTAGTCATATGTAATCCGTTAAACCCCTGCTGATTTAAAGCTGACTGGGTACATGCGTATGCTTTGACAACCACTAACAATCTGTAAAAAACGTTAAGGGACGATTAACAGCTTTATCACCACGGGTGAAAAATGACCATTTCGCAACTCCGAGTCTCCCCCTCACCCGCCGGCCGCCATGTTCTCTCTGCGCTTTCTCTGGGCGCGGAGAAAATGGCCTCGGCCGCTCTGGCGGGGGAGGCTGGAGCCCTTCCCCGTGCCCCGGCTCGGCCCGAGCGCGGAGCCTCAGGAGCGGGGGTTCGGGGACCCGACCCCGCGCAGTCCCCCTGGCCGGGAGCGGGAGCGGCCCCACTCCGCCCTCCAGCCCTGCGGCGCCGCGGCGGAGCCCGGCGGGGGCGGCCTGAGGCGTGGCCTGGGTGCGGGAATCAGTTGACTCTTGGAAAGGGAAATAAAAGACGGATAGCGAATGAGTTCGCTTTTCCTCCGGGAGCTAAGTAGCTGGGAGATAACCGGGGGTTTATTGTCATTCTGACTTAGCATCAGGAGTTCTTCGAGAATCTATAGAAGCAGTTCCTTTAAGTCTTCAAAAACCCAGCGGGCAGTAACTGTGTGCCCGTGTTAAGTCCACAGAAGCCTTTCTTTCTCCTAGGGTGTGCAGCATTGGGAGCCTGAGCAGCTTTGCAGAAGCGTTGAGTGTCTGAGCCACGATGCGTCTTTTAAAAAGTCTTTTTTTTAAGGAGTAGGTTACTGGTTTATGTTCCCCTATCAAAAACAGTTAATTTGAAAAAGCTCTTGAATAAAAAAATAATGTAGAGGGAAGAGCAGAGGAAAAAACCACGGAAATTGGGGATTGAGGAAAAATGCAATCTTCATTGTACTGTAAATTTGATGATCAATGGCTTTGAAAGTGAATCGTTTGTCTATGGGATGTAATTCAGAGAGTAAAATATCTTTGTTGCAGCTGGGGGATTGCAGGTGAACTAATTGGCCTGACCAGGATAAAAGAAAAAGACCACTTTGGAGAAGCTGCTATAATGCTGAGAAGGAAAAGGCCCACTGTTCAGAAGTGGACAGGAGAAAAAGTGCTGCAAACTTGCTCTTTCTGAAACTCCGGACAGGTAAATAGCTTTTGAACTTCTGATATCGGCAAACATGTGTTTCAAGATTTTATTATTATCATCAGGTGATCTGATCATGGATTAATTTCTGAGTTGGAGGTATTTCAGCTTAAAACAAAAAACTGTCTTCATAGGGGCACTGGAATGATTTTAATTACGTTTACTGGATCATTTTTTTGTAGTAGTGATTCAGAAACCAAATCTGTAGATGAGAGAGGCTGTCATCCAAAACGCAATTTTGAAGGATGCAGTCACGAGTTCAAGCAAGGATGTGAAGCTGGACATCAGAGTAGCCAGAGATCTGGTCTTAATGTGACAGTTGGTAGCAAAAGGAAACACAAGACATATTATACTAGTTGTCATCCTCATCCTCCGCAGGTGATATGACCAATTTTAATTTAGCTTGTTGTTTTTTGGTTTGTTTGGTTTTTTGTTTTGTTTTGTTTTGGGTTTTTTTGTTTGTTTGTTTTTGTTTTTTTTTGTTGTTGTGTTTTGGGGGTTTTTTTGGGTTTGTTTTTTTTTTTTTTTACTTTTAAGAAGATAGGTTCTCATCTGGGCAGTAGTAATTGAGTGTGGGAGGTTGGGAAATTCTGTTGGTAATAGTTTATTCCTTTAGATCATATTAGTAGCTTATTCTTTTTTGCTAGGATTGTATTTCCTTCAGTGAAAATGTATAGTTTGTACATAAGCTTGTGATATCACTGAACATGATCTTGCTATTTGTTCACTGAATATATTTGAGCAGATTAATGAAGAATAACCATCAATTGGAGTACTTGAAATACAGGCATCACTTTCGTGACTTCAAATCTTTTATTATGACAAGCATTTATTTAAGCCCTACTTGAAAATCCAAGGACAAGTTTCTAAACTTGATTTTGACTAAGTATCACTGAAATAGGTTGTAATGTCAGATTTACTTTTCTAATTATCAGTGAGAAATGTGTAGAATTGGATATGAATGATGTCCATCCACTAGGAGAGTGGTTTTTCTGATCTTTGTTTTATATTTAACTGTTAAAGCTGAAGATTGGAATTATAAGTTAAGATCTTCAGCCAAGACAGCACAAAGTAAATGTATATGGTATTTATGATTAAAAAAAATAACTTCTTGCAAATACTCGTACAAGTGATTTAATCTTGATTGCTTAAGATGGGTATTTTAATTTGGCCACAAGGCTATTTTATATACATATATCTATGTTTGTGTAAAAGATAATTATTAAATCTGTTTGGTTTAAGAAAAAAATAGGGGCCCTGAAATAATGAAGTAAAATTCAGTGAACCAGTCTTTTAAAACAATTGTAATTTTTTGTTGCCTTGCTACTCTGAGTTTCATCTGAAAATCTGTTCCTTGCCATGTTTTTCTCCTGTAACATTAACTATGTGCCCTGTGAATTTCTGGGGACTGAATTTGAAATTGTTCCTGTCATCTGTTTGTGGCCTGATGTGTATCTGAATGCCTGAGTATTTCCCTGCTGAATGAATTGTGTATTCCGACCTGAATTCACTCGGGTGGGCTGCATGATTGGTTTGGAAAGATCCAGGAGTGCAGAACATAATGCAGAGTCACCTGACCTGTCAGAGAGGAGCCTACTAAGTGCAAGTAGTGGTGGGTTGACCGGGTCTGGGTGCAGGTGGCCACCAAAGCCTTTCCATCAGTCCCCTCTGCAACCAGACTGGGGAGAGAAAATGTAACAAAAGGTTCTTGAATTGAAGGAGGACAGGGAGATCACTCACCAGTTACCATCATTGGTGAAACAGACTCGACTTTGGGTTATCAACTGAATTTATTACCAGTCAAAATCAGAGCATGATAATGAGAGGTAAAATCTTAAAAGCAACTTTCCCCCACCCCTTCCTCCTCCCTGGGCTCTACCTCCTGCTGGGACCCTGCTCCAGCACAGGCTTCCCATGGAATCACAGCCTTATTTCAGGCATCTATCTGCTCCGGCGTGCATCTCCTCCATGGGCTGCAGGTGGAATCTGCACCCTTGTGGTCCTTCATGGGCTGCAGGGGTGCAGCTGCCTCCCCACGGGCTGTATCACGGGCTGCAGGGGAGCCTCAGCTCCGGTGGCTGGAGCACCTCCTTCCCCTCCTTCTCCACTGACCTTGGTGTCTGCAGGGCTGCTCCTCTCACATATTATCACTCCTCTCTTCTCTGAGTGTAATTATCTGTGCAATAACTTTTTTTCCTTCTTAACTGTTATCCCAGAGGAGTTACTGTCATCTCTGACTGGCTCAGCCTTGGCCAGTGGCAGTCCATCTTTGAGCCACTTGGCATTGGCTCCGTCAGACATGGGGGAAGCTTCTGGCAGCTTCTCACAGAATCCACCCCTGTAGTCCCCCCAGCTACTAAAACCTGGCCACAGAAACCCAATGCAAAAAATTCTTTTAGCATAAGATGTGAGGACCTTTGGAAGTCTTTTCTTTCTGTCCTTTTTTTTTGTTTAGGGGTGGGGATTGTTACTCTTTTTCTGTAAAACTTGAGTACATTACTTATTTTTTCCTTTTTGCCCCTTAAATATGCTTTGATGAGAGTTGTCCAATAACAGCAACAATAACAATTGTAAACTGGGTAATTACAATTTAAAGAAGCACAGTCTAGAACAGCTTCAATGGTAGTACTTAAATCTGTTTTTGTCTGATTCATTTTTTTAATAGCTGAATAACTTCACAGCTTATGACTGAGAGTTCTTTCCTTTATAGATGAGATTGTTGCTGTTTTGGATGAAGGTACTTCTGGAGTAGTGGAATGCATCAGTCACAAAGCGTGTTTCATTAAATACATGTAATTTTTCTTATCGATACTGTCACAGTGGGGTTCATAAAGTGTTTGCTGATTGCATCAGGTTTAATCTTTACATCTTTGTAGGCTGTTAAGTATTTCTTTACGGTTGCCACAGTTCCCAAACACTAAATATGTTACCACAACATGCTGAAAGCAGTACTTAGACAGGAGAGTTGTGCAGGACTGGTGGCTGAGACCTGTTAAGAGGATGAGGGCTGATGGAGGTAGGTGACCAGGACACTGTGGGGTGAAGCTGCACTCCCCCACACTGGGCAATCCTGGGGCCTGGATCACCCCAGGCCTGGGTAATGAGGAAGCTGTCTGGCACCATGTAGCTAACTTAAAGCTTAGCCTGTGGTGATGCAATGCTGTTTGGGTTCTCTCAGTGAGTCTGTTGCGAATCAGGAATATATTTTGTATTTTATGGCAGTTTTACTATGTGCAAGGTAGTAGGCAACAAGATTGTCTTTCTAGCCACTGTAGAAGGCACTTGAAACCTCAGTTAACATTTTTACTACTTAAAGACTGAAGAAGGCTGGTCATTTTTGACTGACAGTTGTGTAAGGCTGTGAGATGTGGAAGTTCCTCTAGTATTAGCCCAGTATACATAAATACAGTGGGGAAGTAGGCGGGACTTCTAACCTCTAAGAACAATACTGATATATACAGGATCAAGTATGGTTTCAGAATTTAAATATGAAATTTTAGTTGTATTTATGCATAGATGAACTTTGGTTATATTGTCAGCATGTAGTAAAAAAAAACCCCTCAAACTTTTCTGGTAAGGCTGCCATTGTTATAAACAATGTATATCTGAATATTTTTAGTCACTGTTATAATCACTGTTATAATCACTGTCCCTTCAGAAGAGGCAAACATGTATTTGTGAAAAGTCAAAAAGATGGTAGCTACTCCGGTGCAGCTTAGGAAGTCCTAGTACTGGAATATTTACAGGGACTGGGTCCCAGCAGTACACTATGATTATAGAAAGCCACCTTTTACTTTGTTTCAGCTTTGCGATTTCTGTGACCTCACTTTCTGTAACATGGGAAATACTTCTCAGTGCTAATACAACTGTTGCAAATCATGTGTTGTTCCTGCCTTTGTAGTCACTGTGCCCAGATCTTGGAATGGTTTGAGCACCACGGACACCATATGCATTGTTTCTGAGCTCGTGGGACTCAGCACCTTTGACTTGCATTGAAGAGAATGCTCTCTGCCATTTAAGCTGGATCACATTAGACAGATGGCATAGCAGACCTGCAGATCTGAGAACTGTAAGGATGCTTCCTTTTTGCTTTATTTGTTATGTGAATAAAAATGTCTCTTGATTTCCTTTCAGAGGTGAGAGGTGTGGCAAAAAAAAACCTGGCAATGATGAAGCAAATGCTGCGGCCGTTGCTGTATCACATGATGAAAGAAAAGCTGGATTGCTACAGTTTAAATATTTTCAGATTAGGTTTAAGAGCAAACTTTTTAAAAAAAAGTTTAATAATCACAGAGTCATCCTTTTGCTGTATTTAACAAGCTGGCCACTCTTGTGGAATATTCCCAGATCAATTCCCAGGTTATGAGCAAACAACTGGTAAACTTCTACTGAAGGGACAACACAGAATTTTGAATAACAGACTATGTTCTGTTTGTCTAGGGAAACACAGGTGTTTCTGTGCTGGCCAGCTGGCTTGGGATGAACAGAGTCCTGCAGGCATACATATATCAACACACCATAAGCCACTGAAAGTGAGATGGGGGAAATGCTTTTGTGGAGAGGAGCTTCAAGTGCAATTATAAGATAAACAACAGAACATCTTGAATTTTCATGAATGAATTCATAATGATGTGCCAGGATTCCGACCACAAAGAATCTCTTTGACCTTGTTCAGAAGACACTGGAGTATGACCCGAACAACTGCACTTCTCTTAAAGAAGCACTGCAGCAGCCTCTCTTCTCTCTCTTCTGCCCAGACATGCAGAAAAAGGGTGCAGGCTTCTGAAGCCAAGCAGGCTGACTCACAGGGCAGTGCACCAAAGAAACCTGAATGCCACTGACTACTTATTACTTGGTTATTTTGTAAATACTTTATGTTGTAAATGCTTTACTTAGTAGTATGACTTTTTGGATACTTAAGTTCAATCCAGCTGCTGACATCGAACTTAGTATATTGATGAACCTGGTTATGTTTTCTCATTAAATCAAACTTGTGGGACACTGGCACTTTTAACATATGGAAAAGAGCACCCTAACACCAAGGAAGTATTATTTTAATTATGTTTTATTCAATGGTCCTTGAAATAGCAGAAGACCTGCTTTTTACCCTTTAGTGTCACTGTTGCTTTCTTTTTGGATAAGGAGCAGAGATATCCCTTGACATTAAGTGTAAGGATGGCCTTTATTTGCTTTAAAAAAAAAGTTACAAAGTAAGGAAGATCACTGTAGTATTGAACAGATTGCATTGTGATGACCAATTTTTTCATTATTTTATTAGGTGTACTCTGGTTACCAGTATTTCAGTTAATGCTCACTTAGCTTACAACAGTATAGACTTCACTCTTTGACCCAAGCTTTCTGAATTGAACTGTCCTGAGAATTTCCATTAGGAAGTAAAGTTTCAGGGAGCAGATAAGCAGTTTGGTTTAGCATGTCAACTGCCAGCATAAAAGAATCTTTAAACTTCGAGGGGTGGAGTTTTGGCTGTCTTAGCTTCCAGCAGCCATGCATTTACAGAGCAGCACAAAGAAGCTGCCCCCCCACCCCAGCCAGCAGCATAGCCCAGCTCGAGAAAGCTGTATATGGGACAGCACTGCTTGTACTTCCATGAGGGAAGGGGAAAGGCGCCCCCAGAACTGATGCTCAGCCGCAGGGGCGCCTGACAGCCCCTCAGGAACACAGGCCACCAGCTGTGACAGCCAGCAGGCTCAGAGGTGCCACTCTTCATGTCCTACACAGTTAGCAGTCACTGCCACCACAACAGCTTCTCTCCAATAGCTTGCAGGAGTGGGGCACCCACCTCACCCTGCAGTTGGAATAGAGGATTGCTTTATGCTGGAAGTCTAGTAAAGGGATGACAGAGTACTTGGGGACATGGACAGCCACTGATGAAAGAGGCTATTTGGAGTAAGTGTTACAGACTGCAGTGCCACACAAGCCATGGTTGATTCACTTGGAGACTTTTTACAGTTTAATCTGCAAGCAGAACTGCCCTGTCTCATTCACCATATCACATCTACTCCAATACAGATAGAAATTCCAAGGGGTAAGGTGGATTTCACTGTGGAAGGCTTTAAATGACAGTATTACAGTAGAAAATACAGGAGGTAGAAGGTAACTGAAAGGACAAATGCAGGTTAGAGTCAAATCTATAACAGCTCCAGTAAGCTACTTGAACGTGGTTTTAAAAACTAAATCCAGTATTTCAATAACTATAGAAAACAGTTAAAATAAATTGCCATGAGAGCCCTTATATCATGCTTGATACAGGGAGGTAGGATGTAAGAATCAGAAGGACACATGAGACATGACACTTATCTACAGCTCCTGTTTGCTTTACTGAGGACAGAGTTTCTCAGGTCAGTCACCTTCTTCAGCTTCAGACTCCGACTCTGCAACAGAGACACCTTGTCAGCAGCCTGCCCACAGGTCAGCCCCCAGCCCCGAGCTCACTGCTGCCCTGCATCCTGCATAAAAGCTGCTGTTGGATCCACATGGATTTCACAGGCAAACTTTTCTAGCCAGTACGAGGGTAGGGGACACTCTTGTCTTAGAGAGGCAATTTAACATCCCCACCCTTGGCCACACAGTGTTATTGCACCACGGTTCCCAAAATGAACAAGCTCCACTTGTGAGCTAAGCTGCTGCTCACCTTCTTCAGCATTCTTGAGCCATTCAACAAACTTTTTCATCTGCTCCAGAAAAACACTCTTTCCTTTAGCAAGATGTGCATCTTTGTACCACTTCAAGATGGGTTCTTCACTCAGAACTTCAGCTGTAAGATGTGCAAGAGCAGTGAGAACCCCCGACTGGCAGCCTTTGCTTCCCCCCCTAGAAGCATCACATGCTCCTTCTGTGGGTATGGCTGGACAGACCTGCACTAGGAGAGGCTCCTCTTTTAAAATTCTGAGAGCTGTGCATTTTGGATTGGCTGCTGGGATTTTCCTGAGTACTGCATCTAGGAGCTGCACTTTTGCTCCCACTAACAGTCTGGGGTATTTCAGAGTTATTTGAGGTGACACACACTCTAAGGATTTCAGTTAAAAGTTAAGAACAGATACAAATTCTTTAAAGTCAAAAGCACACCACAGGAAGTGTTTAGCTGTTTTTAAAATGGTACGATATAATCTTCAGTTTACCAAGTCTCCACAGCTGCACAGCATGTTTTTTAGTAACACCTTTTATCAGACATTAAAAAGAGAGCCTACAACACCCCAGAACATGGTGGTGGTCTCCATCTATGGCTGTTCACAGTCAATCTTCCCTAAAGGACTTACTAGGACTGAAGCATTCTGCTTCAGAAAGTTCCAAAACACCCAATCAACCAAAACAACCCCTCAAAAACCCCACAAAACTCCAAAACTACAACCCCACAGAAGTTACCTTTATAGAAGAGCACCACTATTTTCTGGAAGGCCTTCATGAAGTGAATGTTGTCATAACAATACTCCTGAATCTTCAACAGAAGAGTCAGCTCTGACTGACCTTGGGTGGTGAAGGCAGCAAGTAGAGGGCTGTATTGCTGTAACAAGAACAACAAATTGGCACACGCAGAACACTCCACGTGTACCTCCTGACTAGGCTGGTTTCACAGTCTCCATCAGCCACTGCTTATGAAATTTGCAACCACTGCCCCACCCCAGAGTGCTCCTGCAGCAGCCATGCTGCCTCTGCCCCAGGAACCTGGCCTGTAATACTCTCTGCAATACAAGAGAAAGAATTCCCCATCTAATGCTGTCTCTGCATTAGCAGGGTTGTTACAAGGCTTTGACACTTGAAAGGGAGCTCGAGACAGAAGGAAGCACAAGCTCTACCCAAGGGGTGCAGAAGTCCATAGTGAAGTTACAATACCTTCAAATGCTTAATGGCTTGCTCTGCTACCAGCTCCTCCTTTTTGTTCCATTCCACTGTGCTCATTACACTTGACCAGATTATGGCTACCACAGTCTGTTCCGAGATGTTGTTTTTCTTCATCTCCTCCTTCACGTACAAGATGATCTGCCAGTTAAGTAAGAGTCAGCACAAAGACCACTCATGGCACTAAGCTAAATTAAAACTTCTGTTCTGAAGGTAACCCAGAAGGTTTCAGAACCACACACAACCTCCTTCATCATACATCAGAATTCAGGACATTAAGGAAAGGCTACAAAGCTAATACCAAAATCCCCTGGTCCTAATTTTAATTCCTGGCGAGAGCTAAGTTCAGTATGAGAGACAGACACACACACAGAAAGCACCTCCACCTCATCTCCAGACAAGTACTTACATCCTTGAACGGATCTCCCCGCGACATCTGCTCCTGCAGTTCTTTCTGCAGCTCCTTCCGAGCTCCTATGGATTGCTGGTTCCGAACATACTCAGAAAGTTCTTTTAGTCCTGCTTCAGTGAAGTACTTAGAGAAGTGTTCAACACTTTGTTTGTTGGCTGGGAAGAGTTCCTGAAAACAAAGTTTACAATTTTTTTGTGAAAGAAATGTGTGTTGAGTACCTTGCTGGCAAATTCTATTTTACTAAACTGGCTTAAGCAGTAGGAGAGTAATTTCAGTGGTACTCACCATCAGTCTATTATCCATGTTTACTTTGCGAAGACTGACAGCCACTGCATTAATATCTTTCTCATTTATCCATGATTTGAAGAGCTTGACTGCAAAAGCTGCAGAAACACCTGTGCAATAAGAATAGTACTGTTTTTAGTGACAGTACTAAAAACAAAAAACAAAGGGAATCATAAGGCCTGAGTTCAGGGCACCTAGTCTGTCAGACCCCTGCTCAGAGCAGCAGCAGCTGTGCCCCAACAACCCTAGCACTGTTTGCAGAACCCCTCCCTGCCTGAGGATACTGCAGCCTCCAGCACACTGGACTTCTCTTACCATTCAGGGACATGAAGTCTTCCTGTACTAAACTTGACTCTCCTTGCTGCAATTTAGGAAGAAACCTAAAGACATGACACACCTTTTGCATGCTGAAAGGTCCCTCTCCAAAATACAATACTGCCTCGCTGGGTAACACTAGTGATGGCAGCCCCAGTGTCATGCAGGCAAGTCCTACACACAAGCTTTCTGAAAAAACTCATTTTCTGAAGTCTTAGCAAGACCTTCCAGGTTGTGGGGCAGCACGTTTACCTTTGCTAATCCTGTAGTTAATCTATCACCAGATGAAGCTAGAGAGCTGCAAGGAGTATTGTCTTTGTAATACCCACCTACTTGTCATGGTTCTGTCCCCCACCATCTTCCCCTGAAGGAGGAGTTGGGCAACACTTACCTTCTTTAACCAAGTTCTCATTGTAAAGACTGTTGAGAATCGATGCATTCAGTGTCCCATTGGCCAGCAGAATACCCGTCAGCATGGCCAGTTTGTTCCGCTCAGATTCTGAGAACCCTTTCAGGAACAGCAGCAACTGCAAGAGAAAGTAAGAAGAGTTGCCCTAAAACTATCATCTCTCACTAAACTTTGGACACTCTTGTGTTAAACATTTTTGTTTCAGTCAAACTGTTCAATTAGCAGAAGCACTGGTAGTCTTCTCCACTAGTGACAGCACCTTGCTGTTCTTTTATTAGAAACTTAGAAGTGTTGTATTTTAATAATCCACTTTATGCTGTAACTCTTCTACAGTGATTAACTAGCAGAATTTGAAGGTTTATTTGTCTGCTGATAAACACTGTGATGGTTTCACTCTAGGCCTTCCTGGAGACCTGGAGTCCAATTCCCTTGGACTAGGGAATTGGATTTTAGGGCTCTCAAACCATGACAAACACCCACTCCGTACCTTTTTGACTTCATCTTCAAAGCCTTTCTCCAGGTACTTGTAACGCCTGATGAGCTTGTTAAAAACCTAAAAAGACAGATCATATTATTTTTTGCTCTAAACTATCATTCAATTACAATTTTAAAAAAACAAGTTCAGTAAAGTGGGTCTGAACTCTACAGAGAACTTTTAGAACACTGCTACTCTTACCACTTCCAGTATGCTTCTTAAAGCCACATATTATTCTTACCCAAACCTTCAACTACACAAACATTTCATTTTTGACCACTAAACAGTTTTAAGTTAAATTGTACTCATTTCAGAACTAACCTGAGCAAATGCTTGCATGGTTTCTAGGTCTTCCTGTGCTGCAAATACACAGACGTTTGTGCGTGTCATGTCGTCTGCCAAGGTACCACCTGGGGCTGGAGGAGGATTTCAGCATTAGTAGTGTTACTGCCCAGGGAGAGTACTGAGTAGTCTCCACAGTAAGAACTCCAGTTCCCAAAACATGCAACACATTGTCCTTTTGTGATGTTGAATGACCTGGCCACTGAAGATATCCCTACATTTCCATCTGTTCCACTGCTGCAGTGGAACTTTAAAATCAGTACCTCAGATTTGAATATTTAAATATTCTGGCCCCCTACTGCTAAGTGGATTGGCAAAACATCTTGTTTACACGTGACTAAGTTAACACGGCCATGTAAGTGTCTCTTCTCTTAAGCACTGCTTAATCATAGCAAGTGTCTCTAGTGTCTGCAGCAATAGTGCTTTGTAAGTGCCTTTTACATGACACAGTAAGTCACAACAGGAGATTGAAACATGTAGAGATGCATGTTCAAAATTCAGTGCTCCAGAGATGAGTTTGAAACTTGAGGTTTCTTTAGGCTGCTTCACTAATGAAAGTGCATTCAGGTCACCAGCTTCACTGCCAGAACACCTCATCATGGATTTCTATGCCATCCTACATACAATGGAGATCCTTATGTTATTAGCCAGATACACGGCTTTAAAAACAGAGATGAGTATTAACAGTAATATTAAAAGGTGGTAAGGCAACAGGATGTCAGTTTTTATTCTGGCCTCATCTGACTGAAGATCAAAGTCAGTCTACTTAGCTATGTGTTAGAGAGGGACTTGAGTAAAGGACCCCATATTACCAGTAACGCAGCAATGCCTTCTTCCCTTCCCTCTCAGCCTTATTCCTAGAAGAAACACTTCCTAACACAATATGCACTGGTTAAGACTCTTAAATGTAAACCCACATATCTTAACAATTACAACCTGTTAGGTGAGCAGCTGTTCCTCTTTGCTCTTTACACACGTGTACATGAGTTTATAAGACTTTTTGTCATCACATTTCACTTCCTCAGTTCCCTGTGTTTTCTGCTGACTCAACCACCTTCTCATTTCTCACTCCGTGATGTCTGCTAGAGCCCATCACCCACTGTCAACAACAAATGATTTGTAATAGCATTTCCAAGAGCACTTCAGATTCTTCTGTAAACAAGTTTCCTTTCCAAAATAAGAGGGCAGGATGCACAAAGCACAGGATAATGTCAGAATCATTCAGGGCAACTCCACTGGCCTTGTGACCACAGAGCACACACCTGAAAGAAGCATTCATCCACCTCACACCATCAGAAATGAACTTGACTAAAGAGTCAAGACCTACAAAAAAAACCAACAAAAAACAACCAAACACACAATCAACCAACAAAAAATGCCAAACAATCCAATATCTTTTTTTAAGCCAAATTTGTACAATCTACACTTTGAAGAACGCAAACAGGCTCAAGTAAAACTGCAGGAGGGTATACAGAGCATTTCTACAGCAATTGCTTAGTCACCGAGACGGTCGTATAGTTTACCACAGATAACTTAAACCCTGTTCCACACACTGAACGGGCTCTTTAGCAGAGTTTTTACACTGAAAGAAAATTGAGCTTTTGCAGAGTCACGTGAATGAAGCTGACAGCAGCCACATCAAAAGGACTTACCCAGCATTCCACCAGCCACCAGGATGTCAAAAAGTGTTTCTGCATAGCGGCGATAGTCAAGTTTTGCACCAGAAGCATCAAGAAACTTTGCTACTGCCTCCAAGTCAGTGCCAGTTTCACTTAAACCTTGAATAATACAGTCCTGGAACTGAGTAGGGTCAAACCTCTCTTTTTCATCTGTAAAGAGAAAGTGTTGAAATAAAATTTCTGTATACTGTTTTTTGGTTTTTGTTATTTCAGTCTTATTAAAAAAAACAAACAACTAAACCAAATTTGCACTGACAAACTAGACAACTGTATTAAGTAGCACAAATAGTGACTTAATAGCATAGCCTGAAATGAATTTCAGTGGCCAATACAGCAGTAAGGAGTCTTGCTACTTTCAATCCCATGTTCAGTCAAGGCTGGGAGAGAGGGGACCAAAAGCTAGAACATTGCTTAGTTACTTCTAATTGAATTCTTACCATATTTTCAGAACAGTTGTTCACAATGATCATTACTTGACTCTAATAAAGCTTACCTGACTTCTCAGTTTGATTCTTATACCCCCATTGACATGTTAGATCACTCTTTCCTCCAAAACAGGTGACTCAGCTCATGCTAGAACGCAATTCTTAATACATGCCCCTATGGTTTTGTACATTTGACTTCATTACTATGTTTCATTTCAGCTCTTTGGGACTCTCATTGTTTTGGAAGAAATACTCTGACTGACAAGCTGAAGTTAGAGTCATTTGACAGTGTTCACTTTTCAGCTATGAAGACCATCCCCTCCTTTTAATATGGAATTAAATGAGTCTGAAGTAATTGCTGTTCCTCAAGTGCCTGGGGGAAATGTAGACATATGAGCTAACCTAATGGGTTATAATTGCATATCTATTTAGCATCCTTTGTTGTTGTTAAAGCAGAACACCTACTTCTTCATATGTGAGATACATCCGCTGATCATTGCCTTGTTTTCACTACAGGTAGGGCGTAGTCAATATGCAACAAATCCATCCATGTAACTAACAGAAAACCTTAAACAGAAGTAGTCTTTAATTTTACTCATCTCTATTTGTCCTTAGATTATGCAAACCATGCAATGAGAAGCTTTCAAAGATACAGAACTCAGCTGCATATCTTATTTTGAGTGCTGTCTACGACGGCTTAGCCACTTCTGGTGGGTTAGCAATCTAGCTGGCATACTGGTGTCCATGCAAGTACCCACACGCTGGTAACAGCTGGGTGGAAGTCTGGAAATACTGGATCAGTTATCTTCCAGGACAAATCCACAAAGCTCGTTGTTCCAGCAGTTGCTTGAAAACAAACTGTGGTTAAATGTTTAAAAAGAGACTAAAAGCCAGGCCACTAGCATTTCCTCTGCTGGACAGACTAGATTGAACTCTCTCATTCAAGAGTTTCTCAAGGGGCTTTGACATTTAACAGGTTCTGTAAATCAAAGCATACTTCTGTACGTGCAGAATCCTTAAAGCTGCCTGTCTGAGCTGGAACACTGCTGGCATCCTAGTAAAACAGTATTGAACAGGAACTCTAAGAGCTGCACCCACTTCCTCTATGGGTTTAAAAACACCCCCACCAAAATACTAAGTTATTCATCGCACCTCTTCAGTCATTAACTCTTCATATGGAAGTAACTGTGCTCCTACAGAGACAGGCATTTGCACATCCCACATCTTGGGCTTTTTTTGGATGTTCGCTGGGGAGTGGGTCTGTTTGTGTGATTTTGTCGTGGGTTTTTTCTGTCAGTTTTTTTAAATTAGGTATTCTTATAACATTAAGGGGACAATGTAACTTTAATCCAGTGGCTAGGACTGAAATCCTTATTACGTTACATGCTCCTTCGATGCATGTATCAACCTGCAAAATGCCTGTGCTGGAGCTCCCCTGTAATTCCGGGTTATCAGATACTTCTGCTTTCAGGCTAAACACACTTCACACGGTTCCAGAATGACCGTCTCCTAAGCCAAGCTTATCACAGTAAATTCGGTGACAACTCTTACTGCCAAATATGTTTGATTAGTGCAGAGAACGCTTCAACACCCAGAGTCGGCCTCCAGACTCTGCATTTGGCATGCTCTCACTTAAGGAAGTTCTGAGAAGAGCATAAAGGCACTGGTTTGTTTGCGGACACAAACTGATGTTTTACCGACCGCACGGCGCCGGCAGCCGGTCCTGGCAGCGGGCACGGCGCAAGAACTCACCTCTCTTTCTGGTTTTAAAACGCTGGCCCGATAGTGTCGGCTTCTGCGGCTTTTGATTATTCATAAAAGACACCCTGCAAGGAAACAGAGACACCCCTCAGGGCCCTGGCGAAGGGGCCGTGCCGCTCCTGGCCGCCAACCCCGCGGCGCTGGGCGGTGCGGGCGGCGCCGGCTCCCGGCACGCACCGGGCTCCGGGCGGGGGCGGCGCGGGGCGGAGCCGGGCCCGCCGCGGCGCCTCTGGCCCCCCGCCCCCGCCGCACGGAGCCCGTCGGGAGGTTCCCTGTCGCCGCCGCGCTCCCGGTGCCCGTGCGGGGGCGGACGGAGAGGGACCGACCTCCCCCCGCCTCCACCCGAGCGCAGCGCAGCGCGGCCCTCACGGCCCGGGCTGCCCCAGCCGGCCCCGCCGGCCGCCCCCCGCCCGCGCCCGTGTGCTCACCGACTTTAAGGCAGAGAGAAAACGCCCGAGCGGCCCGGAGCGCAGACGGGCGAGAGCGGCGGCGAGGAGCGGCGGCAGCGGAGAGAGAGCTGTGCGAGCGGAACCGACGCCAGAGGAAGAGGGAAGGGCCGCGCTCCGCCCCGCCCCGCCGGAGAGCATGGAGGGAAAAAGGGCGGGGATCGGTCCGGGCTCCCGCCCTGCCCTGGCCGTCCTCCGGCCGCGAGGGGGGACCCGCGGGGCTTGCGCGGCCGAGGAGAGTGCGGGCACATAAGGAGCGCCAGGGGAACACCGAGTCCTGCGGGGCACTGGGCATTAATGCCGGGTCTGCTGTGCTATTTTATGCTGGATTTGCTGTTGCAGTTTTAATAATCGCCTCGTTCCTCCCATCCTGATGATAACATCATCATATAAACACTTGACATATAGTAGTCTGTGCAGACAGGATTACCAGTTAAAAGCTGCTCACATCTGACACACAACAAAGTCTTTGAGTTCCAGAAGCACAGACCTTCTCTACTGCCGTTAACACAGGTTCTTCCACTAGCAATCACGATAACAGCTCTCATTCTACCTCCAGGCTGTGGGGCAGTCTGTGTCCATTAGCAAACAGCATAAACAAACCCAGTGTGTTAGTGAAGGGCCTGTAAGTACTTTCTAAAAAACATGCTGCCAAACTCGCCCAGCAGCATGTAACTGGAGACAAAACCAGCATACTGTCCATGCTGGTGTAGGACAGGAGATGCAACTCAGTTCTTTGCTCCCCAAAAGGCCAAACCACTAAACTAACGTAGAGATCACAAGCTTCCTTCTAGACCTCACACAGCAGCAAATCTCCACCAGGCGTAAAGGATAATGTTCCTGTGACTAAAGCTCTTGCAATGACCAGTTATCAGGTGTGTAAGTGGAACACATCACTGTGCTTCAGGAGTGGAAAGTGGGGTCATTCTTATTGTCAGTAGGAGCCAGATTTCACCTCATACCATTTTTGTTACTACTGCTGTCTTGAAACGATATTGGTTATAGATCCCAGTGTCACGAAATAGCAGGACAGCCTTACAAGTTTGCTTTTATTCAAGAAACATTTTTACAGGTTCCAGTTAACAGCCCGATGAAATCCCCAAAATACTACATTCAAAAATACCCTAAGGGAGTTTCAGAGGAAGGATTTTCACCTTAATATTTGCAAATATTTGTCCATTCATTCTAAACCCAAGACCCTGATTACTTTGGTACTCATTCTAAACTGAGAGGATTTGTCTGAATCACAATTAAGTAAAAAGCCAAGAAGATAAATCAGAAATTATTAAAATTGCCTTTTACGGAAAGGAACAAAAAGACATAATAGTTCCTTGCTGTCAGCTTCCTGAAGTCTTTGATATTACAGAACTGCAACGTCTATTACCAGTTGAGCTTTTCCCACTAGCTGTAGTTTCTCACCATTTACCAAGAGAAATGATCAGGAAAACTTCACCCACATAAGCTAGAAATTTCCTTATTACTTGCAATATTAATTTACATGTAAAGGAATAAAATCTTGTTGTATCTCTACAGATTTAAATTAAACATGACTTATTTGAGGGTGTGTGCAGGTTGCACTCTCTTCTATACTGAGTTAATTTAAGCCTCACCCTTAAAATAAATGAAAATAGTCTAAATTTCTGTCTATTTAATGAGGATCTGAACTAATGAAATACCCATTAAGCATCTCCAGAGTTATTTCTTATGCTAGTGTTTTTGGGTACACAATGACGTTGTTAAATGTGTTCTTACTGTAAATTTTATTGCTTTGAACTATTAAATATCAAAGTCGAATATTGATTTGTATATATTACTATGTTGGCTTAGCTCAGCCATTCCCTTTTCTCCCTCTCAAATACCTTTGCACTTGCTTTTCAGTCTCCTCTCCTCATGGGAAAATGAGCATACAGCTGCCACCAGATCACTTTAAAAGCTCCTTTCTGAAACATTCTCTGTCAGAGTGCCAGTTGTTTGGCACAGCTCAGTTAAACTGTGAGCTGACACACTATGATGAACTTCTATTGTCACTGTTTCCCTCTCAGCTCTGCTCCCCTCCACCTTTTCATCTGCACATTGCTATGCAGGCCTGCTGACGGCTGCAAGGGGCAACCTCACCTGTGTTATGGTCACTTGAAGCTGGTACTGGGAACCTGTCCTGCTTTAACCCTTCCTACCTCCAGTACACCTCTCTTGCATCGTGCCCTCTCCTCACCTACAGATGAAAGCATCAGCTATGTTCTGCTTCACCATTTTGCTGGAAAGAAGGAGCAAAACTGTGGATAAGGAAGAGGAGAAGAGGAACAAGTGATGACGAGGCAGTGAGTGAATAGCAGTGATTATATTCCAGCTCTAGGAGAGGTCGAAGTTGACAGTGGTTCAAAGAAATCTGGTGGTAAGGAGCAGGCTTGAGGTAGGCTGCCAGGAAGCAAAGACGCTTTACTGGTGTATTACTGTGGTTACTGTAGTGGTAATAATATATCAGTGTCTAGAAATATTTGGTAGTATGTACTTTCAGAATATCTCTTTTACTGAAATATTGATACATTGCCCATCACTAATTTGTACATTGTCTAATTCTGATCTTTGGGATTTTCATATGTTAGAAAAACAGAAAAAATAGATAACAACAGCTGTGACTCTCAAACTGCATGTAGAAGTGACAAAATGGTACTATTTGTGATCTGCTCTTCACTGCAGATATTTTCAGAGTCTCATGCAAATGCTTTGAAGTTCTTGAGTTAACTCCCCAACTATTCCAGTGCAGCATGAAACACATTAATGAGAGGTCTTTTACTTAGAGACTTACAATAGAACTGGTGCTTATATCTTGTTCTGCAAAGATGGTGTGATATATATATGTATGCATGTGTGCATGTAAGTATTACAGTTCTTTCTTGCATGAATGCTTTTGATCAGTAAGTGGCTGAAGGAATCACCTGGTTGGTTGATTCTTAGGAAAGCAGTACTAAGCTATATCGATGGCCCATGGCTTATAGGTTCCAGGTTTGTCTTTTGGAATCTGAAATAAAATATAAAGAAAACAACATCATTTTGCTAAGGGGAAAAAAGAACTTACTGTAATTCACAAATGCATGTTCCTTATCAGCCATGTAAATGTCATTACATGCACAAAACTCCATTTTCCCGTGTTATAAAAGGTTGTGAAATCGACCAACTTACTTCTAGTTAACAGTGGCATTCTGGTAATTGAACAGGTAATTAAGGTCATATCTCCATAGCAGAGGTGAGCTCACAGCCTGAAAGGCTCAGATTAGAGGAACTGACATACGAGGTTCCATTATGCAATATGGTTTAATGATACTGCTTGAATCGTGGAGGCCATGATGTTTGCAAAGAAATCCTACATTTCTGAGGGCATTCCTGGAGACAGAACATCACCTCCTGATGACTGGATAACAACTTCACCATTATTTAAATTCTGAGTTTTTCCCAAGTGTTTGCACAGCACTTAGACCACAAAGGTTCTTAATCCTGGTTGTAACTTCTATGAATATGAGAAGTTCTATCACTGTGAAACACTTTGCTGGATATCCTGCACAGGAGGAAGCAGAAGTGGATGGATGTGGAATTCACAGCCCCAGCCTCCAGGGAGGTTGAGGTCAGGGAGTCTCTAGCTGGCTGCCACTGGAAGAGTGGGGCCTGCAGGTCTGCCTGACCCAAACTGTGTCTCTCTTCATAGAGAAATTTTCAGTCTAGGGTACAATAGAGTTGTTCAAATTCAGCTACGTGAGGCTTTTTAAGTTTAAAGCTTTGATTAATGGACCTTGTCACAGTTTGATCGGATGTTTCCTATTTTCCAGGCTCCTGAAGCGTTTGTTTAGTTTGCTTTCTGACTGGATATGCACTGAAGGGAAAATGACTGGTAAACCCGTGCTGTTTATCTATTTCATAATTGCTCCTGTGCTTTACTACTTTGATTTTTTATTCCCCTTTTTTCTTTTTCTCTTCAACTTATAAATAAACAGAAATTTGGGTAAGTGACAATGTATTAAGCAATTTCAGATATCTGCTTTTACAGTGCCAAAAGGATGAGTGCATTGGAAAACCTGTGAAGTGGCTAAAGCTTTCATCAGAAAACAATGTCATATTTCTCATCTTGCCCAGCTTTCTGAAGAAACTCTTGTGTGATCACTGTTGGCTAGGGCAGATACGGGGAGGGAAGTTGGCTCCTGCCTCAGAGTCCTACAAAAATAAGTACTGTCCAGCAGTCTACTGCTCTGTCCTACTGCCAACCCCTTGTGAGGGAAGTGCAAGATATAGGAAGATCAGATTGAGACATTACTGTGGAAAGAAAGACACAGAGAACTGCAAGGGTGAGGGTGCATTTTCTTGCCATCCTCATTTTGAAGAAAGCAGAGGCAAAGCACACAGGTGGCTATAAAAATAACTTCAGTGACTGTGGGGGAAATTTCAGTAAAAGGGCATAGTGCACCAGTTGTTTATTATCTTTTTACACTGATTACTCTTATAAGCAAATTGAGAAGCACAATCCATATTAAATCAGGGATACCACTGGTTGAAAACTGAACTCAAAAAGTCATTTACATGACTGGTTGTCAGTCTGCAAAGCTCATGCATGTAGAATCATAGAAGAGTCTTTTCTGGGTCTAATGTTACCTCATGGTTGCTTTAATAATTAATTGTTAAACTATAAGTGGTATCAAACTGGAAAGGGTTGCAAGCCCTTTAAAGGACAGGTTTGTATTTCAAAGTGATTGTTCTACATTGGAGGAAGAGCCTAAAGTCAACGGCATGAAGTTCAGAATGGGCAAGTGCCAGTACTTTAGATAGCACTATTGAACCAGATCCAAGCAGGGATTACAGAGGAGCACAGCTAGGCTGTATATCCACAATTGATACCACTACAACAACCTAATCTGGCTCTGTGATACTAATGTTACATAGAATTTCTGAGAGACTCCACTTGGCATTGGTGAAGCCTAATCTGAAATATTACCATAGTGAAGTTGGATGTAGTAAAATTAGACATGATGGAGAAGTGAGCAGTGGCAATGTTAAAGGTTAGCAGACATGATTTACGGATCAAAGACTCTGTTTAAGAGGGTGAACGTTTAAAGTTTGCAGGAAAGCACATTTAGATTAAGTATTGCAAAAAAAAGCCTTCTAATTATAAGGACTTTTAAACTCCAGAGCTAACTCCAGAGCTTGTGAAATATTCTTCATTGATACTTCTTAAACATAGGTCTGATACTTATGAACAGAGTATGCTCTGGAACCACTGGATTGTGTTTATGATTTGAAGACAGTGAATTTGGTGACCGCAGGACTGGTATTCCAGACCAATTTACTCTGATTCCCTTGTTTCTGGGATTAGCTCTAAATCAAGCAGTCAGCTTAAAATGGGATAAGGTAAGTTAGCTAACATCAATAAACAAAGCCTTATTTAACTGTAATGTTTGTCCTAGGGCACTTTATTTTAGTGAGACAAGGAAATGGTAGAGTTTAGTCAACATGAGCTAGCAGGTGCTACCTAAGCTTTATTTAAAACATGACACATTTCAGCTCCATTCCCAGTGAAGGGAAAAAAAAACAACAAAAGCAAGGTTTTTTGAGAAGAAATGAGAAATTTAAATTCATCCACCAGCTGGAAATAGATTCTGAACTAGCCTAACTCTCCTCCCTTGCCTGATGCACTTAATGTTTTAACTACCTTCGATTATTTCATCAGCAGACTTGAATCCTTTCACAGTATCTCCTTTTTCTATTTTCCTTTCTTCAGTAATGTATGAATTATGTTTTATTGCATCCTGCAGCAAGAAATAAAACAAACATATTAATTGTAAGACAGAAAGTTAGATGACTTTTATCATTCATATGATCCTTTTTCAGATGGACAGATGGCTGTAGCTAAGTATTAGAAGGAGCAGGATAGTTTTTCCACTATTAGAGAGGGGTTTTCTTTTTTTTTTTTCATAGTTCATGTAATTCTCTTCTTCCCCCAAATTAGAAAGATTAAATGTCTGTTAATGACATTCAGAACTGCTGAAAATATTTCAGAATCAGATTGTTTGCTACTGAAAACCTGCTAGGCTTGAAAATTTTCAGAACATGGATGTAGGATGTGTGATATCAGCACTTCTGCAACCATAAGTTCTCAAATTTAGTTTTATACTGATGTACTACTGCTGGGAATTGCTTACTTAGAACTTTCTGAATATTCTTTAGTAATTTCTACCTAGATCTACAAAGACCACTCTCCAATATACTGGATGAATATGTACCTAGTAAGACTTTATGTGTTTCTAGAACCAAAATTTTGGAAGCCATTTATAAACTTTTTACACTTCATATTCAGAACCAATAAAGTCATATCTCATACCAAAAAAAAGAAAAAGCCAAAGCCTGGCAGAGCTCTACACAAGGCAGAAAATAGTCAGTGAGGTGACAGAGAGCTCTGTCAGACAAGGAAGAGGAGACAGATTGTTACCTCAATAGTCAGAATTGGGTCCAGATCTTTGTAGACTATCTTCACCTTTCCAGCCCCACACTTTGCCTGAGTCAGTGACTCTGCAACCACAGCACAGATTATCTGACCAACACAAATCACCTGCAACACATCAATGTATTACCCAAGGAAAAAATATAGTAGTGGTTAAGTTTCTGTACAGGAAGTGTTTTGAGGAAATAGATTCTGCTCAAATTGCAGGAAGGAAGCTATGTGGAACTATCTAAATTTTATGATGATACTTGTGGGATGCATGCACCATAAAGGACTAATTATATTCTGTTTCTCTAAGAATACTATCCCAGTGCAGACTTATCTTCATTAGATGAGAAGCCTACTAGAATCTTTCATTTGCTGCAACATTTCTGGCATTAGAAATGCTGCTGACATCAGTAGTTATGAACATTCCCCCTGTGTTGATCCTGAGGTGGCCAGCTACTGGGCCAAGTAAAATCCCATCTGCACAGACTGCTTTCCTTGTTTGTATGCAGAAATGAAGGAAACTCAGAGGAACAATAATAGAGAGGTAAGAACAACACAGTAGGAATTATTCTTGCCCTGTTGCAAATACCATGGAATAGCATCACTTGTGATGGACACAGCCTGAGGCCTGGGACATTCTGTACAGTCATGCTGGATGCATGGATCCTATAAATTTCTTAGCTCTGTCGATATTTGTCAAAAAGAAAACTGCTGTCTCCATTTGCCATATTCTAGTGTATAATCTAGCAATTAATTTTATATTGGTTCCAACTAGGCAATTCTCATTTTATTTGTCTCATCTTTTAAAACTTCAGATATCATGGCTGTTTCATACTTTCTCAGAATCCATGACAATCACTCATTTATCAGCCCTTAAGGAATCATGGCTTATTCACTTAAACCCTAAGTTATTTAAGAGAGTTTTTCCTTTCTCTCTTACTGGGGAACGGTAATTCTGCTCAGCCCAGTTTGCCTGGTTCTGCATTAATTGATTTTGCACTTACTTTCACTTCATTGCAATAAGATGATACTTGCAAACTCACTTTCCTATTTTATAAATAACTGTACCAAAATGTTCAGAGACTCCTCCAGAAGCAAGAAATACCTTATCTTCTGCATATGCTTGCTCATCTTTGCCATTTTTCCCTGGAACATCTCTTGCTGTCACTACCTCAACCACTCCTGGCACCTGAAGGGCTTCTGATGCATCAATTGATCTGGAAAGAAGAACACGCACATAAATGAGTACAGGATGTGGTACAAATAACTCTAGTACAAGTAATGCCGTGAACTTTGGGACAGAAAGATAATCTACTTAGTATTCTCATGACAGATCTCTACACAGAGAAGGGGAATGTGTTGATTAGCATATTGAGAAAAAAACTAAATGGAAGGCACGAGCATCTGTGTGTGCATGTCATAGAACAGCTCTTTTAATGCTAGTTCCACTACTTACAAAATATAAGAATATATTTTTTACACTTTTTTTGTACTACAATGGGTGAATGCAATAATGTGGACTCTTCTTTCCATATCTGACACTTTTTAAAGCACACAGCAAAGAAATTCTTACCTCATTTGTAATACATACCTCGTAATACGGCCAAATCAGATAATAAAAATAGAAAATACTTGTTAACATACTTATGTGCTTGTAGTTTTTTCTTACTTACATGATCTTTGCATGGGCTTTAACGCTGGTGACCACAGCTAGTGAGAGTTCTCCATCCACGGGACGAATGTCATCAATGAAAACTGCCTCACCAGTGGTGTGCTTAATTCCAGACTGGTGCCTGATGGGACGGCCCACGGGATCTTGTGGAGACTGTCCTGGGTCAACATCCTGCAACACATGTTGTCCTCAAGACAGACCAGTAATTATAGGAGCCTTTACTTAAAAACACTTTCTGAGGATATTTGGTGATCAAAAAAGCTATGTGGAACTATCTAAATTTTATGATGATACTTGTGGGATGCCTGCATCATAAAGGACTAATTAAACTTTTAGATCATGCTATCTTGGCACCAAGGTGGCCCTGGCAGATGTCTGAGAAATATACTGTATTAGATACCATTCATGTCTAGAGTACATGGCAGTCTCTTCTGTGGAAAGATTGCACTAAATAAACAGAGGTGGAAAAAATCAAGAAAAAGATAGGTAAAAGAGACAAAATGACAGTGGAACCACAGCAGATAAAGGAGAGCTAAAGTGATCTGGATCTTATAGCTGGCCTGTCTGCTGGGTCCACGCTGCTTCTGGTAGCATCTTGTGCAAGCCACACTCTTACACACTTCGCCATCACCACTGCTTCAAACAATCATATTTCATACTGTTTACTTCAGAGAAAATATATCTTAAATCAGGACTATATTCAGGAATCATTGTAATTCCTTCTTGTCCATCTTCCTAAAGAGACAGGTAAATTAATATTCTAGATAGTGTTGACTAGACTAAAAAATGGTTTAATTCATTTTTTTGCTATTTAAATTCCCTATTCTTCTATTACTTCAAAGACAGCCTGTAATTGAAAGCATTTCAGACATAATTAAAATATATCTTTGGTGCTCTCTGTTGTTGAATTGCTAGTTCACATTAGCTTGAAATAGACTATTACTGGGGACCACGAAAATCTTCCAACATTAATGTTTTGTTTGGACTTTTACCAAGTAAAGAGTTCTCTGTAAAACATTTCTTAGTCTCTCAAAGGACAAACACCAAATTCTTGGCTGATGCTGAAAGTTTTCAGTAGAAAACTGATAAGAAGCAGCAAAAGTTTGATTTTAAAAGTTTTTAAATTTTGCAACAAAACAAAAAAAAGGGGGAGAAATCTTGATGAAATTCAAAATTTTTAAAATTGAGATCTTCTACTGAACAAACATTTTCATACGCCAACCACTTCTCCTTTCTATACTGTAGCTTTGCAAAGAAGTCTTTCAGGCTTGAACAATCACAGAGATGCTGCAGTAGGTTATTTCATTTATTTGTACTGAGGCCCACCAGGCAGTTTAACTAAATTCTGCTGAGCTCTTTCATTGCTGAAAGCTGTGTTCCCTGTTTCAGCTGTGTCAGGACAGCCTGATCTGCACAACACCTTGAAGACCAGGAGTGCATCTGTACCCTGAAAGACCAGGAAATCGACAAAAATTTAAAAGATTTCCCACAGCGACAAACATTTCAGCAGCTTCACATTACAATTAGTAGAGGCTTCATAATGGAAGGTTAGAAGGGCAAAACACTCATTAAAAAAGAGGGTGTATGGCAGTCCTAGCTACAAACACACATCACCTGATAGATCTGGACACCCTGGGGAACACCACTTTGCAGCATTCCCAAAGCACTCATCTTCTCCTGTGAAAGCTCAGCATACCTGAAGGGATACTGAAAAGAAGGGATACTGTCAAAGCAGTGTTCTCAGACCCTTATTTCTAAAAGAAAAGTTTTCCCTTCACATGTTTTGAAGTAAGGCCTAGCACTTTTACCCTTCCCTCTCACATCCCTTTATCTTTAAAAAAGCACAGTTTTCCTGCAGTCTATATGCTGATGGGGGTATGCAATTCTTCTCCAGTGCTTACCATCTGATGTAAACCATGTAACACTTCCAGGTAAAATCTGAAAAGAAAGCTGACAAGCAGAGTTCTCCTATATTCTACTTTTCCACCTGAAGCTGATGGAGGGAGAACAATTTCCTCTAGCACCAGTTTGCAAGCTTCATTCAGCATCTGATCATTCCATTGCCTGGTAAAAAAAGCAGACTAATATGAACACACATCTCTTTATAAGTAACAGGTGGCTAAAAATATTGTGACATTTTTGTGAAGTAATAAGTGAATCAGCATAAGTTATATCAAGAAATAATCTATTGTTAGAAAGGACAGATCAAATACAGTGTGAGAGGCTGATGGTGGGATCTCCACTGGTGCCATCAAGCAAATCCCACGCTTCACACTATGACTCCTTCCTTTTGGTTAAATACATTAAGATATCCAGTACCTTCCTATAAGCTTCTCACAGGACTTTCTTGCACTGAGTGTGGTTGAGCCAATGCCTCCAAATAAAATACTCAGATCTACAATGGTGTCTGTGGCTGGACGGAAGAGCACTCGCATTCCAGAATTCACTATGGACAAAGCATTTTTCTGTCTTTCAGCCTGCCTGAAGGCTGAAATAAAGTCATCCTAATGGGAAAAAAAAAGGAAGGAAAAATTCCATCAATGTTAGAAATTACTGAAATCTATTTTTCTTGTATTTTAGGTGTTACCATTGGCCAAAGTTTCAGTTAACCTTTTTATTTTTCTTGAAGTACTAAGCTAATCCTAGACTGTGGTACTAAGAGGGGACGTTATTTGAGGTTATCTACATGTAAGAAAACATGGTCAAAATTTTAATGACTTTATCAGTGATTTTATGATTTCAGAGTGCTGGAGAAGAACCCTTGTCCTGATATAAGCCACTTCATATATATGGCCTGTATGTTCTTTAAATTTAATTCCAGCTTAGAAATTAGTGGTTTCTTCTCCAGGACATGGAGGTCCCACCGTGTTAAGGACCATGATTTTGTGAAGATTTTACACTCAGAGATTTTACATTTTATGCTATAGTAATGGCATTTACAGAGGAAGCACTAGAAACAGCTGGGCTTTCTAGTGTCAGAAATATTTTGTTCTGGGGACAAAGCCACATATTTTAAAAGAAAACATAATAGCATTATCTTTCATGATCAGGCATCGATGAGTTAGTTGAAGAAACTGTATGAAGTGCTATTTCTGTAGCCCCAGAAAGAAACTTCAGAATCAGACAGCCACAGACATTTTAAAGTGAGGGTTAGCAGGTTAGATCTTCACTATGAGTATGTGATACTCTCATGACAAATGTGAAATTCAGGATTACATGTTGAACGGTGAGTCTTGTCAGAGATGGAAAATCCTCTCAACAGGATTTACATTGCTTTACTGAAGCAATGTTCATATCAAACTACCCAAACCCAAAAGCCAGCAGCTGACAGGAACAACAGAGAAAACTGATGGCCAAGTTTCCCTCTACACATTCTGTTGACAAGTCTTGCAAAAAACCTTTGTGTGTGCCTTTTCATTGTGTTAGCAGAGTTAATCAAAAAGGCGATTCAGCATGAAAGTGAGTGGCAGGAGCAGCCTCCCCAGAAAGTGGTGTTAATTTCCCATGGTGAGACTTCTTAATCTCATATTATTCATGTGACAGCTGATAATTTTCCTGCTCTTCAGAGCAACCTTCTGAGTTTGCCAGCAGTGCTATTGTCTTTTGTTCATTTTGTTGTCCTCACCTCTGCTGTTCCTAGGTGTGACTGTCTCTCTCTGAAAGGCTCTGAAATATTCTTTGTGATAGATTTGGCTTTGTGGCACAACTTGTCATTGGACAAAGCAGGTTGGGATTTCTTTTTTGTTTTACTTTGTGGAATGAAATAACCCATTTCTCCTTCATTTTCTCTTCCAGGCTGTTTGTTTCTCAAATCACTACTAAGGTTCATAGTTTCTAGGCAGCAGAAGCACTGTTACTGCTGCCAGTGCAGCAGTAACTATGCTTTTGCAGGTTTTGAGCTCATGGGAATCCTTTTGTTTTTCATGGGAAACCTGCCATGGCCAGCCAACTTTTCCTGGGCAGAAGCCTCATCCAGCATGAAGCCACATATGTTTAATAGGTTGCATTGCAGTGAGCAGCTACTCTGGGGACTGACCCTTTGATGTCAAGGTTGGCAGAGACTCCTGTGGTCTGTTGCTCACTGACTTCAGTCAAAACCTACCAGCTTGTAGTCAGGTCTTCCCCTACTCGCCCCGTACTTTTCCTCACATCCACTAGAGGGATATCTAAGAACACAGTAACCAGGACACCACTTCCTCTGCCCCCAACCCCTAATGCCACACGCTGCCACCTTCGGTCGCAGTAGTCAGGACCTTATTTTTTGAGTAGTTGCACGGACAACGCAGGATTATTCATTGTAAATCGCTGATTAGTGAGAAGAGGTCAGAAATTACCTTTATCGCTGAAGGCTATGTGACAATATGGCACTTTTCCTGCAAATATCCAGGTAGCCTAAATTTCTGTGTCTGGAAGGGGCAGAAGCACACATTTAAGACTGGGGAAAAAGCAGTAAGAGACCCAAAAGAAGCAGAAGATGATGGCCAGCTGGAAGAAGTGGGAGACGGGAAGAGAAGGATGCCAGAACTTTCTTAGCTACTTCCAAAGCAGTAGTAGCCTGCATGTTTCAATGCCTACTGGAAATAGTGGATATAATGCTAATAACTACCCTGGAACCTGAATGAAACTTTTGAAATATTGGGGTCTTACCTTCATAGAGTATGGAATGAGAACAGAAACAATGACCTCCTTGGCATTTATGTCTGCAGGCTCACAGCCAGCAAGGAAACGATCATTTAAAAGAATCTGTCTTTCACCATCTGTTGGAGAAAACTCTAGTCTGTTACTGAATGTGAAGCAAGAAGGAAACATTTCTGCATTGCAGATTCAAATTTGTTGAATCTGCGCAAAAGAATATATTAAGGCCAATATGGCCTTAGAACTGTCTGCACCACTCAGGATCTAGCCTTTGAGTGAAAGGCTAATCTAAGTTACATATTAGGTGCAATATATTTCCCTATATGAATGCTATAGTTCTCCATCACAGATAAAATACTAAGTATTTTATACTTTCTGGAAAATACATGTCTTTCAAATGCTAATAATATTCAGAAAAGCAGTTATTTAGGTTTAAATATAGCTATTCTGTTTCTACTCAAAAGCTCTTTAGACCATTAAATCATTAAATCACAGTAACTTTTAAGAAACTATTCAAGCACTGCAATGAGATGGGGAATCAGCCCTGTACATCAAAGACAGTAGAAATGTTGCCAAGATTTTCCAAAGCTTTAGTTTGATTACTGGTAGCAATTTAAACACAGTGTACATGTATACGCACACATACATATCCACAAAAGTACGGATGACCTCAGGAGAAATTTCTAGGCCCTAAAAGTTTTTCTTAAAATGAAACAGGCATAAGCAATAAAAGCAAACAGTGTTGAAGTTACAAGACAGAGCTAAACTGTCTGATAAATGCAGCAATATAACCAAAGGCAATGTAGAAAGGAGGCCTTTCTACCCAGCAGGTGTGCTGACCTTACATTCATGAGATGGCTAGATGCTGCTTCCTTTTGTCTTGTGAAACAGAAAGACAGTGTTTTCTACTGGCAGATACTTTTTGCAAGTTATAATGACAAGCAATAATGTTCTTGTCATTCTCCTGAATATACCATTCAGGAGAATAATGAATGGTAATGTTCTCCATTCTCCTGAATATACCATTCTAATTCATTTAGGAGATGCACAGTAGTATTTAATTTGAAAACTGTTACCTGTAGACATATTCTTTGTTGCAATGTTCTGCCTATCCAACAAAGGTATCTGGTAGGGGGCTCAAAGCTTACCTTCTGATGCCAAGTTGAGGACAGATTTGCCAACTGATAAGATTGGATTCAAGTCCCAGGATGATCCTCTGCTTACAATGTGTCCTCCTAAAGACTTTAACAAACAATGAGGTTATTTTTAGGCTTGCCCTTCCTACATGTAACAGGGATCTGTATCATAACCCCATTTTATTCCATTAAAAGACCTGATGGAAGAACTTATATTTGTTTAGTTCAATTTTAAACAAAGTTCTACTTTTGTACATTTTAATGTGATTTAATCTATTGCTCCCTTCAAAAGCCCTTTCTCATATTGTCTCTGTTGACGGAGACCAGGTTTACTTTTTTGCCGCCCAAAGGCATGGCCATTCCCTTGAATTTTCTTCCTTAAAGGAAGAAATACAGGGTATTGCAGTAAGAGGATTTTAAAGGAAAATTAGGGACAAGATCAGAGATGCCTAATATGTGATGGGTAAACAGCTATGTGTTGATAGTCAACTTAAAGCATGATTGGCTGCACTGTACAGCACCTTACCAGAGAATGTCCCTTTTCTTCTTTTCCCAGTCTCCTCCAGTTCTCTGCTCATCCACTGAGCAGGAATAGCAGAGTTTCTCTTGTCATAGTTCTCTGGGTATTTGCCCTCACTAACTAGCCTAGGACTCCTAGTTATTTCACACAACATTTGTGATAGTAGTAACGTTTTAGCCTTATAAAGCACGATCCCAGCCTCATAATTGACATTCACACAGATATGTCTGTGGTGATGTCTTATTTACTGTCACTGCTGAATACATACCGCCATGCTCCTGATCTGTTCTCCAGCTAGAGTTCTCAGGTGCTGCAAGAGAGCTCGGTATGTTTTTGTTTTTTCTCTGCTGGAAGTTCTGTGACTGCCTTCATTAGGATGTCTCTGAGCTGGGCCAAGCAGCAGGCAGCTCCTATTACTAGCCCTGAAATCAAACGAGTTTAAACAGTGAAATCATCGTGCCACAGAATAAATGCAATATATAGCTGATATGGCCTCTAAAGAATTGCTTCTGTATACAGCTTTTGGCAGCAGGATGACAAAGAGAAATGATAGGAAGGTGGATTTTATATTACATGCAATAAGAAATGCAAGTACTACTTGCTTATTCAACAATAGTTCCCACTATAAAGACATGCCTGAAAAATGTACATTGAATATTTTCACACAGTAGTGCACATCCCTTTTTTGTGCTGTGTATCCCCAAAGACACGAATAACAGTTGATTCAGGAGGAAGGATCACCAAGACTGAGCTGCAAACACTCTATCATACTCCCAGTAGTATCAGAGAAGCCACCACCACGGACTTCAGCGAACACTGAAGTAGCCCAGCCACTCCAAAGAAAATCCTATAGTATTTCAGACTGGAAATTTATGTTTGAATATTTTGTGTTGAAAATCAAGCCCTAGCCTAATCAATACTCTGTGGACTTTGTTAGATATATGGTTGTGATAGAAAGGCTCTTGACCAGTTGAAAACAAAAATAAGGCTGACTTAGGGCCTTCCCCTATGCTTGCTGTCTGCAGAAATTTGAGATTTGAACAAATATATATCCACAGAACAGTTTAATAAATTATCTATCATAATCAATCCATCATTTCAAGACCATAGGTGAGCTGACATATTGGTTCAAAAGGCTCAGTGAAATGAGACAAAAAACTCAAAAGAAAGCTCCACACCAATGAGAGTCGATGGTTCTTGCTGCTTCAGGTGCAGGACCCAAGTTAATTTAGTTGCCATCGTTTGTAACACAGTAGAGATAACTTGGAAACTTACCATCACTTGTGCTACTCACAACATGCATTTCTGAAATCCTAACAGGATGGAGAATGATTGGATGATAGGTACCACTGTGATTTCTTTTGAGTCCTGAAAGGAGAAGTATGATAGTATGATTAGAGGTGCGTTTAAAGAATTAACCATATTCCTGAACATGAAGACCGAAAAGTTCAAAACCACTGTAACTAAGTAGTTTCAGTGTCTTATAGGTTTTGTTATGCAGTATCTTGAGTATCACATTTTACTGCTTTTATCAGGCCCATCTGAAGTTCAAAGTCTAATATTGTCTTTTCTGGCTCCTGTTCCTTGCTCCTCTGAACTGGTTTCTGGTCCTTTCCCACATCAAACTCGGATTTCACCTCTCGCTTGAAAGCTATACACAATTCCACACATGCTTCATCATGTTTCTAGCTATTCACTCCACCTTTTTATGTGAGCTATATAATTTTTTTGCTTCCCTTGTTCTCTTCTTGTGCAATGTCTTTCCGATGACAATAAAGAGCTTTCCTTTGATGTAAAGAGACTTGAAGTTTTTAAATTAAGAGATTTGCCATTTTGCCAAGTACTGCATCATGGGAGTATATTACTAAACAAGTGCCATGCCCATTGCCATACTAGGCAATGTACAGATATGTAAAAGATCTAAAGGATTCTCTTTAGATCTGGGCCTTTGTTGTCTCAACAGTGAAGGAAATATTCTTACCAAATTCATCCTGATGGATACTCCCTCAAAAAAAAGTATACTAACAATTTCTAAAAACAAAACCCTGCCATCCATAATATGCAGAATTTAGCCAATGCCTGGATATCATGCCCTTTTCTGGGCATTATTTATTTTGTTATGCTTGATGTTAAATGGGATGTGAAATGTTTACCTCTCATCAGCATGAGTCCTTCACAAATTGTGTCTCTGAGACCGAGGTTACTGAGGGAAGTTAGGCAGCACAGATTCTGGACTTGGGTGACAGCTGGTACTGGTCCTAATTTACTTATTGACTTGCTGCAAAAAAGTCATGGGAAATTACATTGGCCTAAATATTGAAGCACAATCCTTGTGGTGACAAAATGCATTTAGGATCCCTGGAAGAGAAAATGCAGGATTATGTGCCTACTGCACAATGTAGTCCCTGTGTCAGAAGATCTTTTGTCCTTCCATACCCACGCTAGTGTTCCCCACAACCAAAGGTGCCTTTGGATACTTGGCTTTCAGCTTCAGAAGCTTCTTCAGGCTAGGAGGAGAAATCCATGTTGTTCTTTTGCCATGAAAAATCAGAGTTGTTCTTTGCTGCTCTTGAGCCATTCTCTGTGGTAGAAATGACAAAGACTTGGTAAATTTGACTAGTGCCAATAAAAATATAAATGACCATATTGCTCAGTAGGACACTGTGTTATGACAGACAGTGAGACACTAATGAGGTTTTTCATCTGAGGTTCCTGTTGTGCTGAACAGTGCTGAGCTTTTATCATAACTACATTATTGCTCAAGAAACTGAGATGAGAATGAACTAAATGACTTGGTAAGAGACACACTAAATGAATAGTAGGAGATTAGTTTCATGTTTCTTTCTCCTGCTCTGATGATTCTGAAAGACTCCCATTGTATATGATGTAAACAAGAAACCAATGTGACTGGACTTCGTGGGAAATCGGAATGCCAAAATCTCGCTGCATATGTGACAGAATACAAGACGTATTCTCTTAGTCAGGGAGGATCACTACATCCCCATTTGCTGAGAGTCATGTATCTACTATACTAGATCCAAACTAGTTTCTATAATAGGTAAAATGCTTTTAAAAATAAAAATACCTACTTTCCCATTTGTCTGCAAGGACTAGTCTTTTCAGAAATATTGTCTCCTTGGGATGGTTGATCAGAATTTACATTTTTGTTAAATAAAGTGGTTTTCCAGCACCTCCTGTCTTACAAAACCATATACATTTTTTTTCCACCCTGACAATATCATACATGTTCTTTTCATATTTGACAAGTGCCATGTGGAATCATAATTTCAAAATATGCAAAAGCAATCCCTGCAAAACACCTGTCTTTGCAGACAATGCAGTGAACAAACAGACTAGTGGACTAGCCAGAAAACAGTTCCAGCTATGGACTGGCCTTCTAGGTAAAAGACATATCTGAAACACAAAAAAGGAGCTATGTGTCTGTGGAAGCAATCATAATCCTACTGGCATGGGCACCTCATGTAGCCTGGAGAAGCAGTTCCGTCCTCCTGGCAGCTCAGTGTGAACACGTAGAGCAGATGATGGCACCTCCTTTCTGGCTGACCAGCTTTTTCAGCCAGCAGCACTTTAGCTAAGATCTTTAATCCAAGTATAAAATTTGCAAAATATTCACTTAATACTTGCACTTTTAAAGCATGAGTCTCTCCAAGACAGGTCAATAGCAGAAAAGCAAATTTACTTTCCACTTCATGGTTTCATAAAGGAGCTTATGGCTTACTGAGCATGTTCTGCACTGAGAGACAATCATTAAATAATAAAGATGTACTCTATGACAAATGTTTACAAAGCCAACTACCACGCAGTGAACAGCATTCTGTAGTACAGTGACAAACCAGAGAACTGTGCCATGCATTTTCAGAACTCAAATAAACTTTTGTGCCTCTAGGGTGGTTGTGTAATATCAGCAAGAACTGCCCACAAATTGCAAAAGGAGTGCACAAAAGGAATTTCATAAGAAGCTGCTGAAACATGAGCGAGGATTAAAAAACTGCCTGGAGCTGCCTGCTTGGATTCTGCTCAGTTTGATTTGGGTAAACCCTGCCCTACTATTTTCACAGATCTCTTCTCTTGCCTCTGTCTGCAGATTATGGGCACTTTCCTCCTCCTCCTCTTTTTAAGTTTCCATCTGTCCTTCTGTGAGTTTCCAATAATTACTGCACTAAACCCTCTTCTTTCCTCTTCAAGTCATTTGCCTTTCCTGTGGACCTGCCTGTAAGTCCAGTCTCAGGTTGCTAGGGTCTGTTTACCAGCTGGAAGCAAACAATGACTTGAATCCAACAGAGAATACAAAACAGAAAAGATGGAAAGTTCATTTGGGATCTTTCAAAATAAACACTATATTCCACAAAAAAGCCAACTGGTCCAAAATAACGGTCATGAGTAAGGAGCTCTTTTGGGAAATGTTGGTTCTGCAGAGGCAAACAATTTGCTTTTTGAATATGATCTATTTGTAATAGTGACAACATGTGGATTGTCCACATTGAAATGCCTCATTATTTGTGACTAAAACTAGTATTTTCTATTTATCTGAGAATAGATGTTTCAGTTTCACAAAAACATAAGGTTTTCAACTTCTGTAGGAACTCAGTCATGCTTGCAAGATAACAGAAGTCAGTAAGGCCTACCATTAGTTCAGGAGGAAATATAAATTCCTGTGTTGGATCCATGGGCAGGAATTGTTCTGGATTGCAAAGACCTGAAAGGATCTGCAAATAAAATGGGGGGGAGGGGAAGAGAGAGAGAGCGGAATGCACATATTCAGACTAAGTTGCAAGTCTTTGTCAACAGATGAGATTATTTCCTAGTGTGAGACAATTTTGACACTTTATAGGTTGTGTTCAAAAATTCAAGATCCCCTAATTAATTTCTAATCTTTAGTTTATTCACAGACTACTCAAAAGATGGACTACTCAAGAGACAGACTATCATACCAATCCCTCTCAAGCCTTTGTTTGAAATACATCAAGCTTCAAGAAAAATCTTGCAGTATTTCCTGAAACTGGTCATAGCAAACGTATTGCACCACACTGGGTGCAATGTGTACTGTGGGAAAGTGCAGGGCTGGATGGAATAGTTATGTTCTGTTCATAACTGTGTCTCTTAAGGAGCTTTCTGGCAGAGCTTGACATGACAACAAATAATGTCCATCTGATCAGAAAGAATTGTTTTCTGCTTTAGGAGAGCCTTATGCAAAGCACCTCTCCAGCCTTGCATAAGCACTTCAAGAACCAAATGTTAACAGTGCACCATAAAAATTAGCTTTTTCTACTTGTTCACAGCTGTCTTTTTTCTGCAGAGGTCTCTGGTGAGGCTATCCACCTTCTGAGCTTTCAGAAGCTTACATAAAAGAAGACTGAGTGTGCTATGCTAGCAGAACTGGTTTGTATTTTCTGGCTCACTGATTTATTTGTGGAATCAAAAATCCTGTCAAACCAGAGAGCAACAGGTCTCAAGTATATTGAATGGGGAAAAAAAAATTGATATACCCTAGTATGAAGTCTCTCATTCCTTCCCCAATCAGTCATTACCTCTGAACAGATTGTGGCCTTGGTAACTATAAGATCTGGCTCTGGATGACTTAGTCTACTGATTGACACCATCGATGAAATGGCAAGAAAAAATTCTGTGTCTGCTATGATCCTCACGATAGTTAGGGACTAGATATTTGCCTTGGATGAAAGCAACTAGGAGGAATGCAAATCATGGAAAGCCAAATAAGAGGGCATCCAAAGGAACTGCTGTTTTGTACTTGGCAACTACTCCATTGCTCGACTTGTGCTTCAAACAACCTCGGCAGCAGCTCATCAACAATTTTCAGTTCTTAGAGGGGCAGAGGCAACACACAGGTGCACAAATGTCCACACATCCAGTCACACTTCTTGGAGCTCTACAGTTTTTCACTGTCAAAACAAGTTTTCTTCCGATCACCCAAGACATTTTGCTTTATAGATTTCTTAGAGATTTTCAGTCAGAGAAAATTCATTTAAGGAATTAAAATCCTCATTCTGATGCAAGATCAGTGCACTATGGCCTCTTCTTACAGGTGGATGAAGAGAAGACAACAAGTTCTTAGATGCACACAGGGAATGGAGGACCTTTTTGAAGCAGGATCCTCCTTATGTACACTGGAGCTCCCATATGTACCCTTAAACATAATAATTGCGGAACCTTTGCCAGGACAAACACAAATGAGGTGACTTGTGATTTTACAATGTGCATATGTAAAGAGAGAATAAAACAACGTGTATTTTGAAGCAATACCAATATATCGGTTGCAATACAACACAGGAGAATGAGACACTTCCCTCAAGATCTTGGAGCCACTAGCAACACAGTAATGCTTATGAAAGGCTTTACAAGTATACACTGACACTAAACAGCAATAGTTTTTTCTTCTTCACACACAAAAAAGCAGATATAAATGTGTAATATTGAGATCCACACTCTCACTGGAAAATGTCACTAAGTAAGTAAGCCGTATGAGGAGCGGTTGAGGTCACTTGGTTTGTTCAGCCTGCAGAGGAGACCTCATTGAGGTTACAACTTCCTCATGAGGGCAAGAGGAGGGGCAGGCACTGATTTCTCTGTGTTGACCAATGACAAGACCCCAGGGAATGGCCTGAACTTTTGTCAGGGGAGGTTTAGGTTGGATATTAGAAGAAGGTTCTTCACCCAGAAGGTGGTTGGGCACTGGAACAGGCTCCCCAGGAAGTGGTCACAGCACCAAGCCTGACAGAGTTCAAGGAGTGTTTGGACAGTGCTCTCAGGCTCATGGTGTGACTCCTGGGGAGGGTCCTGTGCAGGGCTAAGGACTGGACTCGATGATCCTTGTGGGTCCCTTCCAACTAGGCATATTCTGTGATTCTGTGATTCTAATAACACAGATAATAACAATGTGGATACGCTTGTGCTACCTTTCTGCAGCAACAAGAGCAGAGAGCCTGGAGTTCAGTCTGGTCTAAATGTCCAAAGCTAGAAAAGTAGCTGCTGCCATAGTTAAAGACCACCCCTTCCTACAAATCTGACAACGCAAACGGGAGTTAACAAGAAAAAAAATCTATTGTAACTTACCTGACCCCCTGTAGAAGATGAACAGACACATTCCTCCTGATCCAAGCAACATTGTCCAGTTCCTCTGAGTTGGCAACATGTTGGCTCCTAAAAAAATCATATTCTATTACATAAAAGCAATGAGGCAGCTTAGTGATTTATTTGTAAAATTAACGTTTTGATGCTTCCTATTCCAAATTAGATTTGTTCAGCCATTTGAAGTTGCTCCAGGAGACCCCTTAAACCATAGGACCCCTAGGAGTGAGTTCCCTTTGGGTACCCAGGTATCCACGAAGTAAATGGAAAGAATCAAAATTACTTCAGTGGTGTTTAGATCAAGTCCTTGTAACTGATGCAGAGGATTTTCCACTGCATTGCAAGGGTACATGTAAACCAAAAGTCAGTGGTGGCTGTAAGCTCTTGGCACATTTGGAAACTAAAAGAGCCAGATTTTCCAAAGGCTCAACCGAAAAAAGATTTTCCAAATGATGCAAGACTCCAGATAGGTAATTCAAAGAGGTTCAGCCTTTTCAGATACCAAAAACTATCCCAAAATAAGAAATACATTTGAAAATACTGACCTACCCTAGCAAAAGATGTGTAGCTGTCTATAATTGGCCTGTATCCTGTGCAACGGCACAAATTACCTGAAATAAACCATATGATAATCAATCATAAGAAACCAGAACAATGTTCAGAAGCACCAGCACAATTGGAAATGATCTGGCATCAAACCTGCAGATACAAAATGCTGAAATTTATGTCCCTATGCTCAAATGGGCAAAATCACATATGTAAAAATAAGAAATATTACTCCAATAGTGATTATATTATTAAAATTTATTATTTTTAAGGCCATTGCTAAAAATAATATTAATTACTTTATGTGAATGCATGTAAAAAAATCAAATTATGAAAAGCATCCAAAAGTAAATTCTACAATTACTAGTACCACTACGGTGTTTGGGTTTTACAATCAAATCCAAAATCTACTGCCATCCATCACTATGACGGTTTTCATATATAATTAGAAGAAGTAATAAAATCTCTACTGCAATTTCTGGCATTTGGCTCATGAAATCAAAATCTTCTGGTGGGAGGGGTTAATTACTTTGGGAGCTATAGGAGTGCTAGCAAACTTGGCACTTGAAAGTGAGTTGAAGTTGCTTTGCCTATTATAGTAAATATTGCTTGAAGAGCAGGACTGTTGTATTACTCAGTGAATACTTATACTCTTTCAGTATATTACACCTACACTTTCAGCATATTCTTTGTAAAACTGTACTCCTACTGCACCATATTGAGGCTGCTGGTGCAGGAGGGCTATAAAAACAGGCTGTTCTAAATGCAGGGATTTTCAGAAATATTTATGCAGTGCTAAATGCCACTGTGTATCCCTTTAGAAGCCTTCAGTGTGAACCATCTTTTGATGATTTTGAGATGTCCTTAAGCCATTATGGCTATATCAGAGTACCATCTACTGCCATCATCTACTTCTCTTTGAGTTAAATCATACTTATGACCTTGGCAATCAAACATGTATCCTTTTATTATACTTTTTACAATTTACTGCCTGTAACTTACCATCCAGAGCAGAAATAATCTGCTCCATGGAAGGTTTTGCATGGTTTCTCAGTAAGGCATACATGGACATCACCATTCCAGGGGTGCAGAAGCCACACTGGGAGCCATTGCATTTGGCCAGCCTTTCCTAGAACAAAACAGAACAACAGTCCAGGATGTGGCTTCACTGACTTTCTGAATAGCCATCTTCAGGTATGTCATCTACCAGCTGTAGGATGGCAGCAGCATTTTCACTATCCCAAATTCTCAGAGCAATCACCCAGTTAAAGGATAATACTTGCTCCAGTTTAGACCCTCATGACCCTAATTATGAGAATAGAATAAGGCCCGAGACTTTCCGTTTAGACATCAATCATACATTAGGTATTTCTAACCAAGAAGGATAGAATACAGACTATCTCCTCAACCAGAGCTTCAGCACAGACCAGTCACAGAGTCGTGACTCTTGGAAAATAATATTGAGACAAAAAGAGAATGTTCAGAAAACATTCTTAAATCTATGTGGTCAGACTGTGATTTTCAGGGACAAGCCAGAGTGGAGGAAGTAAAGAGCTGACCTAATCCAAGGGCACACAGATCAAATAAGCCTAGTTTAATACCTGCCAGTCTGGTTGCCAGCTGGAATAATTCATCTCGTACTACACATATGCACAGACCATTGTCCTCAGTGAGATGGCCAGAGGCCATGCTGGTGACTAAATGAGACTGACTGATGCTCTTTGTCCTTTCCTATCCCCTTCTGAAAGCTGGCATCCTACCTGCCCTATGCTTGGATAGTCCTGTGTTGTGGAGATTGTGATGTGCTCCCTGCATGGTGGTACATTAGGAGGAGCTCCTTCCATGCTCCATACAGGGCCAATCACAACCCAGCAACTGTTGTATTAATTCCCTCAAACACTTGTTCATCTAAAAAGCTCAGACACCATTCAGTTTTTAGAACCCCTTCAGAGACTTTGCATTGCACAGACTCACAGTACCTTCTCACAGATCCCAGTTTTGTTACAGACATAGGACAGGACACTCTCATAATCTTGCAGCCTTACACAGTCCAGCTTACTCTCACCTGAATTGGATGAATCCGGGTTTTTATGCTTCCAACCCCTTCCACAGTAATGACAGCAGCACCATGCAGTGAACATAACGGGAGAAGGCAAGAGTTGGCAGGACGATGACTTTGATATGTGAAGGAGAACTGTGGCTTTAAATAGCTTTGTTGTATGAGTCCATGGAGGATGAAACAAAGGATATGCACTCCAGCTAATCTAGAAATGCTCTGACTTCTGACGTTAGAAAGACATGGGGAGAAGGATATGCAAGCGTAAAAAATCCTGCACTTGGACCATGACAGTATGCATCCTGCTCCTAGAGCTGGGACTTAGGCATTAAGTAACAGGCTTTTCTAATTAAAGAAGTGCAATGTGTAGTTAAAAGAAAAAAAAATCTCTACATATTTTCTTAAAACCCAAAGTCTAGGACCAGCTGTGATGGAAGTCAGGCACAGCACTTCTAATGGAACAAAGTTTCAAGAGCCAGGGAGAGACAGCCCAGAACTACTAACTCTGCTGTGGGAGAAACTGTACAACCACAATGTAATAAGCCTATTGCAAAAGTCCTTGGAGATTTTATCAGTGATTATGTGAAACACGTAGTGAGAATTTATTAAAAGTGGCATATCCTCAAATAAGCACAAAGGACTTAGGAGAGGCAGATGACAAAAGGGCTGTTGAAATCTCAAATCATAAAGAACTCAATCTAAAACATCATTTTCCCAGAAGGCTTGGGGGTTTGGTGTTGAGTTTTTGTTTTGGTTTGTTTTTTTTTTTAAGTATTGGAAAGGATCTAAATCTCTATTAGTGTGTGATCGTGAGTTCAACTCTGTAATTTCCCCGTGAATGTCAGTTTTCCAAAAACACTACATTACTGCTTTCAAATATCAGCACCAGGATACTGTATCAGTTTGGCAACAGGATCATATGTGGATATCATCACAGTGCAGGCACCACAGCCTCCTACTCCACAGCCATATTTTGTACCTGAAAGACGGACTGCAAAGGAGACTGTTAAAGAAAAAAAATTACCGTATTCAAAAGATATTTTTTCTTTACGTTCTTCTGAGTCTCCCTTGTTTTATCTGCATGTGCAGAACTGGAGGGTGCTCCCCTGTAAAAGGGATGGTTTGAGCAAATACAGCAATAGGTCTTCTTATTAGCCTTACTCACAGTACTTTCCTAATCATTGCACGTAATTATCTGTATCTTGTGTTTGCAAAACAGTATCAACAGATCTCAGTATGTTTCCAGTGCTGCTTCCAGAACATTCTAGGAAAACAGTGATTTTAATGGAGCACAATACCCAAGTGCACACACCTAAACCCTGTATGGAAGGACTCCCTCCATTATGTGCCTCAGCACAAAGGCTCCACACTCAAACCACAATCTCCTTCTGCAGTGCCCTGCAGTCCAGTGGAATCTACCACTTCCTTTCATCATTTCCCTTCACTTGCTTAACTTTAGAAGCTACATGGCAGCTTCTTAGCCGGGATAACTGGCACTGAAGTCAACAGAGCCCTGACAGCAGTTAGCAACCTGAAGAGCCTCAAATAACAAAATAAAAGTAATAAGATAATAAAATAAGCTTATAGTCCCTCTGAAGGACTGGGACCTAAATAAATTGTTTACTGCAGAAGTAGTTCAAAATTTACAATATTATACCCATATAACTAACACACACAATGCACATGCAGCACTGGATTGCTCTGCTGAGAACAAATGCAAGGCAAATTTTGTTATTTCTACTTATTGTTCTGTTTATGCTGGTTCCCAAAGAAAAGTGAAACAATCTTAATCCCCAGTTGCATTAATTTACAGACTTATAGAACTCAAAGGCAAAGTTCAAAAAAAGGATATGCTGCTTTCTTAGATAATACAGCAGCAATTCTTCAGGATCTGCCTGCCTCTCTATTACCTATGTTATGAAATAAAAGAAAAAAAGAGATTATAGGTCAGAGAGAAATCTAATATAACCATCTCACAAGGATTAATTATGATGTTTAAATGTAGTGATTGTGGATTAGTGTGGAGCATTTGTTTAGCAACAGGATGCTGTCACTTGATCATAATCTGCAGAATAAATGAGTGGGTCAGGCAATGTTGGTCCAATATGTGAAATAATTGCTTGCTCAGAGAACTGAAAGGGAAGAGAGGTTAAGTAAGCACTTGGAGAGACAAGACTAGAAGGAAAAGTGCCTTTGGCCTAGATCCTTTGTTGATTCCTAACAGCATGAATCAGAAATCCCTTCATTTTAAAGCTATGAACTTGTGCGTGTGAAAATTCTGCATAATTTTATCTCCTTGAAGTTGATATTAACCCTTCATTTGCAGAGACCCATTAGCATAACAGCAGAGGAAAATCTTAGTGTAAGAAGAGCAAGAGGGATACATATCTAAGTATATTTTCATTCTAATGAAGTTTAACGTGTATGAGTGGGCTTATGCAGGCCTTGCTTTAGCCTTGTCTCGAGAATGTCGTTGTACCATCAGCGTGCTTGAAATTGCTGGATACAAGAAAACACAAACAACTTTGAAAAAAAATGTTAGGACCCATTGCTGCAGAATGACCAGAGATTGAACCTCAGGCTTCTCTCAAAAATTCTGCCATATCAGCAGCATGCTCCAATTTACCATGTATAAGACAACATGGACTAGTTCAGGAATTTATACAGAAATGCAGAGTGAAATAAGGTTTCAGAGTATGTCTTGACATGTAATGACAGATAAAACATAACAGACAGAAAGAAGTTGAACTACTTTTCCTTAATTCACCTGGTCAAATTAAAGCCATTACCATCTCTCTAGAGAATAAAAGTGTTGACCAAAAAACTGAAAAATATCTCTAGAAAAGCAAGGTTGGTTAGCTGGTTTGGTTTTTTCAACAAATAAATACATTTCCTTCCTTTTACTTTATATCGTATTTTGGGTGACATTTTTGCTAGTAGAACTTCTTATTCACTTGACCTGCTAAGTAAGAAAATGTGACAAAATGTCTTAGAAAATGGAATGTGAGCATTTGGCATCAAGAACAGAAAAAAATTAGCTACCTCTTTTCTTTTAGTGAAATACTGAAACTATATTAGTAATCTGCATATTCTTTTACTAGAGAGGCACTTCAACTACATCAACTTTAGGAGTACATTAATAAAAGATTTTAGTAAACAGATAACTATTTTTAATTCTAAAAATCTGTATTATGAGAGGTGATACAAAGTCACTCACATTCTGTAAAAACCATGGGATAAAGTAGGAAAATCAAAGACAAGAGACGATTATCCATGAATAAACTGTTGCTCCAGAATAACAGTTTCCAAATGTGAACAGAAAATATTAAAGCCATGCTGTTCAAAAAAGAAAAAGCATTTAGAAACTTACCTTCCTGCCATTCACAAAAAAGACAAGCTCATCTGATTTTTGAGGGCAAGCCATGCTGTTGCATCAAAGTCTGAAAAATAAAGCTTTATGCATCAAGAGAAATTAATGAAATGCTATATGGTCCTAAAGATCAACTGAGTTTGCTTTGTCCTGCAGAGTTTAATTTGATGCTCAGTCTGCAAATAAGCAGGTGGGGAGGAGCCAGTGCAATGTATATTGTTTCTCAGCAATTAAAGCATGGTCGGATGCCAACGCACCACCTCTTACTCCCTACCCCAGCTCTTCCCTGGTGACTTGAAATAATCTGGGAAGAGTCTGAGCCCCTCTAATTCTAACCCTGTAACCTAAGAGACAACTGTGAGGGGGTACTTTTGGTTTGAGCTACAGGTGCCAGGCCTATTTATTTTATAATATGCAGTGAATTTAGAATACATAGGCATGTCTGATGCAAGAACCAAGGACAAGCAACATTACACATTTCTGTGGGGTGTCAAATGCAAAGCTGTGAAGCCGTGGTTCTCATTTACCTTGACCTGAACTATCCATGATTTTCTGTCTTCAGAGCAACCAAGTTTTAACAAAATCAACATTACTATTCTACACACATTTAAAATTTCCTTCTGGCTATCTCTATGCCATGCCAGCTCTATGTCCTTACTGCTGTGGGTACCATTATAAGATGACCATACTCAAGACATGCCATGTCCTTAAAGAGAGAAATCCCAAATACTGATTTGGAGTTCTAGATTCGCATCCATTTCTCTGTATGCCTGTCTAGGAAAAACAAGGTCATTAATCTTTATATGCCTTATTACAGCTGGTCTTCTTTTTCTTTTTAAAGGGGAATTATGTATATGTCCTTCAAAAGTCTCCATTTATGTATGTACATGTCTTCTGCTTCATTTACCATTTTCACATTTTCCAGCTAAGGTGTCTGCATTTCATTTAGAGTCAGTGTAGGCTTGCAGGACAGAGTAGTCAGTCCCTGATCTTCTAACACTCCCCATCAGAAGGCAAAAAAATTATTCTCAGCAGAGATATGCTGCTGCTTTTGTGATTTAGCCCCTAATTTATGCCTGAGAGCTGCAACAACACAAGCACTGAAGCCATGTCAGTCACCAGGTCCCTGTAGGCAAAAGCCCTAATGCGTCCTGCCAACTGTAGCATCAGTGTAGTATTCCAGGTGTTGTAGATATGACAGTGCAGTTCAAAGGCCTGAGAACAGAAGGAACCAGACCAAATACCTGATTTTGGCAGAACAATATCTATTTAGAGAGTACTAGCCCTCCAAACCAGAACCTAGTATTTATATTAGGTGTTTAAGCTTACACCACACAGAATGCGACTGCGGAGGGTGAATAATTGTAAGAAACACTTGTCTTTGGAAGAAAATTAGTAGAAAGAGTTCTTCTCAACCATCTCCAGTTTGGGTGTAATTGTGCAGTTACAGTGCACATTAATGTGTAGCCATCCAGTATGTCAGTGCCTTTGGAGCCCCAACATTTCTGTTTGTTTATCTCCCTGTACAGTCCAAGAAAATTCCTTTCATAATATCCCATGGTAGCTATAGTATCATCTGCCAGGATGGTTAATTGCTGATATTTCTAGCTTCCATGTAGTTTTTCAAACACCTAAAAGCCAGCAAACAGCTTAATATGTTTGGACCCAAAATAAACAACAACTCATATTTGCTACATGTATAGAATTTACTAAAACAACTCGACAACAGTGCCACTTGTAAAGAGGCAGGGAGGAATCTTTGTCAATAATGACTGAGAAATACAGACAAGCAGACAAGATTTGCACTGCAGACAACAAAGCGTGGGTCTAGAACACGATGAGTCCTCAGAGTGCAAACACCTCAGCACTGCAGATGGGGAGATGGCATTGCCTGTGAGGATCGGGCAATGATTTTGGAAGATTTGACTTGTCTGGAACTAATTAGCACCTGTGCTGATGCATAGGTACATAGGATAACAACAGAAAATGTAGCTTCCCCCCAGTTCAGTAGACCTATAGGCTCCCTGCTTCAGCATATCCCAGAATTTACACGTATTTTTTGGTTGTTATAGATATGTGGGGTTGTGAGCTGTCATTGACAAACCCATGCAGTGAAACTAAGAAGCTGTTTCAAATCAGAAAAACGAATTGTGGCAGAAGCATTCACATTTAATTTGATTTATTGATCTTCTAACAATAAATAAAAGCCAAAGTAATACAAAGAAAGTGAAGAAAAAGAAGTAAAAACCAATAAGGCTTCAGCTGCCTAAATCACACTTTCAGTGCCACTTCAGATAATTTGCTATTACCTGCTTGACCTCCAGTTGCTATATCATATCTTCCAGTCCTGTGCTCTCCTATGCCTCTGCTGTCTTATGATATCTAAGATGGTCTGGACAGCTATGTTTAAGCAGCTGCATTTCACCTACTCATAGTGGTTACAGAGAGACAAACTGAAGCAATAAAGATTTCATACCTTAACAGTCAATACAAAAGCTGTTTTAAGCTACTGACCTGATTTCTGTCACAGATACAGCATCAACTTGTAAAAGGGACAGAGGGCAAGAAGAGAAAATTGTGGAAAACTGAGAGGCAGTGAAATAATAAGAGCCTACAGGCTGACATGTCAAACAAATTAAAGCCATTTACTTCCAGTAGGAATGGCAGTTGTCATAGTGCTGGAGCAATGTGACCTGTGAGTAAGTGGAAGAGCAATCCCCATGCTTAGCAAGGAATAACTGATGCAGAGGTTCACTGAAGCCACACAGTGAACATCTAAACTACTGATTTTCCCACTTCTGCTTTATTATTGAAGAACTTGCTGCAATTTTTCTGGTGCTACTTAAGGTAAGTTTTGTAGACTCACTAAAAAAGTGAAGTGTTTTCTCTATGCTAGGATGCATCCCAGATCAAAGCCTCAAGCGCAAATGCCATGGAGATTTGTGTATTTGTGTGTGTGCACATTCAGAACTGAAATCTTGTCTTCACACTTGAAGAGCAGGAAGGGCTGATGTTGTCAATGAGTTCAGTATTGTGGATTCTGATGCTGAAAACTAAATATTGTGACTGGAGCTTTCATAACTTGAAAGTTATTTCTTGGTCTCACCAAAGGTTACAAATATATACATACTTCAAATGTATTAACATCAGAATTTTTGTTACCATTTAATATAGTGTTGCTTTATATTTTCCTGTTTTCTCCAGGTGCTACTGCTTGGGTGTGGTCTAATCCCATTGTATGCTAGCACCATTAGATGTTTGATCTTTGCAGAACATCTTTTGATCTCATTATGTTTTTTTTTTATTTGCTTTATTTCAGGAGTGGCCAAGAGTAGGAGAAAGCTCTTAATTGCACTTTCATGGCTTAATATACTCCTGAGTACAGGATTAAGCACTGGTTAAGAATCCTTTCCAGGGACAGGTTCATCCAGTCTCCCATTCAAAGCACACTGAACTCCATGTCAGTTTTTACATTAAGTTCAGAGGCTTTTGGCTTGCCCCATGAGAAAAAGAAAGCTTCTGGTGGAAATCACAACTAAGTGACTCTGCCAACTTTCAGAATAAAATTCATGTTCTATATATGTAGGTCAACTTGCCTGGCATAGCGAAAGAGAATTGTAACTCTTGTTTCTTGTGTGTTTTTGACACAAAGATGTCTGTGCCAAAAGAATCTAAAGAAGCTTTGCTACAAGTCAGAGCATCACTTCTGATCAAAAAGGGACTGAATCCAATAAATTCTGAGTCCTTGACAAAGATCTCTGCCCTCACACTCCACTGCAAGATTCAGATCCAAATTAGAAAATTAGCTGAAACCATTACAAAATCATTTATCATATGAAGCTGCTGGGTGTAATAAGTGGCAGTAAGTTAT